ATTTTCATTAAGCTTGCATAATTCTAAAACTTTAATGATATTTAAGTTAATTACTTACATTATTTATTTTATTTTCCTAACATACTAGGTGCTAAAAAATGCCGCGAGATAGAGAAGAAAGAATAAAACAACAACTACCTCCAAGTGCAAACATTGAATGGAAATTTGCTATTTCATTGGATGGTAGTACAAACAAGCTACAATGTAAGTACTTGTGGAAGGGTGATTAAAGGAGGAATCACTCGCATCAAAGAGCATATAGCTCATAACAAAGGAAATGTTGCTGGTTGCTTAAGTGTTTCCAATGATGTTAGAAAAGATATGATGAAAGTCTTAAATGATTACAAAGTCACGAAAGCAAGATAAAGTCATTAGACAAAGTCGGCTTCGGGATGAGATTATGGATTCTCTTATCCGAGAACAAAGGGATACCGGTGATGATGAAGATGAAGAGCTCATGTCTTATGCAAGACAAGAGAGCATGATGCAATATGAGATGGACAATTATAGAGCAAGCGAGAGGAGATTTATATGAAAAGGGTTGTGGTTCGGTTCTAGAAGAGGACAACATCAACAAGCTCCTATCATGCGTCGTTCATAAAGTTTGCATGAAAGAGCTAGTTCAAGAAGACGACATAGTGGTGTTCCATCAATTCCTCCACGATCAACTTCGAGGGAACGATTGGAAAAGTTGCAAGAAGATGAAGTGGTTTTGCAAAAGACTACGAAGGAAAAAAACAAAAGTCAATATGTTCTCGGTTATATAAAATTGGGAAAGCAACATTAAGAAGAGCGAGTTAGACATTTTTTTGTTCATGAGCAAATCCCATTCAATCGTTGTGGAATCTCCTTGGTTTTCAACAATGCTTAAAACTACCGTTGAAGTTGGTTCTAAAATTCTACCTCCTAGTGCTTATGATCTTTCAAAGGTGTATTTGACGAAGAGATGACAAATATGAATAAGTACATCAAAGATTATGAAAATATACTGAAATGAGAGAGGTGTCACAATCATGTGTGATGGATGGTACGGATCGACTAAAATGCACATCATCAATTTTACGGTTTATTCAAATCGAAACACGATGTTCATCAAATCGGTTGATGCATCAAATGTGCTAACAAAGGATGCTGAATATTATTTTGGGTTGATGAAGAAAGTGGTGGATGAAGTTGGTGAACATAGAGTGGTCCGGATAGTGATCGACAATGAAGGTCTGCTATGAAAGCTGCAAGAAAAAAGTTAATGCGAGTTTGTCCTCACATATATTGGTCGGCTTGTTCTGCTCATTGTTTGGATCTAGCTTTAGAAGACATTGAAAAAAAATCGAAGGTCAAAGAAGTGCTTGAGAAGGTAAAAAAAATTACCCAATTTATTTACAATTATAATTGGGTAGTTAATTATATGAAAAAATTTACTAATGGGTGTGACTTACTTCGACCCCGCATCATTAGATTTGCCACCAATTTTGTTGCTTTGGAAAGCATTGTTAAGTTTAAGAATGCACTCGAGGAGATGTGGGAGTCGAAGCTTGGAATAATTCTAGATATGGGAGGATGAAGGATCAACTTGCTATCGACGTTCGCATATTAGTGCTGCAAGAAGATCCACAAGTAATAAGATTCCGAAAGAATGCGGGTGACATGATAGCCATTGCGAAGCCAATTGTAAAGGTTTTGAAATTTATGGATGGTGATGACAAACCGACCATGGGGTTTATCTATGAAGCAATGCAAAGAACAAAGTCAAAAATCCAAGCAAGTTGTCGATATTCAAAAACATGGTGTGACATAATTGATAAAAGAGGGAATTTCAATTACATACGGACTTACATGCAATTGGTAAGTATATAAATTTATATAAATTAATCATAAAAATATAAAGATATCTTCAATTATTATTTATACTTAAATATAATTTTGAAGTAATGTTGTTTACTCTTTTTTTGTAGGTTATTTTTTGAATCCCCAATATTATTATGTACTCCAAGAGAATCCAATTTATCAAGATGAAAAAATCATGCAAGGTGTCGAAATGCAATTATGAGATTGGAACCCGACATTGATAAGCAAATCAAAGCCATCAATGAAGTAAGTTAAATAATTTTGTGAATTGTGATAACATAAGATGCTAAAAATATTTACTATCATATGATATATATTATAATATTATTATAATATTTGTTAATTTAAATATGCGAGTTGGAATTGTATAGTTTGAAACAACAAACATTTAGTTTAACTATAGCTCGGAAAGTTGTGTATTCAACAAATCCAGGTACTTTCTTAATTTATAAAATTTCATATAGTAAACATTATTGGTGTTATTTTTTAAAAATTTATGAAATTTTATTTGTTCAATGTAGTCGAGTGGTGGAATAGTTATGGAAATGATGCTCCAGTGACTTAGAAAGATTGCAATGCGATTTTGAGTCAAATAACTTCCGCTTCAAATTGTGAGAGAAATTGGAGCACTTTCGACTTAGTGCATATGAATATAAGAAACGAGGTTGAAGTATCAAAAATTACATACACTTGTTTATCTTCATTACAACATGAAGTCGAGGTTAAGAAATACATTGCGGAAGAGTCGAAAGAATTAGGAGAAAGTTTTAATCCAATCAATTTGGATTACATGTTTTATGAAGATGATCCACTGTCTCCTTGGTTAGAGGGAAATGAACAACCGAGTCCTCGATGGACAAAATATGAATTGGTTGCATGTGCATGATGATGATAGCGATAATGACGATGGTGATGACAAGAACGATCATAACAATTCTAATGATCAAACTAATCCGCATGATAGTGATAATGGTGATAATGATGATCAAGATGAGAAACCAAGTGATCCGGGAGCTTCTCATAGCAACAATAGTAGCGATAGCAATGATGGAGGTCGTGGAAAGGGAATAGCTTTTGATAGCGAGTGTTAATCCAATTCTATATAGGCGTGGGTTACATGGTTCCACTCGCACCTAAATCCGATGCTAGAAATAAAGCACCAATAATAGAACAACAACAATCTAGTGGTACCATACTGCATGATCAAGGACATCACTTTGTCTCCTCCGAAGATAGTTTGACTTCTAACTTCAATTATGGTCAAGGACAATACTACCACTCATAAGGTCCACAAGTATATGGTTATGTATCTAATGATTCATATGGAACTTCATCGGACTAGTTAATTTCAAATCTACAACATCCTCAAGAAATTGGATCATTTATTGTCGCTTCATTATTTAGGCAATTGGGTTTGGAAGGACAATATAGTTATGATTGTAATTTTGATAGATCGGGATCACAACATCAACAACAAGATGATAAATATTATTATGATCCTCCACGACGATCTTTTTAGAGATGAATATTTTGTAATGTGTATATTGAAATTATAATGTATTTTATTATTTTTCATATGATATTAATCTATTGAAAGTGTTATTAATTATTTTTTATAATAAATTTAACTATTGTTATATGTTATTAAAATATTAGAGATATGATTACTTATTATTAAGTTTAAATAGTAAAACTATCGAGCAATTGTGAATTAGAATAATTTTATTACCGATTGCTAATATATTCACATAATTAATCGTCGCGATCGTTATTTTACGACCGCGATGAGCCGCGATCCGTGATTGCGATCGCGATCGTTTTTTCATCCGCGACCGCTATTTAAAACTATGGTCTTACCTACTTCAAGAAGTTCTTCAACTAAACCATTTCTTTATCAATTTCTAAAATAGTCATATACTCAACTTCAATAGTAGAAAGACCAACACATTTTTTAAGTCGAGACACCCAACTCATAGCAGTACCATCCAAAATGAAGACATAACCTATTGTGCTATTTCTATTGTCTAGATCATCACCTAAATCTACATCAATAAATCCTTATAGAATAGTGTTATTCTTTTTAAAACAAAGAGTCATATCCGAAATACATAACGAAGAATCCACTTTACTCATTCTCAATGCCTTTTTTTTTTTTTCATTTGCCATGTACCTACTAATAACTCTCACTACATGAGCTATATCGAGTCTTGTGTAAACCATAACATATATTATGCTTCCAACTGATCGCCAGTGCATAAGGAATTGTAGACATTTTTTTTTTTTTTTTTTGCTCCTCGGTTGTCATCGATGATCTGCTCCTTTAAAAGCCTAAGAGAGCTTCCCAAAAGAGTGCTTCTAATTTTGCATTCCTAAAGGTTAAATTTGCTAAACACTTTCTAAATATAGTTTTCCTAGGATAAAATCCATATATCTTCTAATCTATCTCTATAGATTCTCATCTCCGAGTATCTATTTTATAGGTCCCAAGTCTTTCATCTCAAGTTGTTCTACTAATTGTTGTTTGAATTTATTGATCTTTTTAAAGTTAGATCCTATAATAAACATATCATCAACATACAAGAGCAAAATAAGATAATCGTTTGGTTCTATCATTGTCTTGAAATGTTACCCTAAGTGTATCCCATGCTTGCTTTGCTGTTTCACAACCCATAATCCTTGTGAAAACTTCTTCAGTTACTGCTGAAGATATGCAAGTCTTGGCCTTGTACCCGCTTTTTATTGCTAAATTTGTGATCTCTGATTTCTTCAATGATTGGATTAATGGTGGTATTTCTTCTATTATCACATCCCATAAATCACTTGCTTGCAGGTATGACTCCATCTTCGCTGCCCAGATCTGAACGTTTTCACCTGTAAAAATAGGTGATGCTGACATAAAATTGTTTCCTGTCATAATTGTCTATCTGGTTTGAAGTTTAGGTGTTTAGTTTCAATGGTTCAAAGATTGAATTGGTCTACTTTTTCACTTACTAAACTTGGCATTTATACAGTTTTAGCAAACTAGAATACAATAAACTAATGCTACAAATCCGGAACAAACTCTTTAAAAAAATAAATAAATATCAAACTTGATGATTCAAAGATAACAAATCAGGTCATTGACGATAGCTTGTTAATGACTTATTCTTCAAAAGATGCATTCGTACATGTCGAATATCCTTTATCATAATAGAGTTTTGGCAGCAATAAAAGCGATGGAAGTTGGAATTGTTGGAATCGAAGTCTCCAATGATGGAGCTCGCCAACTTTTTCTGTGAGGCAGTAGAAATCGAAAGGCAGTTCCCTTGCGATCTGCACATCTGCTAGACATGTTTTCCCTTTAATGAGAACAGTTTTTATATGAATCCTAGCACATTAGGCCAGACAACATTGCAGAATTTCTTGGTGATTTGTTATACTTCTCCAAACATGCTACCTTTTGATTATAAGCTTATGTCAAATTTCAAGTCACCGAATTGATGAGAAGGCATAAAAAGAAACAAATACTTAGCTCATGGAAAATCCTGGTGCTCATGGAGACTTCTTTTAATGAAAATATTTATCACCATGCTCAATGGAACTAGTTTTACTACTATTCTTTACCCGGTGTGCAGGTGTTTGCTGTTCGAGGGGAAATTCTGGTTTTATTTGACAGGGTGATACGGAAGGGAACCGAAGTTTTCAAGGTCTCAGCCCATGGTGCGCAAGCTGTTCTGGTAAGCTCTTCATAGTTCAACTATTTGGTTCAGAAGCTTGGTGGCTTCATTTTTGTTGTTCCTTTTCGTGCATAGGAATTGAAGTTGACTCCCCTTTGGAGAATCGAACGCGCAGCCTCTCCTCAAAAGAGGAGTGTTGCTACCAGTGGACAAGAGCCATATTGGCGTGATTTTATTTTTAGATAGAGAAATCAGAGGAATATTTAGTAATTTCTTAACTATATTTTCATGATGATGTTTCTAAAGTTACGATTCAATGTTGGCATGTGTTCATGAAGGTTGGGAGACCTGTTGTCTTCGGGCTGGCAGCGAAGGGAGACAATGGAGTGAGAAGGGTGATCGAAATGCTGAAGGCTGAGCTTAAGCTCACAATGGCCCTTTCTGGGCTCTGGCTGTCGTAGTAGTGTAAAGGATATTACCTGAAATCAAATTTTCTTTGAGTCTTGTTGGCTGTTCCCAAGAACCAAGCTTTTGAATGGTTGGAATCAAATAATACGAGTCGATGAATTGTATCGGTAGAATGCCGGGAAACCATTTCATCTGCTCAGCGTCAGCAGATATTGGAAATAATACAATTACTCTGCTTTTGCTGAAATCCCTCCTGCATTTAACTTGATGTCCTCTCAAAAAAATAATAATAATAATCAGTTATTGCTAATCCGGTTATTCAAAATGGGGGAATAAGAATCTTAAATGGACGAAAACTGGTTTGGTATAGAATAACCAAAACATTGTATTCATTCATTTCAATACGCTAGTTTTCTTTTCTTGCTACTTGCTTTGCATATGATATTATGCGTTACTTTTCACTGGTCATATATGGTTCTAATTTTCTTATAAATAAACAAATTTTAAATGTTTATTGAATCAAAATGTCTGATATTTAAAGTCTAAATAATTTTATATAAAATTAAACAAGTTGTATTATCTTATAGATCAAGAAATCTAGTTACAGTTGCATATTAAAGACAGTTCTTAATAGCGTAGATATTTGAACAGAAGGATACCATTTGTGCATGTGAAATAGTAATAGCCATGATGGAGTTTTACTGTAGCTAATTCCCACTACAATAAAACCAAAAGAACATGTTCTGAGTTTTTTTTAAGTTGAAACAATACTGTTTTTCTGTGTTTTTACTGATGTGGTCCTTTCAGTTTATATTGTATACATAACGATCCTTAAATTTAATTATTGTTACGAAAAAATCTTTATATTTTTGTGTGACCTTGGTTGTCTCTGGTCCCGTACAGAAGGGCCTGATGTGAGCCCAACCCAACCTCTCTTTTCTTTTCTTTTTCCTTTTTTATGCTTTTTTATTATTTATTATTTAGTCGAAATTAATTTTTTATTCTTTTATTTTTTGTTATTAATTATTAACTCAAAATAATTTTTTTCATAATTAATGGTTACTTTTTTTATAGATTCATTAACTAAAGTTAAACACTCTTCTAATATAAAATAACTTAGCTAATTTAATTTTTTAAATAAATAAGTATACAATTAATTGTATGTTTTCTTCTTCTTCTTCTTTTTTTTTTTTTTTACTGATCAAATCCAAAAATATTTGTAGAATATATTTAAACTCAAAATACATTTTATTAAATATTTCATAATATATATTAAATTAAAAAAAATCTCATAACTAGTATTAATTAATTTTTATTTTATGCCTATATTTTTGAGTTATATAAAATATTAAAAAATTAATGGTTACTTTTTTATTTTTTTATAGACTAATTAACTAAAATTAAACTTTTTTTTTAATATAAATTGATTTAGAAGATTCTTCTAATTGGATTTTTTTAAAAAAAAATTAAAGAATTGCATGTTTTCTTTTTTTATTGATCAAAAACAAAAATATTCCCAGGATATATTTAAACTCATTTATGGAATATATATCACATAATACATATTAAATTAAATAAATTCTCACAATTAGTGCTAATTAAGTTTTATTTTACACAGATTTTTTAATTATTTAAAATAATAAAAAATATTATATAGATTAATCCCCGACAAGGCGCGAGTACTATGCTAGTGTATTTCCTATAAAATAAACTTTAAAACGAAGGGTATATTTTAAAAAGTCAAAATTTTAGGACTAGAATATAAAAATTTCCAAGAGTTTTTACTGCCATAGCAATTGCAATTTGTCCAGGAAACTATGGTGTCAAACCAGTCCTCCATACCATACCAAGTCCAAATAAACTCTCTTGTTCTTCCAGTCCAGGCTGCAGAATATATATATGTATGATCCAAATTTTTGTCATGGTGTACGAGATAACAGCCACATCACAATTTAAGTAATAAAGAAAGATACATATTTCTTCACCGAAGTGTAACCTCATGGTCGCAGATGCTACTGCTACAAATCATTTAACAGGAACCATGCTATTATTTCTGGCCATCGATCCCATAGTTGCATAATCATTGATAGAAAATGGATAAACAAGTTTACTATATCTAATGCGGCAAAATACATGTAATCTTTCATGCACCAGGCAGCATTGAATGTTTTGACTGATAAAAGAGTATAAGACTAGACCATACCTAATTTTGGCTCATCTGCACATATAAGCTATACGTGCAAAATCCTACTCCCTGAAAATTTCACGCTTCCGTTCAACTACATGATGTTTCTTGTTGCCTACTTATTACATGGCGGGTTGTTGCAAATCAACAACTTAGTTATACACAAAATATGCCCCAATAACCCAAATAACCAACCATGGACACTTAAACGTCATAAGTATTACATTCCTAAAATAACCACTCGTGATGAAATTATCTATCCTTCCAGCTCCCTCCAATCCTATGGAATTCACTCCATTTACCTGGCTCCAATATCAACTTTCTACTTCAGTACAGAGATGCCCAAAGGGGTTCTTTTGCGCTAAACTAGAGGAACTAGAGCCATAATTCAAGCAGCAAAACCAAAAAAATTTTAACTTGATCATGCATTGCTAACAGAGTTGCTTTTGTTCACAGCTTGGAGCTCCATAGGAGAATTTGTGATGCTTCCAACAGAACCAAGGGTTTGAGAGCTCAGCTGTGGACTGGCAGGACAAGCCTCTGGATTACCAGAACTAATGGCATGGATTGCTCCTGAACTCAACTGTGGGCTCATTGGGGTTCGCTGGCTCATTTGCTGTGGGCTGGGTTGTTGCTGGGGTTGCTGCTGCTGGGTTTGTTGGCTCAATTGAGGAATTCCCATGTTTGAAGGTGACCCTACTTGTGAAGGTGAAACAACAGCCTGTAGCGATGAAGTTGTTTCTTGCTGCTGCAGTAGCAGCTGTTGATGTTGCTGAGGCTGTAATTGTTGTTGCAGTTGTTGTAATTGTGGCTGCTGTAATTGTTGCTGTTGCTGCTGCTGCTGCTGATGTAATTGCAGTTGCTGCTGCTGCTGCTGGTTCATATAGTGATTCATCCCTGCCATCATCTTTGGTGGACCCATAGGACCCATTGGACTTCGTTGCATTAGATTTATGTTGGCTCGGTTCAGAGATTGGCCCGGCATGGAAAAACCAGCAGAGCCCGGATGCATCTGTCTGGCTCCTGACATCCCAGCTATGCCAGATTGAGAGACCCCTAACATGCTCCCTCGGCTCATTCTATGTTTCATCATCAGAGCAGTTGTAGGATTCATGTGTCCAGCACGAAGTTGCTGACTTATTGCATTGATATTTGGAATCTGGCCCAGATTCATTGTGTTCTGACCAACATTACTCATGCCAGTTATAGGAGCCATAGGTCCAGAGATTCCAGTTCCTATTCCCCTTGCTCCTCCAATGCCCATGGCATTGCCCAGACCTCCTAGGCCAACCATGTTATTCCCCATATTTCCCATACCCATAGCTGTTCCAAGTCCCATCATCATTTTCCTTTGCTGCATCTGGGGCAGCTGCTGCTGCTGCTGCTGCTGCTGCTGTTGCTGCTGCAGCTGCTGCGACTGTTGCTGCTGCAGCTGCTGCGGTTGATGCTGCTGCTGCTGTGGTTGATGTTGCTGTTGCTGCTGCTGTTGATTCTGTTGATGCTGTTGTTGCAACATCTGGAGCTGAAGAGAAGAGGGCTTGTTTACCATGTGACTACCCAACTGCATGTTTGAATTCGATCCAATTGCACTAAGATGAGAGAGTGGATTTGACGAAAGCACCATTGGTGACCTTTGAAACTGTGAATTATGTTGATGAATCAAGGCATGTTGATTTTGCTGCTGCAGCTGCTGTTGTGGTTGCTGTTGTTGTTGCTGCTGCAGAAGAGAGAGCTGTGGGTCTACTTGTTGTGGTCTTGCAGGCATTGAAACCCCAGACACGAGACTTTGGGAGATCTGTAATGCCTGAGGATTTCCAGGAGGTATCATCCTTGAATTTGCTAGTAGATTGTGGGATGGATTAATAGATGCATTGGCACCAAGAGTAGACTTTACATCATTGCATGTTTGAACTGAAACTGCTTCATTGTATTGCTTCACCTCAGTCGCTGAATTATTAGAAGGGCCTCCAGAAACACTCGGTTGACTGCTGGAAGCAATATTGATGCAGATAGGTCTTGGTTGAATATGATCTTCCACATGATATCCATCACGCATCATCTGGAACAGCAAATTGCATTACTTAAAAGTTAATTGCATCGAGGAGATAATCTTAAATCTCAATTTCTGAACAAGCAATCATTTCCTTCAAAACGTACCAGGGAACGAAATTGTTTTGCAAGCAAATCCGCAAAATGCTGTAACAGAAATTAGTCAGATTTGAAACTATGCTCGTCCCGATAAGCTAATATTGATGTGACAAGTAAAATTGAAAGAAACTATGGAAACTGACGAATTTTCAGCCCACATATTAATTGTTTCACTAAAACAGCCACAACAGATCTTTCAGATTGATGAAGCTATGCTCACAAGGACAGAAAAATGAAATCCAATACACATTAGTGAAGTTCGTGAACAGGAAAAATCCAATAATATGACAAAATCCAGAGAGTAGCAACAATGATACTAAACGAAGTAGCAGCAAATTAAGGGGTCAAAAAGAAGGGAGACGATATTTGCACACCAAATAGTCTGACCACACTTTTTAAGTTCTTTCTATGCTAAAAAAGACAAAGTTAACCATTTTCTTACTTTCAGGCTTATTTTTTGCACTAATAGTATCTGTAGGAAATATCGGGATATAATTAAATAGGAAATATTTTGTATATTTTTTCCTATTCTGTAGGGATCCTATTCTATTTTCCTATTCTTTAGGAAATATTTCCTATCTTAGGACTCTCTATGTATGTATATATATATATATATGTAGTTGTGTAATTGATATACAGAAATTATTTTCCCAAATATTATTTTCTTCATGGTATCAAAGCCTTAGGGTTTCTTTGCTGAAATCTGCCACTGTACAGCCTTCATTGCTGTCAATTTTCTTCAGTTTTTTCCACAGCCTTAATTGCTGTAATTTTTCATAGTTTTTTAAAACTTTTGTCCCTTCACTATGTCTACAACCGAAACTTCCATCTTAGAGGAAGTAAATTCTGTCCAAAAACCCTGGCATACCAAGGAGGAGTGCTGGAAATTATATGGCAAGCCGTCAACTCACAACCGAGAATGGGGTCAAAGAGGTGGGCAGCAAAGACAGTCACAGAGGCAAGCCTATGTGACAACACAAAACGCACCGAAGGGATTAGAAGGACTCAGTATGGAAGATCTGAAAAAACTCAAGAGCTTGCTAGGATCCATGGAAAAACCTGCTACACCTCCTAACCAATCTCAAGGTTTGTGCTCATTAACGCTCTCGGGTAAAACTCCCATCTCCTTTGGATTAAATGTTTGGATAATGAGTTTCGGAATGCATGGATTTTAGACTCGGGTGCTACGGACCATATGACCCACACATCCAGCTTTTTCAAAACCTATACACCTTGTCCCGAGTAGTCGAAAAATAACCGTAGCCGATGGTACAACAACCACGAGTAGCCGGTATTGGAGATATCCAAATTGGTCAAAACATGATGCTAAAAAATGTTCTTCATGTTCCTCGATTATCCACCAATCTTATTTCTGTTCATAAACTTATCCAAGACTTGAATTGTCATATTACCTTTTTTGTTGGTTGTTGTGAATTTCAAGATCGGGAGTCGAGGAAGAAGATTGGACTTGCTAAAGAGCACAATGGCCTTTACTACTTCGATACACCAAGTCAACGAGCCCGATTAATTTATCTTCTCCATTCTCATGTTTTTCACGAGTCAAATAAAGATACCATTTGGTTACATCATAGGCATCTAGGTCATTTGTCGTTTTTTACCTTAAAAATAATGTTTCCGAGACTTGTTTAAAGGAGTCGATGTTAAAGTTTTTCGAGTGTGACATTTGTGAGTTTGCCAAACACACACGTGTATCGTTTCCAATAAGCAATAAAAAATCAAGTTTTCCTTTTTCTTTAATTCATAGTGACATTTGAGGCCCTTCGTCCATCCAAAACATTACTTGGATCAAAATGGCTTGTTACTTTTATTGATGATTGCACTAGAACTTCCCGGGTTTATCTTCTTAAACAAAAGTCCGATGTCGATCATATTGTTCCCACTTTTATCTCTATGATAAAAAATCAATTTGGGGTACCAATCAAACGTATCCGGTCGGATAATGCTCGTGACTACTTTAATCGGACTTTGTCTTCCTATTTTCAAAAAGAGGGTATTATTCATGAGTCATCTTGTGTCATCACTCCACAACAAAACGGAGTTGCTGAACGTAAAAACCGTCATCTTCTTGAATGTACTAGGGCGTTTTTGTTCCAACGGAATGTTCCTAAAACGTTTTGGGGAGAGGCGGTTTAACGTCGGCCTATGTCATAAATAGGATGCCCTCTAAAGTCTTAGATTTCAAAAGTCCACTGGAAATTTTATCTCGGTTCTTCCCCGATGTTCGATCTTCCTTCAGCCTTACCCCTCGTATTTTTGGGTGTACATCCTTTGTTCATGTCCATAATACCACTCGGGGAAAGTTAGATCCTAGAGCCCTTAAATGCATTTTTTGGGGTATTCGAGTCACTCAAAAGGGATACAAGTGTTATCATCCACCTACTCATAAGCTCTATGTCTCAGCTGATGTCACTTTTGTTGAAAATAAACCATATTTTTCTACACCTTACATTCCGGAGGAGCTTCCTACAATTGTTGATTCCGATATTGATCTGTCTCTTGATATTTCTTCATCAAGAGATGTAGCTCCTCATGAACAGCCTCTTGATGATCATGTTTACCAATCCACCATTCCCTTGCTCGCGAAGAAACCGAGGATAGTGGTAGATTGATTGATCAGTTTCGGTTTGATAAGGTGTATACAAGGAAAAAGGACGCCATTCCTGCTTCTGCAGACAAGATCAATCACTTGTACCGAGTTCTGAACCCGAGGTAACAATTTCTAACATTTTTTCTCCCTCATCCGATTCTACACCACCCGAGACTCGATCTTAACAAACCTATAGCCTTAAGGAAAGGAACCCGCAACCGCACAAAAACACCTTTATACCCACCGGCCAATTTTGTGTCTTTCACTAATTTTTCTCAAAATCACCGTAGCTATCTGTCCACATTAAATTCAATTGCTATTCCTAACTCTTTGTCCGAAGCTTTATCTAAAGAAGAATGGAGACTTGCTATGACTGCAGAGATGAAAGCACTGGAAAAGAATGGTACTTGGGAATTGGTGCCGCCGCCTCAAGGGAAGAAAACAGTCGAGCTGTAAGTGGGTGTTTACGGTGAAACTTAAGGCGGATGGGTCTTTAGAACGATACAAGGCCGGACTCGGTTGCCAAGGGTTATACTCAAACATATGGGGTTGATTATCAAGAGACGTTTGCTCCAGTAGCAAAGATGAATACGAGTGCGAATTTTGTTGTCATTGGCGGTCCACTTTGATTGGGAGTTACAGCAATATGATGTGAAGAATGCATTTTTACATGGTAACTTGGAGGAAGATATTTACATGAGCATTCCACTCGATTTTAGTGGTAGTGATGGGAATCAAGTTTGTAAACTCAAGAAGGCGTTGTATGGTCTCAAACAATTACCCCGTGCTTGGTTTGGTCGGTTTACTCATGTGATGCTTGCGAATGGATATAAACAAAGCCAAGGAGATCACACTTTACTTATCAAACACACTCGCTTCGGGGGGTCACAATTCTGATTGTCTACGTTGATGATATCATTGTAACCGGGAACGATGAAACAGAGAAAGGAGTGTTAAAGCGAGTGTTTGAACCAAGAGTTTGAAATTAAAGACTTTGGGAGATTGAAATATTTTCTTGGCATAGAGGTGGCTCGGTCTAAGCAAGGAATATTCATCTCACAGCAAAAATATGTTACTTGGTTTACTCATGGAAACCGGGATGACAGCAAGCAAACCTGCAGCAACTCCAATCGAACAAAATCATCGATTAGGAGAAGCTTTAGGTGATAAGAAGGTGGAGAAGGAAAGGTATCAACGTCTTGTAGGAAAACTCATCTATCTTGCTCATACTAGACCGGACATAGCTTATTCTGTGAGTGTTATTAGTCGGTTTATGCATGATCCAAGAGAAATTCATCTACAAGCTGTTTACGAGTTCTTCGTTATTTGAAAGCTCACCCAAGCAAAGGAATTCTATTTAAGAAAAAACAGAATATTGATTTAGCGAGTTTACACGGATGCTGACTTTGCGAGGTTCTCCAGTTGACGGAAGATCGACTACGGGATACCTGTACTTTTGTTGGAGGAAACTTGATATCTTGGAGGAGTAAAAAACAGGATGTGGTTGCACGATCAAGTGCAGAGGCTGAATTTAGAGCAATGGCAGCAGGTATATGTGAACTATTATGGGTGAAAATCATCTTGGAAGATATGAAAGTTGAATGGTGTGGTCCAATGAAGCTCTACTCGTGATAATAAATCTGCCATCAGTATAGCGCACAATCCGAGTGCAACATGACCGAACTAAACACGTAGAGGTGGACGAGACATTTTATTAAGGAAAAGCTCGACGAGTGAATTAATTTGTACTCCATATGTTCCTACGAATCTTCAGTTGGCGGATGTTCTAACAAAAGGATTAAACAGTCATACATTTCAGGAAAATATATGCAAGCCGGGAATGGAAGACCTATATTCACCGACTTGAGGGGGAGTGTAGGAAATATCGGGATATAATTAGATAGGAAATATTTTGTATATTCTTTCCTATTTTGTAGGGATCCTATTCTATTTTCCTATTCTTTAGGAAATATTTCCTATCTTAGGACTCTCTATGTATATATATATATATGAGTGTAGTTGTGTAATTGATATACAGAAATTATTTTCCCAAATATTATTTTCTTCGGTATCTGATTTGCCACTTAAAAAAATAACAATAAAAACAATTCTTTTCCAATGTTGCGATGCAACTCTTTGTCTCTTTCCTAGCTTTTTACAACTCCTGCACTCTTCATATCCTTCCATAGCCTTTTACCGATCCTTCTAACTTGTTTTTTATGTTGTGAAAAAACTTAAAGAAAACCATGGAAACATGTTATAAAAACTTAAATACAGAGGCTTGGATTATTTTTCAGATTACCATGTTCCTTCTTACTCTAATATCTCGGAGCCGATTAATATTAATGGTAAGAATCATACTATTTTCAAACTAATTTTTTTGTGCAACTACAGTAAAAAATTTATATATATTTGAACATATTTATTCTTCTATGATGGATAATACTAGTGCCAAGAATATTCTAACAAGTCACAAATTTTTTAGAGTTTTCCAATAAACAATGCAATTTGAAAATAATTTTCTTTTTAACTAATATATTATTATGCTTTTTTATGCAGGTGGGTTTGGGGATATTTCTTTTGAGCTTTGGCTTCCGTTACTGTCACATTTTGAAGACATATAATGTTTTTTTTTTTCTCTTTATTTCTTTTAGACTTGGGATGAAATTTGTGACGTCAAAATGCAGTATTTCTGTTTCATTTTTGTAATTCTCGACAGCATGTGTTTTCTTGTTACTTGTTACTGTGGATTTTTTGCTACTTTTCTTCTCTCTTGTTAGTATGATTGGTCGCAAGGACAAGCAGACCCTATCTTCCTAGTTTTCGTTTGTGTTTTGTAGTTTACAATATTGAGGATGGTTACTTTTGAATACAGGACAAAGAAGTTAAATTAGTGTTTTATTATTACATGTATCCATGGGTTCCCATCAGGCCATTGTTTACCCATGCTCCTAACTCTAGTGTATCATGCTCTAGAGTCTAGTGTATCATGAGATTCTCTAAGTTCATTCAATTTTTTTATTGACCTTCCATCACACCCAAAAAAAAAAATATCAGTAGTTATAAAAGTGAAAGAATGCACATTTATTGTGTACCGTGGATGAGACAAGGATGTAGTAGTGAATTATAAAGTGCAAGAAAGAAGCCAGAAATCTTTTCCACATACAAAAAACTTGAGTGTGTAGTTTGACCATTCAGCGTGCCAATTGCAACACCACAAAAGGAATACTAGCTTAATTGACAGTGGATGAGATGCACAAACATAGGGAAAATGGCAATGCAACCACAAGGTACTTATCTGAGAATGTAAGAGTTGAAATATCCATAATCTTTAGTGTTACTTGTTGTAATAATTAGGAAGATCCAAAATACACGACAATTATAAGCAAGATTTTCTTAGGTTAGACCTCCATTATATCCAAATCCAACAAATGAAATCTATACACTACACTTACAGTATTGGGCAATGTAGGAAGATAATCTTCTGCTGATAGAACATCAAACTCATCTGCTTCTCCATAATGCATCACCACAGTACCATCATTTGGCTTCTCTGACATAATCATTCTATTCCTCTTTGTAACATAAGAAACAGCATTTCCTGTAGAAACAACACAAAAGGGATACATAAATATTGTCAGAGGCCACAGACTATGTATTTCGTTGATAACACAACAAACCTTGAAGAACTCGTTCTGACAGTATGAAATCCATAAATCTCGTCTTGCAGATATTCATATTGCCACCTACAAGAGACTTTGATAACTTTGTTGCATTAGTATCATCTTGGAACTCCTCATTATTGGCTGAATTGGAGAGACATACTTGCAGATTTTTAGATAAATAGGTGTTTGGTTTCCTGATAGGGTAATCATCAACTTTATTCTTTTTGCGGTTGAGTTGATGCCTGGAACAGAAGCAAGTAGAAAATGAATAACCAGAACAAGATAGAATACTGTCACTGGACTTCTAAGAGACACAAATCAAGATGTTCTCACCAAAAAAGATATCAAGCTGACAGAATGGGAAAAGGTTTTGCTTTTTGATACTATTTAATTGTATACAACGTGAGGGCACTGCCCCCAAACATACTATTCCCACCTCAACATAGCAATAAAGAGAAATGTGTGTGTGACAGAGAGAGAGAGATTAAAAAATAAGAAGAATTATGCAAGATGTATCGAAATAAATTTTCCCAGCATGCAGTAGAATTGATTAATGCTTATTAAGAAGGAAAAGAAAATCCGATTAACCCAGAATCTCTGTGGATTGACATTTAAGCTTTATGCAGCCAGAAGATATGATTACAGTAACTAAAAATCAAATTTCTATTTCAAAGGAAACATTAAGGCATGAAACAATAATGGAACAGTAAATTAGTAAACTTTTTATACCTCATTGTCACCATCTCAATCTTCGCAAATCTTTCGAGCATGCTTTGATCGGCCATAGGTGGGGTCCCAACTGAAGGACTATTTGCATTTAATGGAATGCTTATATTGTTAACACTTGCAGGAGACCCCACATTGCTCATTACTGGGGTCTTAGGAACGGAATTTGATCTCCGTTTTGCAGCAAGTTGAGCCTGATGCTGCCTTTGCAAGCTATCATTAGCACTGGAAGTCAAAGATGGGGTTCCACCAACAGCAGCACCCACTGACTTCTCCTTTTGTGATGACCCAAGTGCAGCAGTTGCTGCAGCTGCTCCAAAATGGGGTCCCGCTGAACCACTGGACAATTCCCCGGATTTTGATGATAGAGGTGATTGAGCTAAACCCCCAGTAGATAATCGGGGACTTTGTGCAGATTTCCTCTTCTGGAGCTGTTCCTCCTTCCTACAATCTTGGCTCAGATTGTTCCATCCAGCCTGCGGGAAATTAGATCTCATGATTTGTTGTGGTAATCTTTGCTGTACCCGTGGTTGCTGTGTGTCCAAATGGCCTGTTTCTGTTTCAATCATCTGCATATCATTTTTACCCTGACTAAGCACTGAACCATCCAGTTTTTCTGTCTCAAACTGTTCTTCCTTGAGACCAAGTCTCATAGCTGGCTGTCCTGCAGAAAATGATGTTGCTGCAGCATTTTGATGTATAACCCCCTCTAACATCTGGTGAGGATACTTCTGAATGCCTGCATTAGCATACTGAATTCCTCTTGTCATTGCTTGCTGCTGTAGTAGTGAATTCTTCCAGTTCATTTCTGATTCATGGAGGCCATCCATATGCGGCCCCATTTGCTGCTGTTGAATTCCATCAGGACCTGCTGGTGTAAGCCTTGCTCTCTTATTAAAACTAGATAAAGGCGACATTTGCGGATCTTGGTTCTCCCTCTTCCCATGAAGAGAACCACCAGAATTAATGGTGTTGCTGTAAGCAACCATCATGTCCTGCCCAGAAGGGGAAGCTCCTGAAATGTTATTAAGAGATCCTGACCCTTGATCCTGCATACTTCTTGGGGAAATCCCCATTTGATACCTCTGTTGCTGGGATACCAAAGGTAGTGCTGGAACATTGCCATCTGGAACAAAGCTTCTAGCTCTTAAGGCTAACATGTTGCTAGGGCCAAGGTTTTGAGTAGTCTGATTCTCCTGGACATGCTGTGGCATCACATTGCTTGAAATGATTCCTGAATCCCCAAACCTACTGTTAGAGCTTTCAGGCACTCGGTTGATGCAAACTTTCTTTCCGTGGATTCTGTTATTAGATGTGACGGTAACTTCAGGTGTCTGCCTTAATCTTTTTCTACGGAAACTGCTCAGATCTAAATTCAGCTGCAAATGACATTCGGCAGGGTTGAGAAACATATAATGAATTCCTTCAGCCATAGAACATTAAGTCACTGTCTAAATATATTACCTTGGTCAAAATTGGGTTATTGCAGAGCCTATCCAGTTTGGGAGTAGGATCTAGACAAAGCTGTGGTTGCAATGCTTTCAATATCCGAGATTCTACTTCCTGCAGCAAAAAGTGAATACTAAAATGTGGTAAAATTGATTGTCTAAATTTATTCTCTGATGAATGAGTTCAACATACTTACCATCAAATCACCATACGTCCAAGAATTATCAGAGATCAACGGTATATCCTTCACTACATTCTCCAATGACATCCTAAGGCATACTTTATTGATGATAGGGAGTAGATCCATAGAAGGAATGCTAGACCCCTGCTCGGAAGCACATTTCCTATAATCTCGCACCTGTAAGAGTTTTGAGATTAGCAAATTCTAAAACCTTTAAACATATCAGCTTCAATAACTTCCTCCTTTCTACACATGTGCGCACACACCCACATGCAATGCTCAAATGAATTTAAGGTGAATATTCAAAGCATTCATAATTATCATTCCAGTTTATCAAAATTAACTGCACCAAGCATAACATAAATTGGTAAAGATAACTCACTATATTTGAATTACTTACCTCACATACAAGGGTTCCATTAACATATTTACATGGAACATCATCCAGAATATCTCCAGGCAAGCGGCCGGACTCAATTGCCTCCAAACATATTCACACATAGAAAGGCAGGAAAGTCAGTTTAAGAAAAGTTTGCAGTAAAGTTGAAATCCAAAGAGCATTACAAAGCAGACAACAACATATGTTAGATAAGGAGGAAACTGCCTCATCAATGGATTTTAAAAAATAAAATGGGGTATTTTTTACAATGAAGAAGTTCCCTGAGCCAACCATGCAATCTGAATAGTCTTTATGCAGAGTTAGTCAAGCTGGGACGTAAATGAATCTGCATAATACATCTTACATGCAACAAATAGGTTAATTAAATGCGCTATGGATAAGTTCCAAAACATGCCATACAACAAATGTACTACTGCATCAAAATGTCTGATCTACATGCTGCCCAAATAAAATTTTCAATTTGAAAATAAAACAGCCTTTGAGAACTAACCAAAATAAAACCCCTCACAGATTAGAAGACAAGGATAAGCAGAAATTTACCGAAAAGAGCGTTTCGGAAGTCTTATCATATGGATGCAACAACTTCTGACCACCTTGAAGAGGAGCCTGATGAGCAGCCTCAATCTGAAAAAACATGTACTTGGACTTACAATTAACCAACAAAGATGGTATGGAAGTAGATTTTCTTTTCTCCTTCAAGTCACTTTCTTAAAAATTATTTTGCAGAAATAAGGTTTTTCAGACTAACCTCTGAGGGTTTTCCTATAGAATATCCATCTGGATAGAGGTTCAATGTGAATGAAACTTCATGTTCTGGCAGAACAAGAGACAACCAAAAGAAATCAGAATATAAACTTGAGAGAAGATACTCGATCAATTGAATCAATCTGACATGCAGAAATGCTAAGGGCTTTACCAGATATAGATGAACTTGAGACAGCTAAAGCATCCTCAGCACCCTCAACAATGTCACCCTATTTCATAGAACATTACAGATTATGGTATAGAGAAACCAAAGCAAAGCATAAAATATAACATCCATGCCACCCCTTAACTCAACACCTTATCATTTAATGGCTCTCAATCAACAAGAACAAAGAGTTTCACCATTGCTATGAATCGGAAAGTGTGAAAGATAATAATTAAGGAACCAAAAGACGACCAACCCATCTAATAACACTGAAAAATCAGGGAAAAGAAATTATTTTAACTTTTTATTGTCGCCTCCTAAAGAGATTATAATGGGGAAAAAAACAAGAATAGCGCCATGTGCAACATATCATTTAGCAAAAACTTTCTTTTACACCCAGGTGGAATGACCATAAATTGAGATTTATCACATCAACAACCTCTTCAATTCACTACATTACATATATTGTTGAAAAGTTTCTCAATCTGCTTGGCAAGTAAGAAGCTCCATAAAAGACAGAGATCAGAATCAAGAGTCAATGCTTTACTTCCTGTAACATCATACTGAAAAGATCTAATAAGCGAAAAAAAAAAAAGTGTCCACCTTCCCTGCTTTCTTTAATAAACAGAAACAATATAACAAAACCCAAGCGTATAACTACCTTCAAATCAGTTACAATAAGAATGCCATAAAACAAAAGAATTTAAGAGTTTACAATCTCAAAAAATTACCCTCCTGATAAAGTAACCAGTGCATTTTATTGAACTAGGCTAAACTGAGATTTGAATGCAATTCCTTGTGAAATCTAACATCATACAAAACACACAAACCAATTTCAAACTTTTATTAAGAAGAGTGATTAACCACCAAAATTACCTGGCGCTTTCTCGTAGAGTATTCATTCTTTGAGCCAATCACCGAGCTCTCTTTGGAATTCTCTGAGACGTCACCAAGAACAGTATCTGATTGAACAACAGGCTTTGAGCGGAACCTAGTACCAGTTTTTGAGACCTTAAAAGAGACTCCCATCTAGAAACTTTATTTTATTTAGTGTTTGGATCATGAGAGAATGAACGAAAATCTTGGAAAGTATTTTAGACTTTTCAAGAGAAACCCCGTATCGAATTCTTATAGAATTCAATTTATTTTATGGTGGTGTTTGGATGATGAGAAAGTCTAGAAAAAATATAGAAAGGTAGTGAAGAAAAGAAGTGTCTTTGAATATAAGTTATATTTGAGAGCCTAATTAAAATTCCCAAGTCGAGTTCTTTAAGAATTTGAGCGCTTGATTGAAATACCCAGATTTTGCTTTCTTCACTCACCTTCTGGAAAATTGAGGCTGGATGCTGAGAGAGAAGTCGAAGGACAATGTAAGGAAATAGTAGTAGAAAATAGTATCAATAAAAACCTCAACTGAACTACCAAAATGGAGTTTCTATTTTTTGATAAATTCAAGGTTGGATTGATATTGTTGGGGGTACTTATAAGAGGTTTTCTCGAGAAAATTGAGGTCGCTTGTTTGGATTCTGAGAAAGTGAGGGATTGTGAGAAAGAAAATAAGGTTGCACGAGAGAGGGGGAGGAGGGGCGGGTACTTACTAGGACTAGTCAGAAAATTGTGAGAAAGGTTTTAAAGGCAAAAATTACTCCAAACTATTGGATTATGATAATCTTAGATCTAAAACTAGTCACTGGTCGGAGCAAATTGTCAAAAAAAGTTTAATAGTAAAAATTAGATCAAAACTATTGAGATAGCATAATTTAAAATTTTTACTTCTTTAAACCTCAAATTATTATTTTTTAAATAAATATCATTTTTTAATATTATATTTAATCGGTAAGGTGTTAATTGTTAACTTAAGTACTTAAACAATATCGGTTAAGCATTTCATCTTTTTTAATGGTCAAAAATTACCCTTGAACTATTGAAATTATGATAATTTAAGGTTTTTTTATCAATTTAAATTATCTATAAACTAAATTATTATTTTTTACAATTAAAATATTAATTGTCAACTTAAATGTTTAAGTATCGTTAAAGCATTTCAATTTTTTTAAAAAAAATCATTTCAGAATATATAACATTGTCCTAATATGTGATAATATATTGTCATTAGACATTATTAAAACAACTGAATTAATTAAACTGAATAGAGAAATGTTAGATTATTAAAATATTATTGAAATTATTTCTATAATTTATGTTTTCCTATAATATTTGAGACATGATTCATGTCTAATTTTTCATTTTGTACTTAACTACAAACTTCTGATTTGATCGATTACAACCTCATTTTCAGTATTTAGTTCAATTAATTTATTGATTTAATAGTGTCTTAAGACGAAAACGACCTATTGTAACACATAAAAATAACAATATATCGATCATATTAATTATTATTGTTGTTATTATTATTATTATTTGTTAAAAAAAATAGAATGTTTAAACGACATCATTTAAACATTCAAATTAACAACCAATACTTCAACTGTTAAAAATAATGGAAGAAAGATATCATTTATTCAAAAAATAATAGTTTAAAATCTCAATAACTCAATTTGAAAATAAAAATGTTAAATTATCTTAACTTAATAGTTTGGAGATAATTTTTGTCTTTGAAAAAAAAAGTTTAAACAACGTTGTTTAAATATTTAAGTTAACTATTAACACTTTTACTGTCAAAGATAATAAGAAAAAGTTTTGTCCAAAAAATAATAATTGAAAATCTAAGTAATCTAAAATAATAGTAAAAATCTCAAATTGTCATAACTGCAATAGTTAGAGGTAGATTTTTGCCATTAAACTTGTAACAAAAGGCTAAAGAGAGAATTTGGGTCCGTTTGGTGTTGGGTTAGGAGTCTAGACCCTATAAAAAGAAATGATATACTGATCCGGATTTACGGTTCTAATCGGTTGCGGAGCCAAACTATATTTTAGCATTTTACGAATCCTTTTCATTTTCTTGATGTTTGCCATTCTGCAGAAGATTCTGTACTTACTCTAGCTGCTTTTAGTTGCTTTTACTTAATAATCGATCATATCCATTCAAAAAGGGGGGAAAAAAAACCCTAATTAATATAGAAAAAATTATTTTCTTGTAAATATAAGATTAAAGAGTATGCATAGTCGATTTAAAACTCAGACGGCAACGAAGTATTATCTTGATCTATAAAAGTTATTAGTACAATGATAATTTTATTATCAAAACCTAAAATATAATAAATAAAAAAGTTTTTTATTGAAATTCCTCACAACTTTTTTTTTCACGTATCTTCAAATGAAAGTTTCAAATTTTAATTCTTGAATTGTTTCTTCTTGATCCCTTTTGTCTTTGATTTGAGAATTATCGTTTTTGTTGCTATCTAAAGTATCAACGTTGAATCCAATTCTCTAGTGTTTTTTTTTTTTTTATCAACTTTTAAAATACATATAATATAATTCTTAAATTCAACTCAAGGCATGACCTGATCCCCTATCCAAATCATAGGGTCAACTCGAAGATCAACTGATTGATTCATATATTTAGTTTTTTCATCTTAAATAATAATAATAATAATAATAATAATTTTTAATTTATTAATCAGTCGGATTTTAACCATGTTAATAACTGGGTCAAATTAATTTCATTGAATTAATGGCTCAACCAATTTGATTAAAAAATCCAACCCGTTTTAGGGCCCGAATCATCAGGTTTCTAGGTCAATTCATGTGACTGGTTTGACAATTATGCACATTAGAAACTGTCGTTCCTCTCTTATGTGCCCTGAAAAGAACAATGGTTAACTTGAATCCACGTAATAAGGAAAACATCACCTGGAAAGTTGTTTTTGCTGATTGAGTTTTGGGGAGATGAAAAGGAAGAGTAAAATTCTTATGCGATACTGGAAGTAATCAATTTTGTTTGGCTGGAATTTTAAAAGGGCAAATTGTTCAAACAGGAGGATGATTCGGAGAGGTAGAAACAAATGATTTTAAGTAAAAAAACAAAAAATTGTTCATTTTTAATTTTTATTCCTCAACCTTACAGCACATCCTTCCGTATTCTCGGTAACATCCATCCATCTTCACTACGAATTTTTACTTACTAACTAGTTCAACTCTCATAAAGACACTAGCATGCTTAATTTTTAAGTTCATGCCAGACACCTTTTAGAACAAAGTTTTACGTCACTTCTGTAACTTTACCATTTTCACTTCCTTTGGTTTCTCTCGTCACCTGGCAACAAATGCATCTATACGTACCTATAATGCACAATACGACATACATGCATACAAACATTGCCAGGTCAGTCTAGTGGGCATAAGATATACAAGATTAAGGAGAATTCAACTTCCTTCTTTTATTCTCTCAGAAAAAAAAAAACAAGAGACCCTTTCATAGGCCGAAACCATGGGACCAAAGCGTATAATACTGGCAGGGAGACTCGTAGGAGACATGCCACTGCACAGCTGCACATCCGCAGGCCCAATGCAAGGCAAGTGCACGGTGAAGGATAGCTGACGTCTGGACGAAGACAAACTGTTCACAGGTCCATGAGCCACAAAAGACATGCCATGGCGCATCATCAGCCACCGAAGAAAAATCAAAGGAACCAAAAGCGCCCCATGATTTGCTTTAGGAAAAAAATAAATTAAAGCTAAAAGCATCGATAAATTGCAACAGGTACGACCAGATACTAGCAAACTATGTACAGCATTGGAAACTCTTATTGTTGAGGACACAAAAATGCAATATCAGCTAGGTAACCAAACAAGTAGCCAGGAAGATAATGTATGGTAATCACTAGAGCAGGAATCACGCGTTAAGGTAAAGGTAAACAAACAAATACCAAACTGCTCGTAATGTCCTATATTCACATGCGCCGGATGTTTTTCACATTCATGCTTCACAGAGGAGCGGTGGCAGAGGTTTAATAATAGAAGTAAAAGAGGAAAAAATTGCATTTCACATCATTGAATTTCCAGCTGTACTAGAAAAAACAAAAAAGAGAAGAAACTCTATGAAGTAAAAAGTTCAAGTTCCTCCTATAATGTTATTGGTCAGGTTAGGCAAATTTGTAAATACTGCACAAGTACAAAAGGTCAAGAAGTAATTTCCTCCTGAAGCTCCATATTGCATATTGCATATTCCCTCTCAAATAATAGGAACTCCTGAGTGCCAAACAGCAATTGAACAAGGTTAGCTGAAGCTAATTTGATACAGACACCCAACCTTCCTACACTGTTTCCCAGACTAATACCAAAAGGAGGGAAAAAGATAAGGAAATTTTGAACGAAAAATCAAGAAGTTAGAAAATATAAAGCAATTTAAGTTGAAGAAAGTTTTATACAAAAAGTGATGTAATTTCTCAAAGCTTTAGTGTTGTGCAACACAGCATACCTAAAATGCAAACGCTGTGCCTATCAATGCAGTTAGGTTACAAATATTCAAAAATGTTTCTTCATATTACTTGCTGATCAAAGTGTGTGCACAAATATTGTGATTGACACCAGTATGCATAGAAGGGCAGGTGAGAAACCGAAAAGGAAAATTTGACTGCATTTTTTTAGCCTCAAGCTAGAGTTTATTTTCTCATTCACAAATAAGTAGACCTAAGAACTTACTCACCTGCAATTGCTGCTGACTAAACAAATGAAGAAACCCAGTTTCCGGGCAAGTAATGAGTTCCATCAACTCATCATGGTTTTCTGGTGGATTACCTGACTCCATTAGTGAAACAGAAACCTGAGGAGTGGATATCATTAGCGGCAACACAGAAACATGAGAAACAGCAATACTGTAAGTTTTGATATAAGGATATTGCTAACTATCCTACTAGCGGGTAAACAAGGCACAAACTTAATCATATGTGGATACAACAGTTACTCTGTTCCAAAGAAGAGATTACCTGCATACATCGAAGAATGACTTCTGGAAGACAGCACCTACGACAAAGGCCCTGCACAATATATGTTGCTGGGCCTTCCAAAGTACCATCTGCATTTGTATACCAGGCATCTAATCTGGATATCTCCATTGTAACCCCGGCTTGGAACCGAACAAGCTCGCCTGCATTAGATAAGTTTAAATCCAATTAGAAGTACATAAATAAAACCAGAGTTCGTCTGCAATAACATATCTTATGTCACAATAGTTCCCTTCTATAATTCCATATCATTTACTTTCATAATACCAATTAGCACAACATAGTTACATTTCCTTCACCAACTACTCATTCACAACTTATTTATACTTATTTTTCAGTAGTCGTTTGGGTAAAGTACATTCGCCATGTATTATTCAAGTTATCAGAAAGATAATATAAAAAATCAATTTTATGAAACTAAATAAAATAATATAAACATATTATTCTTTTCATGCACTTCAAATTTTAACAATTGATCACTAACATAACACAGAATAGTATCAGACTTTCAAATATAACAGAATGGACATAAAAGTCTAGAGTTAACTACCTTAAAATCAGTAGTTCTGGAAGAGAGCGATGGCAAAAGGATGGGTCCAACGAATTAGGTAGCAAAAAGCAAAGAAGAGAAAACTAAAGGATGAATGACATGATTTAAAATTTTTCAGCACTCAAAACAATAGATGTTAAACCATAAATGTTGATCGTGCATGCAAAAGGACCCAAATGCAATCAAATCACAACCATCAGGCCAAATTCTTTTTCAGTAGAGAATCGAATTTAATTTATTCTATTTCTACAATAAATTACACAAAAATAAGGTCAGTTTTTCACTAATTGCAATATCTCAGATTTTACAACTTTGTATTTGAATACAAAACATTGTTTTCTTTCCCGAAACCATTGAAGTTTGACAATAATATATTACTTCTCCATTAGGATCTCAATCATCAATAATGCATTATAAATTACAACACATAGGCTCTGTTCATAAATACAAGACTTAACTATGCCTTGAGAGAATAGAAGCAGCAGTTCAGTTTCAATTGAAGGAAACCTTATTCTCGGTACCTGTTTGGGACTTTAGGTTTCAGTTCCATCTCTAAGTAAGCATATTCAAAAAATCTTTATCTTGTAAAACCATTTAATTAATAGCTAGAGATATTCATCAGTTCCAAAAATCTAGCAACAATTGAAAAAGAAAGTTGTTTATGGTTTAAAAAATTAACAGCGTACCCACACATGAACCATAGTAATTTCACCATGCTTGTTTCTTAAAATTCTTAAAAAAGCACAAGTGCGATCCATAAATCACCAGCAAACCTATGAGATGGCTAAGATATTAACAATGGAAAATAGGGATAGGAGAAAGTGAGAACTGGGAGTGTTGTACACCAAAAGAAAAATTTGAGTATCTTATTTGTTTTCTTTTAAACGGTAATGCATGTATTTAAATATATATTCATCTTAAAACAAAGGCAGGTATTTTATTCTTAGGAAGAAATAAAAAACCAGAGAAAGCATTTTGATAAGGTCAGAATCGAAGGTTATCTTGTCAAATCAAATGTTTCAACAAAGTTTGAGCATTTATATATAATTATGGACACATGTGTTCATGAGTACGCACGCAAACAAACACACACACACATCGTATCTCAACTAAATAAGGAAGAACTGCATGGACACTGCATATTCAGTGGAAAATACAAAAGTCCATGCATCATTTAATCAATTGATAATTCATTTCATGAAATGGTACTTCTAACCTTTGAAGCCAGCAGCCATGACGGCACCAAGAACACCACCACCATTAGTTTGGTGTGATCCAAGTCCATCACCCTCTACAGCCAAACAGCGAAGAACAACCTCAATGCAATAATTGTCCCTAGGTGAAATGGCAACATTAACCTACAATGAGGTCAGGTCATGAGCAAAGGACAGAAAATTAACTGAAATAAGGGATGCCAAAAGTGTGGAATACATTATTTCCCCCACATTCTGTAAAAGATAACCTCTAAGAATAAGAACAGGTTGACACTCAGTATTAATCATCATATGATGCATGCCAATCATTGTATGGACCAGCTCATCCAAAATCCTTAAAAGATAATTGACTTAACTTTGACATGAATATAAGAGGTTGCTTTCTTTTTCAACAGAAAACACGACATACCATTAATTGGTGGCGTAATACAACTTCCTCACTCACTGAACAGTAAAGGGCACTCATTAATGCAGTGCAAATGGTAGCATCTGGATGCATACATTCACCAGATGGCAGACAGAGCATTGCAGTGGCATGCAATTCAAGGAATACAGGCGTTGTTGATTCATATGTCTCATTGTCGGAAGAAGCCAACCAAGGATTTCCTTTTCCTGCAGCATTGCATGTCGGAATGAAGCAGGCATAATTCACCGTTTTCAGTGGAAAATATATCATTAGAGCACATGCTTACCAGTCAGCAGTCAAGTGTGTGTTTGTGGTGCATAAATGAAAAGGCTGGTTGAATTCACTCACTTAGTAACAATGACATAGAAGAATTCAATGTCTCTTTAGCTGCTGCCGTGGCTCTTTGTTTCTCCTCCACTGAGAGGTCAAGGGGAGGAGCCTCTGCATTGTCAAGCTCAATTTTGAGCCAGTTGCGATAAGTTGCATCACAGGAGTAGTACTCACTCTAAGAATTACAGATCATAGATTAAGAAAACAACTAAAATAACTGAATCTACAAAGATTAAGAATGATAAAGAGATATACATGACACATACCCAATCTTGAAACTCTTTCAGATTCTCAGAAACATAATCGTCAAGTGTATCTGGTAGTTCTGAAAATTGCTTCAAAGGCTCAGCAAGTAAACTTAGCAACTCATGTGCACCTATTGGCATGGCTGGTACTCTCCACATTGAAATCAGAGCAAATTCCCTGAACAATATATTGCTAAAAAAAAAAAACAATGGTTAAAATTCCAACCCAAAAGAGAAGCAACATAACAAAGGAGAGAAAGGGGTTGTATCATCTATTTTCTTATTTTTAAATCTGCCATAATGATTGGGCTTAGTGCTCCTCTTGATTTGTTGAAGCATAAGTCGCCCACACATGCAGCTATGGAATCCTTACAATCATAGAGCAAATCACGACTTTAACATTATCAACATCTTAAATAGTGCTTTTAAGTCAATATTAACCAGTATGCTCATAACCATTGGAATGTTTGGGAGATTTGCATTGCAATATTGAGAATCAATTGGTTATCCAGTAAACATTAATCAAGTGGAATTCTTAAAATGTAGAGTCAAAACCTGTGTGTCAATGCCCGCAGAAGAAGTTTCATGCTGACTTCTTTCACATCGGTAATTGTGGAGGGTGGTGTAAAGCAGAGCCATTGGATTACTGTAGCTTTTTCAAGACTCTGCAACCGGTGCTGCTCTGCAACATCTGATGACTTGTCATATTTGCCAACTTTGATTTCCCGAGATCTTGACAGAATCCTGTTGTAAATAAAAATCCCAACTACAAATTACAATTTTTTCTTTGTCATCCTCGTAATTGAAACCATTTTGCTTAACTAACTCATACCTCTCAATAATTTCTTCAAAACTTCCTTTTGAATCATCCATAGAAGAAAATGGCAAGTATTCCATAGCAGAAAGGAAAATTTTATATTTGACATGCACACTAGTTGTCAAGAAAAGGGGAAAATAATTAGCACATCGTTGTGCAAATAAATGCAGGTCCTAACCATAACAACATTTAGTGCTTCCTGCTCATATTAAAACCCTTAAAAGAAGTTGTACCAAGCAAAAGTAAAACCATTGGATCTCTTCATACAAGATTATAACTAAAGAAGAGTGCAGTAGCAAAGGATTTCTTCCTGAACAGTTAACCATCCCACTATGCATCCCAAAACTCTGCTAATTGCAATAAATTGCTCCGATCAAATATAAATTATTCTTTTGAATAATCATATTAGAAGGCCATTATCTGGTTATGGTTTTGTGCAATGAGAGACGTCAGAATGAAATTTTTGATGCAGTCCCACCACTGAATTCTTTTGCATCAAAATGGATGTTATCAAGACTCAAACTTGCATCTTATGGTTGCAAGTCCGATACCTCTACAATTATATCTAGCATCAGGCCCCACTAATAGAACCAAAGGAGAAGGATGCTAGAACAGACACTGCATTAATAACCATTCAGTGTTACCTGCTATTTAGCCTCAGTTCCATCATATGCACAAAGAGGTCAACACAACGGTGACGTGCAAGCTGAGAAGCGTAAATGCCAACCAACTCCTCATGTTGCTTTGAGAACAGAAACATCACATACCTGAAATTTGGAATTTCCAACTATGAGAATATTACCAAAGCAACTTGGGCTTCACAACACAAGCACTCTCCATGTCACCATACAAGTATAACTTGTAAAGGAGCCACTGAACTCTTGGAAGGAGTCATGCCACACCAAACACATGTACGAAATGTACGCGTCCTGATACTTGTGAGTGTGCCGCATGCATGCAGGACACTGTCCTCTTGAGACTATTTTGAAAACCTAAATGTTTGCCCTGAATGCAATCTAAGAACTAGTTAACTTGACTTAACCAAAATACTTACATATGTAGAATGAGATCACCAACAGTCATAAGTTTCTCTCTAAAAGAATCCTTCATTTCCTCTGCAAGTAAATACCTCAGCACAAGCACTAGGTGAGCACCAAACCGAATCATCTGAGAATGACCATGTGGCCTGATAGCAACCACAATGCACGTTGGTCAACAAGCTAATAAGTTACAAATGACAACCATGTAAATAAACAAAATTGTAAATTTATATGATAGAAAAGAAAAAAAATATCCAGGAAACATTCGATTTTTTTCCTCTACTGACCAAAAGAGACATGCAAAGAAAAGGTAATAAAAACTCAACTTGAACTCCTTTAAAGGTTTTAATTTTAACAAAAAGAACTCAAAAGACATCACCTGAAGATATTTTGATCATCCTCTGAAGGTGCTATCCATGACCAGATCATGTCCAGAAGATGTGGTATATTCCCTAACATTAAATCCATCTGTCAAGCAATGTCTGGTCAGGGAGGAGCAGCCAAAAAGTTTCAATTGATATGACAAAAACCAAAACTAACTCTGTTTGCATAAGGATTCTTTTCTTCTAGCACTAAACACAATGCATAAATTGTCAAGGTTGCATTCAATGAGAAGAAAACAATAACTTTTTATTTTTTTAGACTTAAGAAATTTTTTTACAGAAATTGAGATATAAATTGCAAAATGGAGCATAAGACATCCTCCTCAGGATAAAGAAAGAGAACAATAAAAGTGATAACTGCTCAATTTATTCTAAAGCAGAAAAAAAAATTGAGATTTCAATTGAAAACCCATATGCAAGTAGCTAAATTGTATTTCAAAAACCTCAATTTGCCGGTGCTGCTCCTTGCATCCTCGACTAACCACTTCACTAACCAGTTCACTAAATCATGCAGAAAATAGCTAAATCAAATGTTAATGAATAATATGCAATAATACATTAACAATTGAGATATTAGATTAAAATTACCCTGAGTGGAGTTTCTGAAGAAGAGCTGAAAGGTTCCGTGGTTGCTGGTTCAGAACTTGGACTGGCCAATTTTCTGGTCCAGCTGCATGAGCAGCGCTATCAATTTGTCCAGGACTTCCATCACTAACGTCTCCATAGCTTTTAAGCTGGTCCATTCTTCCTGGTTGTGAGCGAGCTAGTTCTAAGTCCACCTGAACATCAAGCCAAGACTTTGCCATTGCCCAGCATGCTGACTGCAGGCATATTGAGCATCAGATTTCATGCCATCGCAATAGGAAGTAATTGAAAGATACGAAATAATTTTCTTCCTGTCGATACAGCCACATTTTTCTGTGCTAAGCTAACAGAAATCCTTCCACTTTTTTCCCTTAATGATGTTGCCATTGGACGAGTAAGGAATGTTTTGAGGTACTAATATAATAAATAGTTAACAAAGTTCCATAAGAAAAAAAAGGTCCTTTCAAAACTGTGCATCAAAGGAGAAAATATACCTCCCAGTTTGTACAGACTGGAAGCATGCGCTTCAAGTTGCTGCATTGTGCTGCGTAAACAGCTACTTCATATTTCCCACCATTTTGCTCAGCAATTTTCTTCAGGATAAATATGACGAGAAAAAATGAGTCAATTCTGATGAACACAACTTATATTGTACATCCACAATGAAAACATTACACAATTTGTTAACAAAATAGTGACATCTCTACAAGAGTAAAGATCACAATAGCAACATCTCCTTTCAAAACAAAGAGCAAAAGGTTCATTTGGAAACTCTTTAACAAAGAAACTTGGAAAAGTTGCCCATGAAGTAGTGAGAAAAGAAGACTGCTATAATATGAGAAGAAGAAAAGTCAGCTGAAGAAAGGCATGAAACACACAAGAAACTGAATGCAAGGGCAAATGGCTTATCTGTCTGCTTTGGTCAACCTTACCTCCGATGAACAATAGGAAGCCCATTTCCATAAATGCCATTGGTGACCAATTCCACTTTCTAATTCAATGGCTTGCAGCATTCTGTTCTTCCCATTTTTCACCAGGGCTTCAACAGAAGGAACAAGGTCCAATCCTCCAAATGGACATAAAGTTGGAGCTCTCCATGGCTGCCAAAATTAAAGCACATATCAAGAACAGGAAAGGGAAAACACCGTGTGAAATTTCTGTTAACTCAAACTTCAAAGACTTCAAATACCTGTCCAGCTGAGTGGCAAAGGTCACATGCCTTTTCTAGTCTTCCAGCCCTTAATAGCGTCCAGATATCCTCCAGAAGAGATTCCTCTTGTTTCTGCATAGGCATATGTTACTTAAGCTTTAAAATTTATGAGAATGCTATGACTTAGAGCACTCTCAGCACAATCCTGTTAAAAACTAAATTAATGTCCACTAAAATTTCCTCTATTTCATATCCTGTTTCAAAAGTCTTTGCATTTAAATGGAAAATGTTATCAGCAAAATGAACCTATGAAAACACCCCAGGTACCATATTCGGAGATAGCAACACCTAATTAAAATAAGATTGATATAATTAGTAAATTAAAAGTGAAAAATTACTTTGTCATCTGGTAGCTGATGAGCATGTTCGCGTGTTGGAGCATCAAAATCCAAGTGATGAACAGTATTTGTATTGGAGGCACCTCTCTTTAGAAATCGTTGAGTCTGGTGCCAAATTCCTGAATTTGGAAGATAGGTACCAACATGAGATCCTCGCACCTGCAATCATAAATAAAAACCCAGTCAAACAAAGCCAATGAACTCTCAGAGCTCTCAACGGCAACTCTATCATCATTTTGCTTGAATGCTTAACTCAGTTTTCCCAACAAAGGGACAAAATTAAGACCAAATTCCAACAAAACACATGCATGTTCAGTTGAAGAGAAAAGGGGAAACTCTGCCCACTTTCAATATCTAAATCTCCTACGAAAGAGTTATCAGCCACATTTCTAGAATGTATATGTCCATAAGTTTGGAAATCGAACCCACAGCTCCTATTATGTTGCAAGACCGGACTATAGACAGCTAAGCATGTTCAATAAAAAAAAGTCAAGACATATAAGAAATCTCTGTTTTTTGGAGGATAATGAATTTCGTCCAATAAAGCACACATAAGAGGTGTGAGACATCATGAACATCTATCCTATAACAAGTGGGAGAGTTTGTCAGCATTAGTGATTTGAGGCTTCGCATTTATGCATGGTTAAGCAAAAGGTAGATTATAGATGAAATACTCTGTTCAAAAAACCCAAGGAAGTGAAAATAGCATAAGTTTTTCATTAATGAAAATGGCTAGTTATTAGATTCTTTTTGTATATAGTGGTGACAAAATACCACCTAAAACAGAAAACACCATGAGCGCAATAAATCTTTGCTTGCAGTTGCATAGCATCTATTACTAATTTACTATCTAATCCTAGACTTATAAGTCATATCCTACAATACCTAATGTTATGACTTTGGCAACCCATGATTTGTTAAAATTCCTTCGCCGTTGCAGTAAATTCAATTAGAACCATATAACACATATCATTCACAACAGTTGTTCTAAAAGATTTACATTGGACACAAAGAGAAGTCCAACCTAATACATTAGGTTTTTTGTGGAAGCACCAATTGAAACCAGCCAGCATACCAATGTTCACACCACCCGGCTTCCTTATAATACAATCATGGTTATTACTATCTATAACTTCTCATTACTGCACTATTTTTCTTTTTCCAGCCAAAGTTTCCTTATCTGATCACAAAGTGAAGACTGACTCCACTATTTTTATTTTCCATATTTTACAGGCATGGGATACCTCCACAACTAATTTGACAGATACTAGCTTATAACACATGAACCCCACACCCTGCATATCAGGCCACAAATTCAACAAGATTTAATCCAGCTCCTAGGAGGACATTTAGCGAATGGTGCTCAAACTCAATTGTTTACTCTAATTTACTCCATGACCCTCAGCAAATAATAATAACATGGATGAAGGTAAATAATCCAAATATAAGAGATGGCACTAGCCGGTTGCTAATTATTTCACAATACCAATCCATGTATGACCCCCGATTTAAAATTTAACTTAAGTGTCATAACCATTACATTTAAAACCACCTTCAGATTCAACATCACACACCAGGATGAAAAAGAGGAAAAAACATGCCACATATTTAAAGTTGAAAAATCCAAACGAAACCACCCACACCCATTCATCAACTAAAAGAGCAAAGGAAAAGCATGACTATCTCGACAAGTGTTCTACAGAACTCTTATGCATTTATAGGAATTGAATGATTTGGAATATTCAAGTAGGTGACAAGGACATTTGCCAATCCTCTCACACCATCAAAGTAACAATAACACTAAACTTTCTATTTAACGAAATTTGAGGAAATTGATCACCTTGCTTTCCAAATCAAGGGCTTTAGAGGCTAATCCTTCCAGCCATTGAAGGATTCGGAGGCACAGCTGTGCTGTATGGTCATTCACGACAAATTGGCAAGCCTCCAAATGCGATGTTGAGGGTGACTGTCGTAAGCCAATATGTTTAAATGAAATAACAGTTTGAATCTTTTAAAAGACTTAAAAATATGAAAATGAAAGACGTCGATGAATATACCACAATTAGGTCTTCAGGGGGCTCCTCTGTGACTGCAAGAAGAATGAAAAATGTCATTTATAAAATTCAAAGCTCAATGGGATGGGAGTGACAGAAACACAGAACCAGAAAGCTGGGAGGAAAAAAAACCACCTAATACCCAATGGGCGTCACCACCAATGCCTAATTGAAAACCTACAGAACTGCTAGTTGTCTAATGTCAAGAGAAGATTTATCTTGTTACTCCCAAATAAGCGGATGAATTTTTGTGCAATATTATTATATCATGCATCGGAAAGCAACATTTATCTATCTCTTTTGCATCATCAAACAAGCATCAAGAATGATATAACGTCACCGCCACTTAAAAGACACTGTGCAAACATTTGATAAGAGTAAATTCACACATGAAGATAAAGAACGAAAAACACACAAAAGAAAAATCAAGACCATAAGATACACATAAAAAATGAACCTATGCAAAAACACGCAAGAACTCTCCAACCCACCCAAAAAACAAAACCTCCACCAACACTCAATATAACATGGTAACATACAAGAGCAACAGGCAACCTCAAGATTCAAGCCAAAGCACTTTTAAGAGACTTGAGAAACCATAAAAACTATGGAATACTTGATCATCACAAGCATCAATTTCAAGCATGGAAGTATTAGAGGATAAACGTCGATTGCCTTTCCCATAGAGGTACCAAAGGAGAGACCAGGTAGCAGCCTCATCAAGCAAGAACTGAGCCTTCTGTCTCATCAATTTGTCCTCTACAGCTCGATGCCATATGTTGGATCCATACCTGTTGAAATAACAGAACTTAAACTTTCCTTTTATCTATTAAGCTCACCATTACAAAAAGAGGACTATTGCCATTGAACGAATTCAAGGCTGTTACTTACATCCATTCAAAGCTGTTACTAAATACAATATAGAACAAAAAATTACATAATAGAAACTCGTAATATTCTGCCCAAGTATCAGACTCACCTGATGGACTCTGAAACATCCCGGCATGATTTTTCAAATCTTAAAATGAGATCCCGAATTGGCATCAACCCTGCAGAATCAGACTAAGAAATCATACTAGCCAATTAAGATAGTTCAGGTTGTGGTGTACATTTTATTTTCATTTGTTTGTCCTTGTAATGTAGGAAAAAGACATGAGAGCAAATAGAAAGAGAGGATGTCCAGGTTTTGACAAACGTTTGCTCCCTGTCCCCCTTCTTCCCAACCCAAGCTAAAACTCCAATCCCCAAGCCTAAGACCCAACATCCTATGAGGCCTCATATATCAGCATTTCCACCCTTTAGCAACTTATCTAAAACATGTCCGGTAACCTCATTCATGGTATATAAGAGACAGGAAGTTCTGAAGACCAACCTTGTCAAAATTCTATTCTGATATGAATCTATACTTTCTCCCACCATTGTACTCAACATCAATTCTAGCACAGTAAACACAGTACTTGTCAATCCAGGTTCTTTCTTCTTCCAACTATAGAATCCCATCAGTAATTAAACAAACATCACCTAGTTCCTTCATTTTTCTAACTGCATCAACCAGTTCTAATCTTTCATCAGTTGCTCTTATTTTTTCTAAACTTACTCACCAGAATATCTAAATGTATTCCCCAGAGTCATAAATATGAAATGCCAAAACATTTTCTTTTACCAATCTCGCATTTTCTGAGTTTCAAACATAAAGGGAAAAAAAATAACAAAATCACTTCAATGCACCTTGAATAGAAGAATCAAAAAGAGACGCAAATAAACCAAAAGTAGTCTCTCCACTGTCCATCAATGTCTCATCCTCGATCTTGCAAGCTTTAAGTGATTGGCTTCCCAATCGACCAATTGAATCAATACCAAGATCAGCCTCCACAAATCCACCACGACTATCAACAGTTGATCTCCTTTTCATAGCAGATTGTGTCCTTGAAGGCGTAGTAGTACCTTGAAAATGATCAGCCTCAATGCTAGCAAACTCTTGCTTAATATTTTCCAGAAGAAGTGCAGCATTAGTGGGGCTGTGAATATTCTGTCCATCGTACAACAGCCTGGACTCACTAAACTTGGAAATGGAACCATCTTGATGGGGTGATACGCTTGATATCGAGTGCCTTTTCCTGCACATAATCCATGATTCTTCAAGTTCTACAAAAGTACGCAGAAATATATATATATATATATATATATAACAAAATTTTGCACTACAAATCAAAGAAGAAGATTCACCAATTTAATACACAGAACAAAAAATCCATAGTTAACTAAGCACAACGTATGCAACAAGGAATAGAACCAGAAGGGTGTTAAAAAAAATAAAAAAGCAACATTAATAATCTTCCACAATTGTACGCCCCTAGCTCTTTTCTTTTTTGTTTTTGTTTTTTTTTTTCTTTTTTAACTTAATTTGTAGAAATAATCCATCATCGATAGTTTACTAAAATTTACTCTTTTTGATCTTTCACATTTCATAACGGACCGACCAACCATAATCCATTCCGTCATTACAGTTAAAATTAGCCAAAATGTCAAAAACTGGAGAAGCACAAATAAAAAATACAAAAGGAATAACCCTAGCAAAACAATTTTCACTTGTTTTAAGCATGCTCCGAATAAACACGCAAAAGAAAAGAAAATAATGAAAAATATTTGCAAATATGGATTAAATATTTGTCACTGATAGACAAAAAGAAAGAAAAATAATTAAAAAGGGAAATGAAGAAGAGAGGGACGCACCCGTAACGGCGAAACTGCTCTCTGATTCTAAGATCTTCGGGGTCGAAGTAGCTGTTGGACACATCCATTTCAACATCCTCCATTACCTGTTTAGGTAATTGTTTTTACTCTCAGGCGAGGAGAGACTATGCGAGGGAGACGGAGGTTTTTCTACCCAAAAACCCTTTGCAGTTAGCACTTGCACGCTTGGGCTCAACCAAACAAGTGATTCCTTTACTCCTTTGCTCCACTCCTCCTAACCAAACGCATAGTTTTTGGACTTTCAAAAAAAATTTTTTTTTTTAAAAAAAAGTGATTCTAAAATTATATCAAGAGTAAAATTGAAGAGAAGAGTCTTGATTTTAAAATAACTACAATTAGTTAAACAATATTGACTTTTAAAGGAGAAATGGCTAATTTACTTGTTAAAAAAAAAAAAAAAAACGATTTCTCTTATTCCAGAATTTTCTTTCACCTACAAAATAAATAAATACTTTTTTCTTTATTTCTTTTATTTTCTTTTCCTTCAAAAAATGTTCTTACTCGAACAAGTTCCGAGATCATAAATCGTTAACGAAACTAGAGGTATAGTTTTCTACTGATTGTTGAAAAATCAGTGTCGGAAGCTTCAAATATAATCGGTTATTTTTCTTTAATGAATTTAATTTTATATGCTTTTTTTTTCATTTTTATCAAAACAATTTGTTACCTTGTGATTTTTTCACTAAACCATGGACGTTCCATTGATTATTTTAATATATTGTATTAATGTGACTATCTTTTTATTTAATTTACATATAAATATATATTTACATGTATATGATCATATATGTTTTAATGTTTAGTTATAAAAAAAATTATCTTCATAAAATTACCCAAAAGAATATAAAATAACTTAACCAATCTAACTAAATAACATACCATGCAACTGTTATCTGTTATGATATTACTAATAATTTAAAACAAAAATCGCTTTTATTATGTCTTCTATTATTCATTTCATTGTTCAATGAAGAGTGTTTTTCGCATTTTCTCTCTCTTTTTCTTCTTCTTTCTTCTTTCTTCTTTTTTCTTTTATTTATTTATTTATTTTTTTTGGTTGAACCCAGCAGTTGCCTAGCCTTTTTTTTTCCTTCTAATATATATATATATATATATATATTATTTGATTTTATTCTCATAATAAATATTTTTTCTTGATTTTTAGCAAAAATTTATGTTTTTTTGTTCTATTTTGTGATATGTTTTTATTTTAGTCATTAAAATTTTATTATATTTGATTTTTATCTTTACTATACTTGAAGCTAAATAAAGTTTACTATCCTAAACCTTTTTTGTACTACTCACTCCTTTTTTCCTTTTTTTTTTACCCTCATAATATACTTTTCACTCTTAGGTGTTTTTTTTTCTTTTTAAATTTGCACTCTTAGTTTTTTTTTTCTTCTTTTCTTAGGTTTTTTTTTTGTAATTTTCAATTTTCGTTTTGACTTTTTTTTTTTTTTGTAAGTTTCACTCTTACTTTTTTTCCTTAGTTTTTTTTTTCGTAATTTTCAAATTATTTCATTTTAATCCCTAACTAATGCACTACATACCTTTCTTTCTTTTTTTCTTTGATTTTTTTCATCAATTTATGTTCTTTTTTTATTTAATTGGGTGTTAAAATTTTTAAAAATTAATCGTTATTTTTTTCATACAAACTAACGATTATATAATATATATAAATCAAATATATGTATTTTAAAAAATAATCTTCTAATGAATATTAAATAAAAAATATTTTATTTTTTCATTGGTTAATTTTTATGCAAATCTATATATTAATTGTAACTTTATTTTTTGGATATATTCTTCTAAAAATATATATTTTTAAAGCATTTGTTTTTATATTCTTAATTAATATTTCAGTTTTAAATTATATATTACAATTTTTTATTTAGGAATACCTAAATAAAGAAAAATAAATTATGTTTTTTTAAGAAAAAATTTTATGAAAAACAAAAAAAAATAGTAACAATTAAATAAAAATTAATGAAAAATTATAAAATTTTGAAATGGTTTTGTTTTATCTATTGTAGCGTTGCATTGATAGTTTCAAAATTAATCTTCTTATCAACATTAAATAAGAATTTTTTTTTCCATTTATTAGTTTTCATAAAAGTCTATCTATTAATTATAACTTTATTTTTTGAAATACAATATTATAGAAAAATATATTTTTATATTTTTTTAAATTTCGATGAGAAAGATTTTTTTTCCATCAATAAAGAAGAATGACTTCTTTTTTTTTAAGCAAAAGAATTTATAAAAAAACATTAGAAAAAAATAATTAGATAAGAAATTATAATTAAAATTTTTTAAAATTTTAAAATGAGTTTGTTCTACTAGACTCGTAACGTAGTGCTTGGTAATCGGCTAGTGTTCTCTAGTTGGATTGTATAAGTCATTTTATTGTCTTTTGGATAATTTTATTGGTAAGAATTCCTTTATTTGTGTATTTGTCTCAATTTTTTGTTTGTTCCTTGAAAAAATAGAAGAAAATTATAGATTTTGAATTTTATTTGTTTTGTTTTTTTTCCACTAACAAGCGATATAGCTGGAAACGCATTGGAAGGGCTACATTAAAAAATTTTAAAAATAAAGAGAATCAATGAATATAAAAAGAATAAAGAGATCACACTAATGAAGTCTAGAGGCCAAGAGACGAATCACGTAATTAATCTTACATATTAAGATATGATAGTTCTGAGAATGAGATTAAAATATTATTCACTTGTTTTGTCCCTTTGAAATTAGTTCGAGTCAACTTTCACAGCATGTATTAGAGTAAATTATAAATTAATCCTTCTAAGTTTGCAAAATAAAGTAAATAGTTTATCTATTTTTAAAAATTAATTGATTAATCTATTGACCAGTGTTAATCTTTTTAATTCAAAAAAATCTATTTATTTTTTCTCCTTTTCTATCCTTCAACACACAAACCAAAATATATTGAAAAGGGAATTGAAATGGAACAAAAGAGACTAATTAATTAGTATTTGAAACTAAAAGACTGTTCAATTCATTTTGTAAAACTAAAGGGACTAACGTATAATTTACTCCACATATCGTTGGTTAAAAAAGTAAAAACGAGAAAAAGAAAATGGCGTTTTAGCTACCCCAACGAGGGAACAAGAACGTCTTATCTAATGATGCCAACTCCAAGGGTGGAGACATAAAAAGCCAAAGCCAACAGAAACAGCAGAAACCAACGTTTTATCCTCTTTGAAACCACCAAAGCGATAATAAAATTAAAAAAATGACAGTAATAATCCGCTGCTGCTCTCGTTTCTCTTCTCCACCCTCCTCCGATCACATCATCTCCGCCAAACCCCATCTTCCAGTTGGTCAGTGCTTTTCTCTCTTGAGTTTTTGTTGATATTTTACTTGCGTGAGCTTGAATTATGTGAAGTGTACTAGTTGCGCGCCTTTTATGTTTGCTTTTCGAGAAATGTTGGAAATGGAAATGGATTTCAGATATTATTATGTCACTGTCATTGTTGCTGGGTTGGATTGATTTTAACTTATTTTGCTGGGAATGTGATTTTTATGCTATATTTAGTTAAGGGCTACAACCAAGTTTCAGAATTTTGACGCCTAACTATCTAGTGTACAAATAAAGCTTATATCTTTTGCATTTATTGTATGTCTGTGTTCATAAAGCTTTGGAACTTTTAACTGATCAGAAATAGAGAATTATGTTGGATAATTAGTTATTTCGTTTTTTGAAGAATGGTGGAAAAAGTTAAGTATTTGTGTACAAATCTGAAGTAATTTCTTATTCCATTGAAGCAGGAAAATTGGCGTCTCTTCTGTTTAAAGCAGAGAAGCTTACATCATCATTTGGAGATGTTTCAAGTATACTATCTGCTTCTCGCCATAAGTTGCCAGGCAGGGAAAGTATGCACATAAGGCCTGCATCAGAAGGGCATATGAACATCATTCAAGTATCACCTGTTCACGACAACGTTTTTGAAAAATCGTCAGCTCATCAGGTATGATGGTGAGTTCGCCCTGTTATTTCCCTAATATTTGATATTGTTTCAATTTTTGCTTGACTTGTTCTAAAAGAATGTAAAGCTACCCATCATGGAATGTGGAGAGTCACCGCTTTGGTGATGCATGGATATGGAGGATTGCCACAGGGGACATCTTTTTTTGGTTTTGCACATCCATCAAAACATTATTGCATAGTCTTTGTTGCTATGCCAATTAAACCTGTTGTGCTGCGTTATAAGTTCAGCAAAAGTCACTGATGAGATAATGAGTTGGTTTGGTTATGTTTTATGTGAAGTCTCTGTATTGCCTTGCAAAGCAGTTTATAAATAGCAGATGTACGCTACCACAGTTAGCTCCTGTCAGTCATCATGTGGTCGATGATGTCAAAATGGAACATGATAAAAATCACATCCATGGATTGGTGAAACATGTCAAATTCAAGACAGATTGATATGTTCTTTATATGTTTTGGTTTCTCTGTAGCAAGGATTAGTTTGGTTTCCATTTCAGGCTAATAAATCCCCACCTGATCGGTAATACTCTTGTCTTTGCAGGGAAACATACAATTGAGATCCTCAGTAATGGCGTTTCTTGCTACTAATGCGTTAATGTGGACTACCCCTTTTGAAGCTTTGGCTGAAACATGTGAGGCAGATAGCTCTATCTTCAACATGCCTTTGCTACTATTTGTGGCCCTTGTAGGGGCTACCGTTGGAGGTATGGTTATATTTCACTTTTTCACAAATTTCTTTTTGCTTAGTTTTGTACTCAACAGTGAAAGGTTTGCGTATAAATATTTAACATCATGAAATATAATTTCTTTGTGAAATGAATTCATTATAGTAGATAATGTTTTAAGTACCTTTGATTTGAGAGCAAGTAAAAAAGCTTAAAACTCAAGGCACGAGAATTTTGGAATTTGGACCTGTGCCACCAAGTAGAAGATTAGTGCAGGAATTCTCTTATGTCCTTCCTTCCAAACTTGTTTGATAGCTTTTCCTTGCACTGAGAAAAATTGCCACTGCATTCTTGAAGTGTGAGCTTAAAGCAACATGATGCACGTTGGTCTTCTTCTAGTAATTCAGTGCTTATGCAATAGGGTTGCTTGCACGGCAGAGGAGAGGGGAATTGCAGCGACTGAATGAACAATTACGCCAGATCAATGCAGCTCTAAGAAGGCAAGCCAAGATTGAGTCGTATGCCCCCGCCTTGAGCTATGCTCCGGTTGGTAGTAGAATACAAGAGAGTGAAGTGATTGTTGATCCAAGGAAGGAGGAATTGATTTCCCGATTGAAAGCTGGAAAGAATTTTTTAAGGAATCAAGACCCAGAGAAAGCATCTGTGGAGTTTAAGTCAGCTCTTGAGCTTGCTCAGAATCTGAAGGATTCAACAGAGGAGAAGAAGGCTGCAAGAGGTTTAGGTTTGTTTCACTTTCATTCCTTTGCTCAATATTTCTTTCCAATCAATGTATGTTTTATCGCTATCCTTCTCCTATACCTACATGATCAATCATGTAAAACCAAACAGTAAAGCAATAAAGCAAAGGGCAGTTGGTCCATTAGGTTGTCCATTTTTTTTTCCCTAATTACTGGATCTATTGAATCATTGTCACCCACACTTTTGCACTTGTTTTAATGGCCTCATGTCATAATGGACACAAGTTCCTGTCCTTTTATACAATAAATAGACTTTAATTCATGTGGTCAGTTGATGATAATGCTCTTAATGATGACTGCATACAACTTCTTGTGAGTTTCTCATTTTCGTTTGTGTAAGCTTTATTAGCTCTGGTGTTTTTATTGTCCACGAATTTAGTTCTTGTCTCCATTTATGAAGATGAATCGTCATTGCTTGTCCAGTTTTTCTTCTCAAATGCCTGTTAGATTAAAGTTCCTCTAATAAAAATATGCTTGATTCAGGAGCCTCACTGCAAAGGCAGGGTAAAAGTCGTGAAGCCATTAGATATCACTCTATGGTTCTTGCAATCTCCGAGCGAGAAGGAGAGGACTCCGGGAACACAGAGGCTTATGGAGCAATAGCTGATTGCTACACTGAACTTGGAGATCTTGAGCAAGCTGCCAAATTTTATGACAACTATATTGCACGGTTGGAAACAGACTGATAAGTTTCATCTCAACAACATTAGACACTATTGTAGGTCGAGAGGTAGTGGATGGGCTGCAGATCAGTTCATTAAGTTTTGCAACTGGTTTAGTCTTCAAATCTTTTCTTTCAGCTTGGTATGATTTGTAACTGTTGATATTAGGACAAACTCGATGACTCTCTTTTCTCATCACATTTACAACTACTTCACAGGGGTACGCCTACTTGGCTTGTGACTTTTTTACTCTCTAATAAGCAGGTGTTGTAAGGCTCTTTGCATTTGGAGCTGTCATTGAAATTATAAACTGACACCAAGTGTGGCCACGGTAAACATTTCGCAAGCCAGCTCCTATTTTCTGGACTTTGGACTTAGCTCAAAGAATTTCGCCAATATGCAAGATTAGAATTTGGGAATGGACTAAAGCTTACTGAACGCATATGGTTCCAACTTCTTGTAAAGGGTTAATAGTGATAGGAGTTTTTATTATTCTTTCTTCCGGTTTGATTGTATCCTTTTTTTACCCCCGTCTTAAATTTGTCAATTCTTGTTAAGTTTATATCTTAATTATGTCTTCATAACAACATAAAGCACACCATTTTACCTCACAAGATTGCAACACGTCAATTTTGTTTTTTCATTAATCTTGTTCTATTTTTTCTCACCAAATTTAAATAAATAAATTGACAAAAAATATGAAGATATATGCAACTTACATTTAAAAAAACATACTACAAATATTTTATTTTATTTTATTACTATTTTGAAAATATATTTGAACCCATAAAAGTTATTTTGAATAATTTTTTTTATCTTAGTTTTTTTATTTTGTTTTATTTATTCAGTTAAAAAATAGAGAGAATAAAAACAAAAATTAATACACGTCCAATTTAACAATGTTGATCCGAAAAGTTGAATATGTTAACCCAGCCTGTAAACCACCTCAGAACATCATGCATTTGCATGAGATTTATAGTTGAAAAGGCAAAACGCATGTTATTCAAAATATGAAAACCTTCATCGCTAAATTATTAAACTGTACATCTTCCCCAAACACCATTTAGCAAGCACAACATCCTCGAAAAGAGGATGCATATGTAGCAACCCTCCAACAAACGCATTAAAAAAAAAAAAAACAAACAAACACGTGCACACACATTCGAGGCCTGAAAATCCACACACCTCGAAACAAATCGTAATAAAATTCTCATACAACAAACAGACAGGGGTCAAGATACTCCAAGGTTTAAAGCAAGCATTACTGCTGTCATATTAAATAGTCAACTCCCTCTGATAACCAACATCACTCATCCCTACATGGTAGATAACACTCATCCCTAAATGGAAGAAGACAGAAAAACATACATGTATACATCAACACAAATGGCAAGCATATGATATAAATACGCAGGTAGGGAACCACCTCACCGCTGGATAAGAAGAAAACAAAAGGCTTCCTAATTGCTTAGAACTAAATAACACCCGCAAAGGCAGGAAATAAAGATGTCGAGTCAACTTTTTTTGTTACTGATAGTACATGAGTTGCTGGGCAGCGGCAACATTCTGGAAACCACCATCATATATTGCCTGGCTTGCTCCAGCACCCATTCCCATTGCTGCTTGTTTTAGAGGAAGCTGCCCTTGGTGATGCATCAAGGCATGGACACCACCCATCTTGCTCATTGATAGCTGCCTCTCATATGCCAAGATATCGGTAGCTGAGAGCCCAGGTAAAGGGGCAGCAGCAGGTGGGGGAGTGGGTTTGAGCTTGTACCTGGCGGAGTGGGCTTGCTACCCCATGAGCACTACAAGAATGGACAAAAAGTCTAGAAGTCAATTTCCAAGTCCAAAAAAAAAAAAAAAAAAGGGAAAGAGCTTGTAACACAAACATCTTATGTAGATAGTAAATGAGGACAGCACAATCCAACCTACCTTTATTTGTTTTCCAATTAGAAGTGACTGGGTGTTTCCCATCTGAATAGCTAGAGCTGCCTCAGCATGAGTACTGAACCTCACAAAACCAAAACCTTTGTCTCTCTGAACACGGACCTCTTCAATAACTCCAGCACCAAGAGCATGGAAATGGCGATGGAGATCGAGCTGAGTTACCTGGCAATTGATCAAACATAACTACTTCTTAGACAGACCAGATATTTCTAAGATTTTCCAAATTCTACCATTCTTCTACACATATTAGATACAACAACGAACATTTTGGAAAGTATCTCACATGGAGATACATGCCCAAATAATGTACAAAAGCAAGAACATGCAGATGATGAGAAAAGTTTCTTGCCTCTGGAGCAAGATTGCCCACATAAACAGTAGTATATTGAGGATTGTTTTCAGGAGCCTCATTATTTGTTGCCTCCTTTCCATCCTCTGCCCAAGATAAGTAAGAATATAAGTTTGCCATCTTCTTTGTTTCCCATAAACACAGGAGAATAAGGAAACACAATGCAACCCATGGACAAACATGGAAATGAGATAATCAAAACGAATTATTTTCGTTATAACAGCATGAGAAGTTGACACAATCCACAAGCTAATGCCAATTCATGGCAATCTATGAGAAAATAATGGTGATCCACACCCATCTTCGAAAAAAAAGCATCGCATTACAAACATCTAATGCTGATTCTCGTCATTTCAGAACTGTACAACTGACCTGAAGTGCCATTTGTTAGTTCCACCACACTTTTTGAATCAGAGCTTTGTTTGTCTTCATTGGAAGCAGCACCTTTAGTAGCCCAGTTGCACCGAATCTGTCTACTGCCAAGCCACTTTCCTGAAAGCCATGTGAGTTTACATTATTGTCACATGAAAAAGGCAAGCATATCTAACAGAATTATAACGATTTAGGTTGACGAACAACAACACTTTACAAAATTATCTTATAACACTAGATTGTACACCCTAATGATGAATACTAATCAACTTTTGCTTATGCTTAGTGCTATGCTAAAAACCCCAAGAATCACAATTGTAGATTGGCGTCTTAAGTGCACAAATTCATCCAAACACCATAGGACTATTACCAAATTCTCCTTCCTAGGACCTCAGATTTAGTGGGATAACATCAGTTTCTAAGAGGGAACAACTAGTAGTACAAATTCCAGATTTTAATCTCAAAATGCTAAACTTTCCTAGCAATCCCCAAACTCATAAGTGTTCACATACATGAAAATTAAACAAGGTATATATAACACAGCTTCTTTCCATTTTCAGTCCACTATTTGATCAAGTAGAAATGGACATTATGAATGGAGGAGTGAAAATAACACATTGCATTCCACCTCTAAATTTGATTAACCAGAATAAATGTTATTCTAAATTTCTTCCAATGTCTGTTAAAACAGTTCTCCAAATGCACCTTAATTAAGAAACAATCATCCCAAAACATTAAACAATTCTTGCAAGTCCCATCATCCATACCTGTTAGGTCATTTATCGCACTCTGGGCATCCTGAGAGGAAAACAACATCAGAATCATGATAAATAAAAAATTACAGAAAAAGAAGTGCACTGAATAAATACAATACCTGTTGATTTCGGAAGGAAACAAACCCAAACCCTCTTGAACGCCCAGTCTTCTGATCCCACATAACCCTCGCATCTCTGAAACAAGAACAAGGTTAGATACAGTCCTCAGCTTTGTAACACCAACAAAATAAGATAATAAACCATCAAGCAAGCATTTCCAACTTTTTAACTCTATGTTTTCCACAACTTTAAACACTGAGATCAACTAAGGTGGACACATGCAGAGAGAGCAGGGGGAGAAACTTACGAACAACTGGGATAAACAGAAAAGCAGGCATATAATGTTGCATCAGTAACCTCAGGACTAAGATCTCCAACAAAAACGTTGAAGTGACCTGCACATTAAAATGACATTCATGCTTATACATGCCAATAAATCTGAGTTAAGAATAAAATAAAACATAAAAGAAAAGAAGAAGAAGAAGAAGAACCAACCTGATGTGTCTTCCCTCTGACCACTAGCATATGCCCAGTTAACTTTAATAGGCTGCCCAAATCTGCAAAGTGCACAGTAATGAGATGCTGAAACAAATTTAAGCCAGAGCATTGAGGATCATTACAAGAGTAAAATGATTCAAAATCAAAAGTAAGCTACTCACAGATGCCTTCCGTTAAGAGATAATATTGCAAGAGCAGCTCCTCGACGATCGAAGTAGTGAATAAATCCATAAGATGACTGCAGAAGTAGAGACAACAGAGATGTAAGAAATAGCATACAAGCTCACAAATTGACTAAGTGAACTGGTAAAAAAATAGCAACACACAACAATTAGAATATTTTGATAAAGCATAAATCTCCCATTCTTATTTGGACCACTGAAATCTTTTTACCTTTTCTTTTCTGATAAGCTTGCATCCTTCAACAGGACCAGTACTCGCAAAAACCTCTTGGAGGAGGGGTTCAGTTACCTGAGTGTGGATGTTTCCCACGTACCTGCATTTTTTTCAAAAATAAAGAAACTAGAAGTTTAAAAAAAAAAGAAGAAAAAAAAAGGAAAATTAATAAACCTATAAATACCTTTCCTCAATTAGCAAAAACAAAATATAGCAGACAATTGGCCATCAAACTATTAATGAAATTTAAGTGAAAATTCAAGGAAGGCAAAAAAGTAGTGTTATTATTAAAAATTATAGCAATTTTTTAAAAAAGAAATTCAGTCAAGAAAGACACTGTCAGTAAGAAAGTAGAAGTGGTTGACAGTTGCATGAGCATGCATGCGAAGCAGCAAAAAATAATAATAATAATAATTAAAAAAAAAAAAACAAATGAAAAAGAAATAAGAAGGAAAAATGTCTAGACAAACACTCACACACTGCGGCAAGTACTTGGATCAAAACCAGGAGGCAGATTTCCACTTGGAATTGGCTCAATCTGCAAAATAAAAATGTGAAAACAAAAAGAAAGAGGAGGAAAAGAAATTTAATAAAAAAAAAGGCCTTTCTCAATCTACCCAGATATAAAATATTTCAATCCAGAACAGCAAAGCTTTCAAAAGGTATGGACAGAACAAACCTACAAAATGGGAAGACGAAATATTTCTTAAAGTAGACCTAAAGGATTGCCAGATAACTAATGCGGATAAAAACAAGACAACAAAACAGCAAATAGGTACTATTTCACATTCTAATTATTGTTATATTTATATCTTCTTAAATCTACGGGCCATGTTAAGAGAAGACAACTATATAAAGATGCTGCCATGTATTGATTCTTAATCTCGATACTTGTTGAATCCTCAGTAGAAAAATAATTCCCAGATAGAAGCTTCGGTCTGAAAACCCATCACTCCTCCCTGTGCCAACCTTTTCTAGCTTCCTATAACAGAGAGTATAAAAATGGAAATTTTTTCCTGCTTTTCCTTTTATTAAAGCAAGACCCATCAGTTGATGTGGTTTTGTGATGACATTGGTCACGAAATAAGAACACAAAGTGAAACAACAACTCTGTAAATTATAATATGCCTAAAAATGGACCCAAACTTTGCTGCATTACACTAAAAGCGACATGTAACCTATGCTATTCAAGAACACCAAAACCCACCCAGCATGCGTTTTACAACAGTTTGCAGCATTCCCAGGCTAACAAATAAAAAGGGCCTAAAACACCCCACTATGGACCTTAACATAAAGGACATTTAATAATTCACTCTCACGCAAGTTGAACACATGTGCACAAACACAGAGAACAGAGAGGAAGACTGTAATTTTAACATGACCAGCAAAAATGCCAAGATACACAAATCTAAGATGTCAAGTTGATGAAAAACACACCAATATATTTTGCATAGATTTCTAAATTTAACCTCTCAAACTGTGGTAGCATAAAAGAAACGAAAAGAAAAGGAAATGTATCAAATTCGTTAACTCCCCTCAAACCTCAAATAAACTAGAAAACAACACATTTCACAAAAATTAGTTAATTCCTCACTCTTTTCTAACAAAAACCCACAAAAAACAAAAAGAAAAAAAAAGCTTGTGGCAATAATAGGAAATCGAAAACCCTAAATTTTCAATAATAAGGCAACAAACCAACATTAAACCATAATTTTGTTTTAAAAAAAAACAAAATCCTCCTCCTGAGCTCCGAAAGCCTAACCCTATATAGCTCTAGAAATCCAATAACCAAAAATAAAATCGGCCGAATCAGAACCAATCATTAAAAAAAAAGCTTAAAAAATCGGGAGTACCTGAGGAGGAGCGAGGAGGCCAGGATGGTAAAGAGACTGTTGCTGAAGAAGAGCTTGTTGCATCAGTGCCTGTTGTTGCTGTTTAAGCCTCTGTTGTTGCATTTTCCTTTTTCCTTTCAGAAAGAGAGAACTTTAGGCTTGTTGTTTGTTTCTCGAGAAACAGAAAAAAAAGAAAAAAAAAAGAAGAAAGAAATTCGGTATTGCTTTCTTTCAGTAATAATTATCTCTCGGTTTTGATGTGGCTTAGGGTTCGGAAAGAAGAAAGGAAAGGGGAAGGGAGACCTCGATCAATCAACGAATCGTGGAGAGAGAGAAAGATAGAGAGAGAGGGAAAAAAAAAAAGAAAAAAACTGAAAAAGAAAAGAGAGAGGGAAGGACGAAAACGAGTGGCTGAAGAGCGCGAGTATTTATACTTGGATTTTTATTTTTTGTGTTGGACTTAGAGGTGAATGATAAAATTACGAGGTTTGTAAAATGAGTTTTAAAGACTGGCAGTAGAGAAATGACAGGTGTTACGATGGTGATCGATGATTGGATGGTGATGGGGTGATTCAGAATGAGAGCTAAGTTTTGTGGGAGTTTTCAGGAGTGTGATTGGGTCCAGGGTCCAGGTCCAGGTCCAGGTCCAGGCAGCACACTGTCTGTCACGAAACCTCAAGTCATACGCTCCAATAAACGCTAGTTTACATTTTTGTTTGGAGTTTGAGAGCGTGTTTTGTTCTAATTTCATTCTCATGCCCAATTTTTCCAATGGATTGTAATAATCAATAATCTTTAGGTGATTTTAAAATTTAATTTTTTTTTCTTAAAAAAAAAAAAGGCACTTGCTCTTTACTTTTAAGGCCGCATCAAAATTTTTAGCTATTTGTTTGCTTTGCGTGAAACATATTATGGGAAGATGTTTTCTGATTCTTCTTTGTTTGTTTTGAATAAAACATTTTATAAATAAATTATGAACTTATTTTATTTTTTAAAAAATATTCTTAACTCATGATAAATTCTATAAAATAGTTTACTAATAATAATGGAGTTACAGTATCAATAAACCATTTAAACAACCATAATTATTGTTTTTGTGATTGCGAAGGATTACAATAAGTCAAATAACCTTTTTTAAAAATCAAAATATTTAAGAAAAAAAAACTTATAGTGATTAAAATAAAATGTTTTAATAAATTATTTTTAACGTATATAAATAATAGATAGACAAATTATGAGTCTTAAATGAGTTTGTATAATAATTTATTGATGAGTATGAATAAAATAAAAAAAATAAATTAATGGACCAAGTACCTAATCGAGTTTCCTTCTTAATTGCAATTGCGGCCATCAATCATGTCTTTAACCTATAACAACTATCCTCATTGTTACTACAATCACCATGATTGTTATTTCATTGCTACTGTACTTTTTTCATTAAATTTTATAAAATATGGTGAAATTTATTATATAAAAAAATATATTTTACATGTGAAATATTACATGCTGGAAACATATACCGACAATTGTAAAATCGTACATGCTATATCATTGCTTTGTATTCTTCAATAAGTTTCTTCGAACTAGGAGAAACTAGGCATGCAAAGTACACGACCTATTCAAGTAGTTTGTTTGTTTGTTTTAAAATTAGGACTATCCTCCTTCCAGAATAAACATATGTTGCATTCGAACAAATATATAACAAACACCAGAAATCATTCCTGACAACACGTGTTCATCGTATGTTTTTGAAACATCATAGAGGAAGGAAGTTTGGTCTAAAATGTAATCTTATAAATCATTTATTTACATAATTTCTGTTAAGCTTCATGTGGCAATTGGCATTGTAATAGAAGGATTTGTTCAAGAATAAAATAATTAAAAATATAAGAGAACTACCCTCCTTAGCTGAGATATTAGAGATCTTTTGAACCTAAATGCTACATAAGTTCTTTTATTAATAGTAACCTCAAAATCCGAACTAAATTAGGCTTTTGTTAAGAATGTCCATCATCATCTTCATCCACTTTTCATATCCCCACTAATCATGATTCAATTCATCATTCAATATGAGAAATTGAAAGGGTGATGCAATTGATTATTCATAGTCTCTTCCAATTCTCTCTTCAATTTTGAAGCCTATAAATAGACTTGATTGTTTTTTAGTTGGTGTATAAGTTTTCTAGAGAGAATAAGAGAAACTTTGAAGTTCTTATCACTTATATTCACATTATAGTGATTTCATTTTCTTGTCATCATTTTCTTCAATTCTCCTATTATTTCTATTTATTTTATAACACGTTATCGGCACGAAGCTCTAACCAATCGAAACAATAGACCATGAGGTATGTATCTATTAAAAGATTTAATCAATTGTTTCAACAATTGGATTTCTTCTACACAAGTGCTCTACCAAAAGATCTAAATTATTTAGATCATTAAGAGGTATGTATCTAATTTATTCATATACTTTAAATCTATTGATACATGAAATATATATTTGAAAAACTTAAATGATCTAATATATAAGCTTTAATTTTATTATTATATTTGTTTTTATTTTCTAATATTATTATTGTATATTGTATTATAGAATTTTTATCACATCAAACGTTATAAACTTTATTTGGTGACTCTTGATATTTTAAATAAGAATTATTGATCATGAGTGCTTGATTTTGGAAAAATATTCTCCTACTTTTTATGTCTTGGATATGCTCCTGCAGTAGCATATCGAGAAAAAGAGTTTAAGAAATATTTTGGATCAATTTTATACTTGTTAGTGGCTAAATAAAATAAAAAAGAATAAATCTCATCCAATTTGATCTACTCCATTCCCCGAAGTGAATGTGACAATTTATAATAATTTTAGGCATGGATGAAGATGTGGTCATAGCCATGGATATGGTCGAAATAATTATCATTATAATCGTAATGACCATAATATTACATCTCACCACCGAAGTGGATAACTATGAAAAAAAATGAATAAAAATAGATAAAGTCGGTATTTTAAAAAATAAATATTATAGATATGGAATGAATGAATATTGGTTGTGTACCTATTCACCAAAGCACCTCATTGAACATTGTCACGCCTTATTGAAAAATAAAGAGTAAAATATGAAGGTCACTTTTATATATCAAAGTAATAGTAATTGAAATTAATTACTTATTAATTTTTATATTTATAAATAAAATATTTTATATTTCTTATAATTTATGTTGTATATTGATGGTTACAAATTTATTTTATTATTTATTTATTTGTTTATGTTTATGAGGCATATATTGATTTATTTATTTTGTATTGATTTATTTGATTATTTATTTTATGTTAATATTATATATGATAATATCAATCTAATAGAAAGCTCTAGAAGAGCGACTATATTATTATCTAAAGAGATAGATTTTGAAGGCTCTAGAAGAGCGATTATATCATGACTTGAAGAAACAAATTTTTAACGCTTTAGAAAAGTGAATAAATTATTACTTGAAGAGAAAATGTTTTAAAGGCTCTAGAAGAGTCGATATATTATTACTCGAAGTGACTGATTTAAAGGCTCCGGAAGAGCAAATATATTATTATCGAAAGGATAAATTTATTGTAAATGATGTACTATTCTCTTCAAAGTCTCATAGAAATTTTTCGAGTTTTAAATATATTATCTAAATGGACATTATATTAAGACGAAAAATGTCAAAAATTGAATTCTTAAATATTATAATTATATCATATAGAAAGCATGTATTGGAGAAATTATTCGTTTCTCCTCTATTCTTTATTACCAAAATTGGAATGCTTGAAAACAAAATATATTATAGTAAACCGAAGTTTACTAATTCAAATACTTTTACTATGTGACATGACCGAGTTGTGTTATCTTGGGTCTTTTATGATGCGAAAAAATTATTAAAAAATTTATATGAATATCTATCGAAGAGCTAGAAGATTCTTCAATTTAATGAACTTTCATGTTCCGTATGTTGCCAAGACAAATTGATGATTAAGCCATCATCAAGTAAAATTGAGATTGAATCTTCGGTATTTTAGAATATATTCAAGATGATATATGTGGATCAATTCATCCACCATATGGACCATTTAAATATTTTACAATTTTGATAAATGCGTCCAAGAGATGGCCACATATATGCTTATTATCTACTCGAAACCCGACGTTTTCAAGATTACTAGCAAATAATTTAATTTTGAGCATAATTTTTAAATTATGCCATTAAAACAAGTCACCTTGATAATGTTGATGAATTTATTTCTCAAGCATTAAATTATTATTGATTGGCTATTAAAATAAAAGTTCAACATCTTATTGCTCATGTTCACACTAAAAAAGGTTTAGCAAAATCATTTATCAAAAGGCTCTAATTGATAGCTAAACCATTATTTAAAAATAAAACTCCTTGTTTATGTTTGGGGACATACAATCTTACATGCAGCAACAGTTATTCACATATGACCCATAAGTTATCGAAATTCTCTCATCTTCGGTTGATTTATGGTCATGAGTCAAATATTTCTTATTTAAGAATTTTTTTTGACGTTGCAGTGTATATCATTAGTGCTCCTTCATAATAAAATAAAATGAGCACTTAAAGGAGATTGAGAATATATATTAGATTTGAATCCTCTTCGATCTCTTGATTCATGAATAAGAGGTATTTTTACGACTCGATTTATTGATTTTCATTTTGATGAAAAAGTTTTTCCAACATTAGGGGAGAGAGCAAAATAAGTAGTTGGAAATGTTGAAAAAAAATAAGATTACATGGAGTACTTTATCTTCATATCATATTGAATCTCGTACAAAATAACGTGAACCGAAGTTCAAAAGATAATTCATTTAAAAGGTATTACAAACTAACTACTAGATGCATTTTCGGATCCTAAATGAGTAACTATAATGCATGTCCCAATTGAGAATGCTCATATTAGAATTGATATCCCGGAAGGACGAGTCTATTAATGTTATAGCTAATAAATCTAAAGCACGCCCGAAGCGTGAAAGATCGATCGGTTCTAAAGATAAAAATCTTTAAAAGAAAAGGGCAAGATGAAAATATTCATAAAATGGTCCAATATATTTCGATAATAGGCTTTCGAAGAAGTCCAAATACTTGAGAAAAATCAAGAGATTTTGATAAATTATATCAATGCAGGGAGAAAATAGGATCGAAAAGAAACATCTATTGATAAGATTTTTGCATATAATATTGCAATTAATATTATGGATGAAAATAAGGATCCCGAGCCTAAATTATTGAAGAATGTCGACATAAAGATTATTGGCCTAAATGAAAAGATCAATCTAGGCAAAATTATGTTTTCTTATAAAAGAATAGTTTTTTGAACGCATAGCTAAAACACCCGAAGATGTTAAGCTAGCGTGATACAAATATGTATTTATGCGAAAATGAAATAAAAAAGATGAGATTATAAGATATAAAGCAAAACTTTTAACATAAAAGTTTTCGTAAAGAATTGACATTGACTATGAGGAAACATATTCTCCTATAGTGGATGCAATTGTCTATTGTTATCTCATTAGCATGGAAAAATATATGAAAAACATTCATATGCATGCATTTAATGAATGTGATCACAGTTTATTTGTTCATTTGAAATGATATCGGTATGAAAGTCCTAGAAGGACTTAACATGCCGAAGCATGTAATACATATTCTCGAGAAAAGAATTCAATTAAATTATAGAAATCTCTATTAGGATTATTTTAATATATTTTTTATTATTTTGGTTTTTAGAAATTCAATTTATACTTTTTATATTTTATTTTTATATCTACTGTTTATTACTAATCCGTGTGCATGTGATATAATCACTTCAATGATTATTTATTGAAAGAAAGTTATAAAAAATAACCATATTTATTCATATGTTTTTATTTGAAAAGGGGTTTATTTTATATGTTGATAACTTAAATATTATTAAAACTCCCGAAGAGATTTCAAGTGTCATAAGTTACCTAAAAAAAGGAATTTGATGTGAATATCTTGGGAAAATAAAATGTTATCTCGACTCGCAGTTCGAGCACTCGAAAAATGAGATTTTCATTCATCGATCAATTTATATAGAAAAAGGTTCTACAATGATTCTATATAAAGATCATTTATCGACTAACCCAATGGTAGTTCATTCACTTGATATCCAAAAAGACACTTTTCGACCTCGAGAAAATAACGAAGTACTTGGTCCCGAAGTATCATATTTTAGTGTCATTGGTGCATTGATATATCTTGCTAATAATACTCGACTTCGATATAGTTTTTTCTATAAATTTATTAGTAAGTCATAGTTTTGTTTCAATATGGAGATATTGAAATAAAGTTAAATATATACTATGTTATCTTCGAGGAATAATTGATAGAGGCTTATATTACTCCAATAAATCAAAGACATGATTAATTTGTTATGCGGATGTAGGTTATTTATCTTATCTATATGAAGCTCGATTATAACTAGTTATATATTTACATATGGAGATCCAGCTATATCTTTGTGTTCTATAAAGCAAACTATAGCTACCACATCTTCAAATCATGTAGAAATATCAATTCACAAGGCAAGTCGAGAATGTGTTTGGCTAAGATCAATGATCCATCGTATCCGAGAGACATGCAATTTATCTACCAAGCAAAAGAAGTTTCGACAATATCATATGAGGACAATGTTGCTTGCATAATTCCATTGAAGGAAGAATACATCAAAGTGACAATCCAAGCAAATTTATTCACTAAAGCATTACCTACCACAACTTTTGAGAAGATGATTCACAAGATTGGAATGCGTCGTCTTAAAGATCTTAAATAATACATTCAACGAGGGGAGACCAAAATGAAGATTAATGTGTGCAAGGAATATTGTACTTTTTTCCTTCACTAGGATTTTTTTCCCACTCGGGTTTTTTCCTAAGAAGGTTTTAACGAGGCATGTTCCTTGTACAATGGACATTCGAGGGGAGTGTTAAGAAATAATGAATGTCCATCATCATCTTCATCTACTTTTCATATCCCCACTAATCATAATTCAATTCATCATTCAATATGAGAAATTGAAAGGGTGATGCAATTGATTATTCATAGTCCCTTCCAATTGTCTCTCCAATTTTGAAGCCTATAAATAGGCTTGATTGTTTATTAGTTGGTGTATAAGTTTTATAGAGGGAATAAGAGAAACTTTGAAGTTCTTATCACTTATATTCACATTATAGTGATTTCATTTTCTTATCATTATTTTCTTCAATTCTCCTATTACTTTTATTTATTTTATAACGACTTTTTAATTTTTATTTTTATTTTAATTATTATTTGGTTCCGGTGTTAATTAACCGGGGAAAGGTTGGCCTTTCTCAAGCGAGAGTCAAATGCAAAAAGGTACGTGCAAAGTAGACAAGTCCCTACCGATTTCGTACCGCGCCCGTAAACGGTAACGCAATCAATTTCATATGAAGTTATATTTTCTAGTTTTTCTTGTTCTCAATATTTTTACACATTATAGATGTCTGAAGTTCTAAACCATGACTATGATATGTTTCATACAATTAGCTACTTAAATTAGCAGGCAATCCACATAACTATTTTTATGCCTATCAAATTTTATCATGATAAAAAAGAAGTTTCACTCTCCACAAGCAAAACAGGGTTGACTTTTTCTTCAAAAAAGAGGAGGTGGATCTGAATCCCATGAGAAGCCTTTTGCATTAGTCACCCTTTCGTTTACAAAAGCATCATGATTTTTTTCTTCTCTCTTTTTACTTTGTCCTCTCATTTATCCCATGTAAAAAAACAGACCAAGCAATGCTGAATTAAACAGTTCATGAAAATTTTATTTTCATAGCTTAATTATTCTAGTAATGTCGTTTATTATTCCACACTAGAGCCAACTCAATTTTGTTTTCAATTCAAAATTTCATTGATCTTTGATTTTGACTGCAGTGTTCTGCAGCCAAAAGTTCCACCAATCTGAGCTATATGGTTATGTTATTCATTATATATATATATATATGGGGTCGCTGCAAGAAATTCTTAAAGAATTCACAAAAATGAAAAAGAAGACTTAATTTTTCTATAAAAAAAAAGTAGAATTGTCAAATGGTGAAAGACCATCAGCATCACGGAAAACATGGTTCTTTTATGTGAGCTTTTCCAACGTGTAATTTAGCCATCTTGTGACTGCAGATCCAAGTTCACCTAAGAAAGAAGCATCAAATACCAGTATGACTTTTCTTCTTAATCTTATGAGATTAACAGGAATAAATTAAGGTATTCTGTTTCGACGACCATGTTCCCTCTAAACCTAAAAGGATCCAGATCCCAACAAGATCGGCGGAGTCCTTTACCAAAAAAAAAAGAAGAAAAAAGAACAGCTTAAACATTCAAATTAGCATGAAAATCTTCAGCAATGGATCCACATGATGTATATACAAGAGATTAATCGGAAAAAAAAAATTGTGTTTATAGAAATTAACATACCTACAACAATATGCAAGTAAATTTAATAATGATTTTAATTAAGCCCAACCAATCATGCCAAGTTACACAAAATAGTGAGCTAATTATCACTAGCTAGCTAGGAGCTACAATTTAAGCTCTAGCTGTTTTGATGATTGGCTTTCGTCTAGGGCAAGCAACTGGTTGCTGCCTTCTTCAGGTCTGGGAGGCCTAGGATGATCCTGAATTGGGTTGTTTATTTGATAAGGTGCTCTTGCTGCAACCCTGAAAAAATAACCCAGGAAGATTCAGATTCCATAACTAGCACTTTATCATTTAAACAACAAAAACAGGATTAAGAGTTTATGTAGTAAGAGACTAATCAATTTTCATGCGTAAAAATAACCCTTTTAAGTGGCATATCAGTACCTGTCTTTCCTCTTGGAAAAGAACCGATGGAGTGATGCTCTTCTAGCATGTGGCACGTCTGTAAGAAAAAGGAAACAGACCAAGGATATTAGTTCACTGATTAAAGCTTAAAAATATTTAAAATAAATAAATAGAACACCATCAAAACAATTATTTACCAGAACCATTGGCTTGAGATTGTAATTGCAGACTTGCTTGGGCATTATTGGAATCAAGAGCAGCAACAGAATTGGTTGAGTCAAGTTTTTTCGTTGCAGGAGCAGAGGGAAACCCATTCGTGCTGATACAGCTTCCCTTGGTAGCCAAAGCCAAAATCTCCCCGGCCTTATCAGCCGGGAAGCCATTGAACACAGTCACTTTTCCACCGTAAAATATAGTCATTTGGGCAGTTCCAGGATCCATTGAAGATGATTTCCTAATGTCGTAAAAAAACATAAAAATTTAGTATCTATACGAGAAGCAAAGTTGAATAATAAAATTGGGAACCTAAGTATCTGCCTATATATTACCTCAAGTGATCATCAGCCTTGTTAATGGCGCCTTCAGTAGAATTCGAAGGACCAAAACCCACAAACTGAGGAAATAAATCCACGGATTTCGCCATGTTTGCAGATTCCAAAGCTTTCTGTCTTGAAGTGATGGGATCAGATGAATTTTCCGCGTTGGTGAATAGATTCAATGTTGTTGCTGGTGAACCAGAAGTTTCAGGACCTAAAAAACAATATTAAACAGACATAAAATAAGAAACATACACACACATACGTCTGTATAAACAAGAATCAGCGGAAGACAGAGACTTTTAAAGCAGCGTCTGAAAAGAACAACGGGAAATAATTTTAAGGGTACCTGTAACTTCAGGCGCCTTTCCATTTATTCCAAGGCTGATGTCTCCAAAACTCCCTCTCTCCTTCAAGTACTGGCTCAAAAGATTGCATTTTTTAGCAAAGCTAGATATCTGGTCCTGTGCCTTGCCCGAATTCTGTACCAAATTCGCCATGGATGAAAATAGTGAACAACTCTTCAGAAATGAAATTTGAATGATACGTCCCTTGGGATGTAGTCAAAGGGAAATAATTTCTCTGATAGGTGTTGCTGGTGGAGAGTTGGACACGAAGAATATAAGGAGGGAGTTAGGTTCATGAGCATGTTGTCTGAATCTGATTAGTCATGAGTGGCCCTCCTCCTTTCATCTTTGAATTTTATGATGGGCCGTTCTTAATTATTAATTTGTTTTTCCAGCACGTTTTTTTAGCACAAGAAAAAGAAAGCAGAGGATGAGAACGAGTCAAGAAAATAAAGGAGGGGCGTGGGTGCTTTCCCTGAATTGCTCGCCCATTTACATGAATTTACAATAATGGCATACCATGTTTTAATTGTTGTATTTTGCATGGAATGAGCATGGTTTGGAAGTCTAGAATTTAGTATGGAATATAATAATACTTCGAATTGAGACAGTATTAAGCCATTTAAATAAATCGTAAGAAGTAGTTAGGGTGAGTAAGGAATTTTCAATATTATTTTTTTAAGTTGCAATATTTAGACTAGATAGTGAAGGAGGTTTGCTCCTTGGTTTGATTTATTAAATTCAAATTTTGATATTAGTATCCAATGGAATGAATTTCTTTTCTTCAATGCATCAAATTAAATAGAAAGTATACATTCTTAAAATCATTAAAAAAATAATAATATTGATTAAAGTACAAAATTGATAAAAGAATGTTTCTTAACAAGAAAACCGATAAAATAAAAACTATCAAATAATTAAGAGATGTTTATTTTAAATTCATTATAACATAAAAACCTCTTGTGGAATTACATGAAATATTAGTGTTTTATTATCTTATTTTTTATTATTAGTGTATTATTTTATTAGATTGAATTGATATTAAAAAAACGATAAGTGTACAACTTTAATCGTTGTATAATTAAATAATGTAAGCACATGATTTGTATAGGAAAAATCATTATTCCAATGACATATCTTCTAATAATGACCTGTTTAGTTCTTCTCATCTCATAAAAAATAACAATCTTTACTATATAAAGAGTTGTTTAATATTTTTATGTAGTTGTATTTTTGAATTCCACATATCACTTAAAGTATCTAACATTCACTAAACCACAATAATTCGTGATAAATTAAATTTAAATTGATAAAAAGTTCTTTAATGGAAAGAAATTAAATCTACTAGTACTAAATTCTAACATTGCATTTAAATTTAACATATTTAACTAAAAGGAAATAATTTATGTTTGTAGCTATAATGGATATTTTTTATTCAAAGATAATATTTTTTTTTACTAACTTATGTATCAACTGAAATTTTATCTTATTTTCAAATAAATATCAAGAACGACATCCACTTTTAGCCAAATGCATTAAAAAAAAATTAATAATTTGGTTTGCTTGCTTGTCTCCCAAGATTTGAATTTAAAAATTTTAAAAATTAATATTTTTTTTAACCATCAAATTAACTCTTAGAAGTTTAACTACAATGTATATAAAAGAGGAGTAAGTTCTAACAATTCATGTAGTGCAAACAAGACTACTCCAAGACACTACTTGAAGTTGTAATTTGGACTTTTTCATCTGGTCGTTGTTTTCAGTGATTTCGGGAACTCGGTTGTCCTTTTCGGTAACTTCAACCACGAACGGTAACAGTTGGTTATGTAGGGACGGTTTCTTTATGTACCGACGATGACCGACACGCAAGTGGAAGCCACGTGACCGTACGAAATAATTAAAGGCAAAACGGCTGCTTATTATTCACGTTTCTTCTCGTCCTTAATATTCGCTTGACCTCGTGTTTTAGTTTCTTGCTTCATCATCTTGAGCACGTGATAAACATTTAGACCAGTTGATTCCTGTTTTCCGGTCCCTTAGGTCATTTTCTCCGTGTAGGAATCCCGTGTCAACTGGCATGTGGCCACGCCTTTCTAGATTCACGTTGGCGGCAGTTGCTAACGTGCGCTGGCGATTGCAGTTCACGTGCCAGCGCTTCTGTTTTAGGTTGGCAACTGTCCAATTCTCTGTAATGGTTTCACGGTGCTCCCTTTGCCATAGCTTTTTTTTTGTATGGTTTTTGTTCGAAAAATAAGTATTTGGTAACGATTGATATGCTGTTAAAAATTAAAATCGAGAAATGATGGTGCCAACTTTGGATCCACTGAATCACAAAAGTTTTAATTATATAAAAGCTTGAAAAATCCGCTGGCTGAAGTCGGGTACAATTATTTAGTTATTTTAAGTTGGTTTTATTTAAAATTAATTAGTTTAAATTTTACTGATTTGGGCAATTTTGTGGTTATCCCATACTTTTTTTTATGAACCCTCCTTTTTAATTAATGGTGATTTTTTAATTAGCACTTAATTAAGACAGATAATGAAATTACCTATCAGTAGTACAAGTTGATAAATTACGTGAAAAAGAAAAACCTTAATCTGTGATTTTTTTTAAAAAATTTGATTGTAAAAATATTTTTAAACCAATTTACACATTAATCCAAACTAAATTTTCTTTTTAGAATTTTGAGAACACACTAACCTAATGCAGTTTAATAAATTTTTATGGAAGTTGATCGTAAAGTTTGGACTCAAAAAGTCAAATAATCGAGCAATCCTTCTTCACTGTCTAGCCAATTTCTTGAAATTATCACTATCACACTCTAATTGATTAATTTTATTTTACCTGGTTGAAATCTACGAGTTGTATCAATTTCTATCCAAATATTTATTCTCAATTAATTACCTCACATATTGTTCAACCATTTATCAATAAGGCTCTCATATCCATGCCTGTTAACAAAACTAATGAAAAAAAAAATATAGATAGTATATCAATTAACTCTCCAAAAAAAAAAATTCATCACAGAATTTATATATATATAATTTTATTTTGAAAGCAAATTATTTTTTTAAAAAAGAAAAAACACATAAAAAATTAATATGAATTTTAATTAATAAAAAGGATAAATATACTCATATGTCTTTATATAATATTTAAAATCTTTTATCTATCTTTATATTTTTAATTGCATTTCATATATCTCTGAAAATATTTGAAATATTTAATCTGTCATTCTAATTATTTTTTCGACCATATGAATTTTTTTAACCGAAATACTATTGATTAAAATGCCAAAAAAATCAAAAATAAAAAATACAGGCAAGTGACTTCAAGTGTTCTTTTTTCTTTTTGATTTTTTTTTCATTTTAATAAAGGATATTTACGTCAATAGTATTTTGGTTAAAAAAACTATTCATAATCGAAAAAAATTGATTAAAAAAAGAGATTAAATATTTTTTAAAAATTTCAGGAACGGATGAGAGAATTTGAGTATTATATAAAGATATATGATTATATTTACCACAATAAAAGAAAGTAAAAAATAAAATCCACTTTAACTTTTTTAGAAAATTGACCATTAAAATCATTAAATGTCCTAACTTTACTTAAAAATCAATAAATAAAATTTAGATATTTTTAGTTCATTAAAATAAACAAAGTCAAATATCAACATGCTAAATATGCAAATTTGATTTGATTCGAATTGAATTAGAATATTTTTTTCTTCAAGATATAAAATTATCATATATCGAGTTCTTGTATTCCCTCATCTCCTTACTTTCACGGACAGCTTGGTACTATCAATTTAATTAAGGTGTATATGTGTGTGTGTGTGTGTGTGTGTGTGTGTGTGTGTGTGTGTGTGTGTGTGTGTGTGTGTGTGTGTGTGTGTGTCTAAATTTGAAAATTAAACAAACTATATGTATAATTTTTTTTAATTAATTCACTTTAATTATTATATTTTTATGCTTTTGTTTTAAGTGAATTTGCTTCCAAATCAAATTTTTATACGTATCTTAAAACAAATAACATGAAAAAAGTATTTTCAATAATTAATTAAAAAACTAAGAACTTTTGATAGAGGAAAATTAAAGTTTGCAAAATAAAAGACATATTTCGCTAGTTGCGTCAATAAGAAGATAATAATAATTTGAGACATCGTATATGTGATAGATTTCTACGTTTCTAATCTAAAAGAAATTCATTATGCAAAAATTTTTTATTTAAATTAAAATCTGAATGAATCGGTCATAAATTTTGAGTGAGTAAGGATTTAGACCTGAAAGAGACGTGATCCTCATTTTATCGTTAATGGACCTTGGATCCAAGTGGAGAGAAAAGAAATCTTTAGTTCAAGCCCGTTTTAGGTTTATTAAGGCGATAATGTGCATCCAATTTTCATCATTTCTAGAATCGTTTGTCCGTCCTTTCCGATTAACAGTTAACTATTGGCCTAAATTGAACCAGTTTTACAAACATAATTTTTTTTTTAATAAATTGAGACAAAACAGAGATAAATTCGTAGGTTAAGCTTTTAATTTTACACGAGTGAAATACAAAAAGTTTATGTTTTCTCCATTCACAAACAAACTGCTCCAAAAGATAAAATAAAAATAAAACAATTATTATCTTGATAAATTTTATAATACACATAGTTTTTTATTACATATAATTTTTTTTACGTCTATTTCTCTTCTTAAAATAAACTTAAAAATTAATTATTAATTATTTACTAATTATTTATTATGTATTATAAAGTTTTCCGCCCATATCTTGCTCTACAGTTATGAAACGTGACGTGAGTAGTAAGCAAGAATATTTTCCCGACTCTTCCTTTTTCAATTTATTAAAAAAATATATGCTTAACATAATGTAATTAGTAAAGAGAGTTTAGGTCAATTGAAGATTACAATAAAACAACTTTAATTGCATAGAATTCTATATCCTTTGCCTGCACGTTTTTTGTTATTGACCCATAAAAATCAGTGGTCTAATTAAACTGCCCAACAATAATATGTGGTTTCATAATCATACAGATATAGAGTACTGGAACCGTCCTAGACTTTTACAAATCCAATCTCCACCTCTTAAATATATTTAATTTTCATGACTTTTCTCATCTGCTCAGAAGGCATAAAAGTCACTTCCCTTGGCTGATCCTTCATAAAGTTGGCGTAAAAGTCACTTCCCTTGACTGATCATTCGTAAAGTTTTTTTTTAAATAAAATTAATTGTTGGGAACAAAGCAGTCAAATAAAAAACGTGGTGTTTCGTATTCCCATCGATTGCCTAACCTTGATTGCCTTTTTTCTTCCGGATAGAGCAAACCTTGCAATTTGACGGAGACAGAGGCAAAGGCCAAAAAAAAAAAAAATCATCCCGAACGCTTTAGAGCACGAAAAGAAAGGATAAGGACAACATATCTCCGAGGTAATTATAAGTCAATCCTTGTAGGTTATTAAAGCTAACTTAACCAGTATTTGCAGTATCAAAAATCATTAAATAGTCATTTGATTGATATTGATTATTTTCAGTTTAGTAGTTTTTGATCCAACAATACCTTCTTTCATTGGCAAATTTTCCCATATTACCTAATTCTCTTTTTCAAGAAAGAAAGAAAGAAAATATTAATTTATAAAAAGCAGGTTAAATCTCTCTGTCTTTCTTCTTCATTATTTTGCTTGTAACTTAATTTGATAAAGAATTCACATTTATAACACTCCTTTGGATAAATTTTGTTGACCTTAAAGGAAACTTTAATATAAAGGATTTCTATGCTAATATAAATAGATTTTATTTGAATAAAGAATTCTTTTGATAGAAAAAAATTAGAACTATCATAACACGGTGGTAAGTGTGGCAGAAAAACATTACAATTTCATAATATTAAAGCTAAATTATAAAACACCTTTGGATTTGAGAGAAAAAAAAAGCTTTCTTAACTAAAAAATATTTTACTTTATGTTTTAAACAATATGATTTTTTGAATGTATTCTTTTTGTTAAAATTCTGTTGAAAAATTGAAGAAAAAACCCATAAAAATTCTTCCAATTCCTATTCTTTCCTTCAATAGAGTTGGATGGAAAGATTTATAAGTATCAATTTGTATAATAAAAAGATTATTATAGACCAAAACTGTATAAAGGGGTTGGTATAATAGAAAAATTGAAAGTACCGGGATATATGGTGATTTTCAGCCTATTCCTAACCCGTGCTTTGTATTGTCCATATGAGGAAGGATTCAACAAAATGATGATTAACCTTGTAGATTGAGAGATTTATGCCAAATGCCATGTGAATCAGTTTGACTAAACCAAACGAGATAGCTATAAATTGAGTGTGTGTAATAAAAAGATTTCTATCGAGACTTCCTTTCTGTTGTTTTTTGTTATTTATTTATTTCAGGTTTTATACTCTTAAAAAGCTTATCAATTAGGTACATCCATCTAATAAGGGAAGCGTTCTGTTGGTTCATATGTCGCATTCTAGATTTTCTATACCTGTTAGAACCATTTTTTTTTTAAAAAAAAAACTACAGGAATTGGGAAGACTAAGAAGACTTTCTTTCCGATGTCACCTGCGGGATGCCAGCCTTTAAAGTAATCGGTTCAGTTCCTCGGCTTGGGATCCAGAACTAAGACAAGAAAACCAATCCGCCTATTCTTGAACTAATATATATTCCATAGAAATTAATAAAAAGTTAGTTAATTTTATTATGTATTTATTTTTTTCGATATAAGCTCAAATTATAAATTAATATATTGGATTAAAAATAAGTTTCATTCAAGTATAATGCTTTGGACTGAGTAAGAATAAACATAAATATTCTAACAAGATTAGTATCTATATCTTATCTTTGAGATGCATTAAAAAGAATGATTTAATGGATTTGGAGTAGTATTCTCTAAAAAAAGACTCAATTATTATTATTTTTTTTTAAGGATTTGTTAGCAAGTTGAAGTAGTTTAGCTACAAAAGAAACTCATCTTTTTTCAATTAAAAATTGACCACCCAAACATAGATGATGTGACATGATCTTAACAGATCAATGACTATCTTAAATTCACTATAAATAACAATCTCACATCATTATGAGGTGATTCTAACTTTCTAATCTCTAGAAATAAATCTGTAAACTCTCTCTTTCAAAACTCTCTTACTCACATTCTAAACAATATCTAAAAATTCATCCATTTATATTTTGACTACCCACCTAGCTCTACTAAGCTTTAGCCATGCTAGCACTACTTGCTCTTCATTTCATGTCTTTCGTCGCTTGCATCCATTCTTATCACGATCCCAAAATTGAGCCATGACCGATGCGAGGATTAAGGGAACTGCGAGACCCACCTCGACCCAAGCAAGTCTCGGATACTAAACTAGACTTCAAATCATGATCGAACTTATACTATAGTCTTCAAATTAATATCACTCAAGTTATCATTCCATTCAACATTATCATAACTTAATAAATATTTCTTTTACAACTTCAATACAATTCATTTTCAACTCAAATTTTTAGTACCCACATCTATAATCTGCAGAGCGTCTAAGATTATAATTTTAAACAAACATAGGTTTTAAGGAATTATAAGGAAATGAGTCGCACGATTAAAGTGCCAACGTCAAGAAAAACAATCCAAAAAAAGCAATGAGCAATCCCTCAATATCCTGCAAAACCGAAATAATGAGGGGTGAGTAATCAACGACTCAATGAGTAGACATTATATAATATACTAAAAGAGGGAAACGGACTACGGATGATGTTCTCAAATCCATGTCAAAATGCAATGCTTATTTCTTAAATACATGGATATCGAAAACGCATTTCATATCACAATCAAATGGTTCAAAACCATTTTGAATCAAATTGTCAAAGCATTTGTACATACATATATCATACTCATATGAAAACACATATATAGGTTTTCATACACTCGTAGGGTAATAATGTATCATTGGATGCGAACACCTAAAGGTTATGTCCCCGTGACTAGGTTTTTGCATGTCGATCAACATACGGTCCAACATTAAACCTCTCCTCGCTAGATGGAGCCTCGGATCATTGAGCTCAAAGGCTACCTCCGGTAACTAAGTTCTCCAAGATCTCGAAAACATTTTTGAAAACCAAACATATTTATACATTTTCAAATCGATATTTCAAATATCATGCATGCATTCTCATAAAATACACGTATACTCAAAATAACAAACATAACACATACATGTTCAAATCCGAAAACACATACCAAATCATTCACATTTATCCAACACATTGAAATCTCTTTTTAATTCTCATCAAATCATTGTGATACAAAAACATTTCAAATATTTATAATGTTCGTTCCCATCCGAGTTCTACTAGAATGCTTATAAATCATTCATAAAAAATGATGCATGATGGATGGATCAAGAACTTTAAAACATAGTACACAATATAATATCCACTCACAAGTATAATTGAAGAACCAAACGAAATCAAGACGGTTGAGATGGAGTCGCCCGCTTTAAAGAATCTATCATCATAAAATGATGGATCACCCATTAATATCACATAATAAGGAATAAGGAATAATCCAAATAATGAATTGTTTTAAAATTAGAAATACATGATTATCAACTAAAAACAAAATTGAATGGAAAGACTCAATCCGATGATCTAACTAAATCTTATGATCCCTCAATTGATTCTAATTAATCGTCTAATCACATTTCATTGCTAATCTTTAACTCAATCATTAAACAATTAACCTTCAATAATTCAATCCTTAATTTGATTAAATGATCAATTCTATTCAAATTCATCCAATAATCACTCCATTCATCTTTAATTATACTTTTCTAACTTAATTTCTCATTTATTCCAAAATTCTTTCCAATTAAAACCTAAATTCAAATTTGTCACTATTCATCATCTTCAACCTTTTAATTTCTCAAATTTATTTGATTCCATTTCAAATTAACTTCTTATTTCACTTATTCAAGATAATTAAACATCAATTAAACACTTAGGATTACTTAATTAAACATTTTCCCAAATGAGTCTCAAAACCCTAACCTTAATTTAATCCATTCCTCAAGCAAATCTCAATCTAATGCAAAGGCATCTCAATATCATCATTAACCACACAAAAACTTCATAATTTAAAGATCAATGGATCAAGGATCTTACCTTTACACTAAGCTCCTCAAATCCCAAATTCTTCCTAGTTTTTCCAAGCTTCCCAAGCTCTAAGCTAATTAAGCTCCACTTAATCAACGTCTTCAAGGTTTCTCTAAGCTAATTTAACTTAGTCTTAGCTTAGGAATCAAAGAGGAGAAATTAGTAGAAAATGGGAGAGAATCGCGTGAGGGACGGGAAGAAAAGAAAGAAAATAAAGGCGCAACCAAGTTGTCCCATTTTTTTATACCAACCCAATTTAGAGTTATTTATGAGAAAAGATTCTCTCCGAAGTTCTTCCAAGAATTAATCGTGAACTTATCAAGAATTTAATAATTCATGTGGCATTTGCATAAATTTATCGTTCTTCTTCTATCTATTTTAGAAGTGTGGCATCGAATACCATTTTTCGAACCGATTTAGCTTTTCTCGAGTTTGAGTCATTTTGTTCGTAAGTTCTTTAGCCATCGAGTTAGACAATTTTACATCATGAATGAAGCTAATTATAAATGAGTTAGTTTGTAGCACATCGATGTTTTTGCAAAATAAACTGGGGATTGGAGTTCAATTCTCATCTTTGCCAACCAGCTCTTAAATTATATTTTTAAGCAAAAGGAACGGAGGTTTTTCTTTTTTCCTTGTAAGAAAACTCACCTTTGGTAAATAAAGGAGAAAAATTCTCACAGTTATAACGGTTTTTCATGCCTCTCTCCCTCGCAATTCTAAGCCTCACGAAAAAAAAAAAAAAAAATTATGAAGAGACCACGAGAAATGAAGGCAAATAACCGAAAAACATGCAAAATCAACAAATCCCCACAAAAAATTACACAGAAAATTGTACTGCAAAAACTTGTCAATCTCTTTTGCCTAAGTAATGGCCTTGGGTTGGCATTTCCATCCAGTTCTTATTCTATTCATCATTTTTACAAACCAATTTCCTTTCACATCTTCAGTATCTGACTCTGAAGCTTTGATTAGGCTTAAAAAATCATTTACTAATGCCGGTGCTCTTAGTTCTTGGGTGTCAGGCTCGGTCCCTTGCAATAGACAGACTCATTGGGACGGACTTGTTTGTTTCAATGGCATGGTCACCGGCCTTCAGCTCGAAAACATGGGCTTATCAGGAACCATTGATGTTGATGCATTGACTAATATACCGGGACTCAGGAGCGTAAGCTTTGCTCATAATTCTTTTACAGGTACAATTCCTGAACTCAATCGTTTAGGCTATTTAAAGGCTATATACTTGAGAGGGAACCAGTTTTCTGGTGAGATTCCCTCGGATTTCTTCTCGAAAATGAAGTCGCTGAAGAAAGTTTGGCTCTCGGATAATAAGTTTACTGGAGGAATTCCATCATCATTGGCTGAGCTGTCTCGGCTTACCGAATTACATCTTGAAAACAATCAATTTAGTGGGACTATTCCATCTATTGATCAACCAACATTGATTTCATTTAATGTGTCAAACAATAAGCTGGAAGGAGAAATCCCACCGAATTTAGCAAGATTCAATTTTAGTTCCTTTGACGGAAATGAAAATATTTGTGGAGACAAATTTGGTAAAGGGTGCGAAAACACATTGGAGAGATCATCAGAGCCACCAACCGGTGTTGGGCTAGATGATATGATGGTTAGCAAAGGCAAGGATCATAATAACAATAATGTTACGAAGACAGTCGCAGGGGTTGTAACTTTGGCTGTGATGCTTCTTTCTATAACATCTGTGATAATCTTTAGAATGAGGCGAAGGGACAAAGATTTTAATGTTCTTGAAAATAGAAGCAATGGTAATGCAGCAGCACTTGAGGTGCAAGTTTCGTTGTCGAATAGACCGAAGGGAATGGAAGTTACCAGAAAGATAGGATCAGGCCGTAAAGGATCTAATCATGGCAGGGGTGGTGTGGGGGAATTAGTTGTTGTGAACAACGTAAAGGGTGTATTTGGGCTTCCAGAGTTGATGAAAGCTTCAGCAGAAGTGCTTGGAAATGGAGGATTGGGGTCTTCGTATAAGGCGCAGATGGCTAACGGGGTTGTGGTGGTGGTCAAAAGGATCAGAGAAATGAATGCATTGTCTAAAGATCAATTTGATGCAGAAATCAGAAAGCTTGGAAGACTGCATCACACGAATATTTTGACCCCATTGGCTTTTCATTATCGGCAGGAAGAGAAGCTGTTGATCTATGAATACATGCCTAAAGGCAGTCTGCTTTATTTGTTGCATGGTATGACATCATTTTCCAACGTTTTCTTTTACAAAGGTTCATCTCATGCTGTTTTTTCTCGACAATCATGTATCTGCTTAACATTATATTTCTTCAGGTGATCGAGGACCATCACATGCTGAGCTCAATTGGTCTGCTCGTCTCAAGATTGTTCAAGGAATTGCTAAAGGATTGGGCTATCTTCACACAGAACTTGCTTCCTCTCACTTGCCTCATGGCAATCTCAAATCAAGCAATGTCTTTCTTAGCAATGATAACGAGCCATTACTTTCAGAATTTGGCTTCAGTCCCCTGATCAGCTCTTCGATGTCGGCTCAAGCATTGTTTGGGCATAGAGCCCCAGAAGCAACACAATACGGCGTATCACCTAAGTGCGACGTGTACTGTCTGGGAATCATTATTCTTGAAATCCTTACAGGAAAATTTCCTTCTCAGTATCTCAACAATGCCAAGGGAGGGACTGATGTAGTCCAATGGGTGGAATTTGCAGTTCCCGATGGGAGACAAACTGATTTGCTTGATCCTGAAATTGCAAGCTCTACAAATTCACTTGGTCAGATGAGGCAGCTCCTGGGCATTGGGGCCGCTTGCGTTAAAAGAAATCCTGAGCAACGGTTAGATATCACAGAAGCTATTCAAATGATACAGGAGATTAAATTACAAGATAGTAACGAGAGCAGGACAATGAAAGTTTTACCATCACTTCGAGATGGATATGCAGATGCAACAGATACCATTGCGTCTTATATTCAAGAAGTTAAAGGGGAGAGCCATTGGAGGGGACATGGACAAGGCAGCTTTATGGACGGAACTAGACACATAAGTCGTGATCATTTTTCTTTTCCGGCTTCTAATTAGATACTTTTAAGCAATCACGCCTCAAATTCTGGTAAAAGGAACTCTTCTCGAGAAGGGAAATTAGGTCCAATTCAACTTAGGACAGTAAATTTCAGAAGCATCTGCAACGATATCGAGACATCATTTTCGAGGTTTCGGCACAAGAAGAAAATGTGAATGGGGAGATACAATGCACATACAGTAGACTTGTAACTTAATCACATAAAGTGTTGCAACTTTTTCCTTTTTCTTTTTTTGATAATTTCTTGGCCAGAGAGATTTTTGTGATCCCTTTGTACATTTTTCTTGTAGTGTTTAACTAATTTTAATAGCTTGTAGACCAAACATGATCATTTCGGTTTATAAGAATTCAGCAACTTTCAAGTTTCAATTGCAATCCCCTACTTCGTGCAACAGGACTAATTTTGGATCAGAAAGAATCACAGAAGCGGCGGAAAAGGGGAAGCTTCCATTACCTAAAACAGCTTAACAATCTGTTCAACTATTATGTACACAACAAGGTGGAGCTTCCATTACGCTGATGCTTCCAGACTTTTGCATTGATAAACACTAGCAAAAAGGCTCTATGAACTCTGCTCTATCATATCAACCAATCTTTGTTTCTTTTATAAATACGAGCGTCACAAACATGTTAAATTCAGCTCTGACAAAACATGTCTCAAATCTCTTATTCTCCGCTTCTCGTTATGTTCCTAGCTATCTTGGTGATGCAGCGGAAGCAAGTTTTTTTTTTCACTTCAATGTTGCTGAAATGGTGATTAACCAATTCGGTTGCTTCCTCAGATCAAGATGAAATCATATAGTACCAAATCGATGCATAGAAAAGCCAAAAATAGTTCATTTCTGAGGCCCAACTAATAATACATTCTGGTCTAGATGTACCAATACCATAAGGATCCCATTGGGACTCCCCAAGCCATATTCTTTCTGTTAAACCATTGATTAAGGCCAAATTGATCATGCATTTTGAGATGCACCTTGAGAATCCCATTGAGACTCCCAAGTTACAACTCATAGACAGATTAAAAACACATGTTAGTCAACCCTTCTGTACCTCACAAATAGCTCAGTACAGCTGGAGAAATCAGCAGCTAGCATGAACATTAAAAAATGATTCAAATTTTACAGGATCCTAAACTGGCAAACAACGATAGCTAGCCCACCTTGTGCACTGACAAAATTTCGTAGCTTTCCATGCTATATAACATCGTACATTACACATTGAACCAGGACAGCATAGTACAGGCAAATGTGATGGAGATTTAAAGCTCTGGGGTGATGCAATAAACTCCTGGAATTGTCTGGCCAGCAGCAGCAAGTCTACCCTGTTTATTATATCGTCCTATAATATTATTATTAGCAAAACCAAGATCTTGAATCTCTCTTTTTTATAAGCGACCCGGCCGCAGTGCCACTCGTGCAACTTCAATTTTAAACTATTTCTCTTCTGTTCTAGATCAGTGTCGTTAATTAATAATCATTGATTACCGAGTACATGAAATCATGCACGCAAGATTTGCATAATCAGAAAATCATAAAAAAGAATGTACTATTATTACTGACTTACTGACTTTAGGCCTGCATATATACATATATATATTGATCATTACTGACATATGCACTTGTTCTATACATCTTCTATTGATTTTGATTTTATTTGTGTAATTTCTTTTTTTTTCTTTTTTTTTCGCGTAAATCATATGTGTACGTGCGAGCATGAATGCACGTGAATCTCGGCCTATTTTGGCACTAGATTAGTTGACTTCATTAATTCATCATTTCATGAATGAATGAATTAATTGTTCTAAGTTTGTTTTTGCGTCTGATAGTACATTATTTGCCTTTCATTTTGTCATTCTTTTTTATTTTTATTTTTTTTAAAGATGGATTGTTTGCTTTTTGGTACTCGGAGAGTGAGCTAGAGCCAGCACATTAAGCTCTTGTTTCTCTGCAGAACAGCTGTGCTCACAATTTCTCATCCATGTTTTTGTCTTTTATGGTGTGATTAGCCAATTAATGACCATCATATATGTATATATCGATGTGTTTGTTGAAGAGAGAAGGGTTTTTTTTTTTTTTTTTAAATGGCATTTCCACCCAAAACCGAGGATGTCCACAGAGCCCAATAAAATCAATTTATTAAAATATGGGCTTGGACTTCCCATAAAAGCCTTTTAGACATGTCTAGGCTTTTATAGAGACATTAACCAAATTAGGCCATGAAATTCAGTTTTCTCATAACAAAATTTCAGAATCGTTTCGTATTGATGTTCTGATACAGAAAAAAAAAAAAATTATTGAAACTATTTTTTTTTTGTTTGACTTCTTTTTTTATTTTTTTATTCCAGAGGATTTTTTATACTATGAAAAAAGTTTGTCGAATCCTGTTTTATTGGGTAGGGTTGGTAGTCAACAAGTTTTGCTCGTTATTTTAATTTTTTATTTCGAATTTTAAGGCTAACAATTAAAAAAATCTCTCTCTTACATTGCAACACATACACATAAGGAATGTGTGTTAAATTTTTTTTTATCAAAAAGAATATATAAACAAACTAGAAAATATCTCGAACGATTGAATTAAAAAAAAAAAAGAAAAAGAAAAAGAAAGAAAGGAAGGAAGGAAGGAAGAAAGAAAGAAAGAAAGAATATGGCTTTCAAAATATCGTCGTTGGATAAGTTGGACTTGAAGAAAATTCTTTAGACCTTAAAGACTCTAATAGATTTATTCACTGCGGTGGCAAAACTGTAATTACAGAGTTACCCAATTTTTTATTTTTATTTTTGTAAGAATCATCATTGTGTAACATTTTTAAGAAATTAATATAAAACAACACTAGCAACAGTGAGGCCAAAATAGTCTCGAAGGGAAAAAAATAAAAATCAAAGCATAAGAGGTGGATTGAATATTTTCAAATTTCAAATATCAGAGGTAAATTTAATAATGTTAAGAGATGGACGGCTGAGATCTTACAATTAAAAAGCAGAAAAAGCAATTAGCAGCAAAACCGAAACTTGGTCGGAAAGGTTGCCGGTATATTATAAAATAGATTCCGGGAAGGACGAATATAGAAGTCAAGCTGTCAAAAATGGAGAGTACTAGTTGGATTTTGTTTGTTTGAATTCAACACTCAATCAAACGGTTCACATTCAGACAAAAATCCCCACAGCTGCCTCCCTCCCTCCCTCCCTCTTCCTAGACCTCGCCAAAATTATACTATACTTCTCACATACACTAACACCAATGACCATCTAGCTATCTATAACTCCTCTTTTATTACACTTCCAAATATTTCTCCTCCTTGTCCCACCACCACCACCTCCTCCTCCTCCTCCGCATAAAAACCACCACCCCCTTCCCTTTTTCCAAGATTCCAAATTTATTTTCCATCTTGAGTCCCCCATCCAATTCCTCCACCGTTCATGATTTTTGGGAAAAAAAAGTAGTTTTCTGTTATATCCAAAAAAGAAAACAAGAAAAGGGACGCATTTCTTTAACTTCCTATATTTGTGTTAATAACTACATACCCTTTTCAAGGTTAAGATTTTGATTCTTGGTTTTCTTATAGCTAGGAATCAGAATTTGCATCCTCCGGTCATGGAACCACCAGAAAATTACAGCACAGACACTTCTTTTGCCGTACCTTTTGAGGATGCCCAGAAGATAATTCTGAGGTGGGACTCAACTGCATCAGAAGAAGCAAGAGAAAGAATGATCTTTGATGGAGATCGTCAAGAGGTGGATCTATACTTACAAGCTGTTGATGAAATCCAAAAGTCTATGTCATCAACTTCAATATCATCACCTTCATCTGATCATCGTGACCAAGATAATAATGATAGTAACAAAGTCAACTCTGCTATACAGATCGCCATGGCTAGACTTGAAGATGAGTTCCGCAATATCCTTATAAACAACACAAGCCCTGTTGAAGTAGACTCTCTTGTCGTTTCTGATCATGCTTCTGCTTCTGCTTCTGCTGCTTCTTTGAGCCATAATACTAGTTCGTTAAGAAGCAGTGATGAATTTGATCGGGAGGAAGTTGGTGGTGGTGGTGGTAGCGGTGATCACGGTGATGCTTTAGATCCTATACATCGTGCAGATTCGAGTAATAGTAGTGCTAGTTATCGATCTACGAGTAGTATTCGTGAGATAGATCTGATTCCCCAAGAAGCTGTAGCAGACCTTCAGTCCATAGCTAGACGGATGATCTCTGCAGGGTACTTGAGAGAGTGCATTCAGGTTTATGGGAGTGTGAGAAAATCAGCTGTGGATGCGAGTTTTCGGAGACTTGGGATTGAGAAGTTGAGTATTGGGGATATTCAGAGACTGGAATGGGAAGCTTTGGAGACCAAGATCAGGAGGTGGATTCGGGCGGCCAAGGCTTGCGTTAGGATATTGTTTGCCAGTGAGAAGAAGCTTTGTGAGGAGATTTTTTATGGGATTGGTACTGCTATTGATGATGCTTGTTTTGTGGAGACTGTCAAGGGTCCGGCTATTCAATTGTTTAATTTCGCCGAGGCAATTAGTATTAGCAGGAGATCTCCTGAGAAAATGTTCAAGATTTTGGACTTACATGATGCTTTGATGGACTTGTTGCCTGATATTGAGGTTGTTTTTGAATCAAAATCTGCTGATTCCATTCGAGTTCAGGCTGCTGAGATTTTGTCAAGATTGGCTGAGGCTGCCAGGGGGATTTTATCAGAGTTTGAGAGTGCTGTTTTGCGTGAGCCTTCGGTGGTTCCCGTGCCTGGGGGGACAATTCATCCATTGACAAGGTATGTGATGAATTATATCTGTTTGATTTCGGATTATAAGCAGACCTTGATTGACCTTATTATGTCAAAACCATCAACTGGGTCAAGATATTCGGGTGATCCAACTACACCTGATATGGAATTCGCTGAACTTGAGGGGAAAACCCCTTTAGCCCTTCACTTGATTTGGATTATTGTGATTTTGCAATTCAATTTGGAGGGCAAATCCAAGCACTACAAGGATGCATCATTGGCCCATCTGTTTATGATGAACAATGTTCACTATATTGTTCAGAAGATTAAAAGATCACCAGAATTGAGAGAAATGATTGGAGATGATTACTTGAGAAAGCTAACCGGGAAATTCAGGCAGGCGGCAACTAGTTACCAGAGAGCAACTTGGGTAAGTGTTTTGTATTGTTTGAGGGATGAGGGGTTACATGTAAGTGGGAGTTTCTCTTCTGGTGTCTCAAAGAGTGCTTTGAGAGAGAGGTTTAAGACCTTCAATGCTATGTTTGAGGACGTTCACAGGACTCAAGCAACATGGTTGATTCCGGATTCTCAACTTAGGGAGGAGCTTCGAATTTCTATATCTGAGAAGTTGATCCCAGCTTATAGGTCGTTTCTTGGACGGTTCAGGATCCATATAGAGAGTGGAAAGCACCCGGAAAATTATATAAAGTATTCAGTGGAGGATTTAGAGAGTGCTGTCTTGGATTTCTTCGAGGGTTATCCTGTGTCTCAGCACCTGAGGAGGAGATCTCAGTGAAGGAATGGATGAGTTTTGCCGACTTAGAAACTAGGACACATTCTTTGAATTTTTTGTGAAGTGTTTGGGCGATATTGTGCTGGTTAATAGGGGCCTGCCCTATGCTCTCCAGTTCTTTCATGCATCATCAGTTAATTTACCGTGGATCAGAACAAGTAGAGTTCTTTGGGAAGTTTAGGTGTAGCTCTCTTGAATAGCCAGGTCCCTCAACCTGAATGCTTCCACACTGTAAGCATGTTATTTGTTTTGGTACCACATTCTAGATTTTTGTTCCATTTGTTCATATGGGAATTGCTGTATGTGTGATTTTCTTACTACTATTTATCATATGAAGAAGCAGTTTTCTTTTTCTAGCACCAAAATTCTCCTAAAGTAATAATCTATTGGTGACCTGAGTTAAATGCATTTAGAACTGGAACTGGACAAGCTTTGATGATGTTGGAAAGTCAGTAAAGTTATGGTTCGTCTAAATATATTTGAAATTGATCAGAAGCGGGCATTTTTCCATTGATCAAAGGAAATATGAAGGTAACTGAAATCACTAAACCCTCATTTATTGAAGATGAATCGGCAATTGAATAAGTTTCTTTCCTAATTCCTATAAAAAAATCTACAGAAATGAAGCAGGACTATGGTGCTTTTGACCAGCATTCCACTAATCTGTTGCATTAGATATTCTAAATTTAGATAATGCAGCTAGTACTTACCATTGAAATCAATTTTGTGTCACTTTATGGTTCTCCCTTTGATTAGTTTATTTTTACATTTGATTTCAATAAAGGTTGATACCAGATAGATTTGAAGGTTGAGATCTGTCAATGACAGAAATTCGTACAAGATATGGCAAAAGCTGAGACCTTTTTGTGCTCGAACAAATTTGGACGCTTTTTATGTCATCTTTTTTCTTTAACAAACGTAATCTCCAGCTGGCATTAGGGTAGCTTTGACAATTTGTGGATTCAACATTGGGGTTGGTTGGGGTACATTAAGAATTCCTACTAGGTATGGCAGTAAGTGAAGCCAGAACTTCTACCAAAAACCCGTCATTTTTGTTTTTCTTGAAACTCCGAATTGATCGATAGAATTCTCCTTTTAGAGAGAGTGTTATTCTTCCAGCTGATCCAGAAATTAGATTCAGTTTCAGTTTGAATTTTTGGTTTAATAAGTTTTTCTAATTCAAACTCAGCTATTAGTTTAGTATCTGCTTGAGTTGCTTGAATTTAGTGATCTACGTATCCAGATCTGTAGTGTATTTTACACTTTAGATTGCTGGATATTTATTTCAAATTGAAGCTCACAGCTGCTTGCAAATGAGGTTTACCACCAAGACTAGAATATATCATTCTGGAAAGAGGTTTGGCTACCTGATATTTGAATGGTTTCAATGAGTTTTATCATCTCTGCAAAGAATTCCTCATTACCCTTCAATCTGTGACAAATCTAATCATCAACACAGATTTTTGGCTGGTTGTTTGATATTGAAATGAACTGGAAACTGAATTCTCCTAATCGTCTTTACCTCCAATAGATCATCAAAATGGCGTATGGATTGGAGACAAACAGAAAAAAACAAGATAGGCAACTGGTCTTATCTGGTGCAGTTACTTGTATGAATCTAGGAGCAAACTGGCAGGGCTATTGCCTTTGTCTAGTTTGCGTGTCTTCTAGGGGATGTGGACTACAGACCATCACTTTCTTGAGCTGACAGAAATAGTTGAACTATCTGGGGTGCCCCTATAATTGAGTGCTGCAAATTTGTGGCTTGTATACATTAGCAGTAAATGATTTAAGACCAGAAGAGCCTTGAATTGAAGTGAAAGTAACTCGGTTAGGTAATTTTTTTTTTTTTTTTTGTGGAAAAAGAAGATATCTGTAGTTAATCAAACTACTGCGGACAAGTATAAAAGGAAATGCATGAATATGTGTTGTTTTCCATTTTATGGAAATATGGAATCGGTTTTGGGAGCATTTCTTGGTGTTCCATTGACTGGTACTCAAAAGAGATTGGAAAGTTCTGATAGTTTAGTTTTTTTAATTTTGTCTCTTCCGATAATGAAGAATTCTCCTCCTTTACACTTATTCGTCTCTTCTCTCTCAATAATAGATTTAATTGTATCCAAGAAGAAAAAGAAAATCAACACTAGACTTGTTCCGAAGCCAATCACAAGAAGGATATTTGAGATGACCCTAAAGCTTGAAGTTGGAAAATTAAGGAGATAGAAAGGGAGAATCAATCAAATGTAAAATTTAAGCAACTATTAGGAAAGAGTTTATCTCATAATTGATTTCACATACAGTTTTAATTTTTTGTTTTAGACCTTCTAATATTTTTTAGCTTAATTAAAACTTTATATTCTTACAAATTCGTTGATTGAGACCATCCTTCATTATAATATCATTAACTATTCATTCAACATGGCAAGTTAAAACTAATAATAGTCAATCACACAACCACGTGGCAATGTTGGCTCTTATCGAGTCAATATAAATCAAAACGAAAATGAAAAAAAAATGATTTTGTAAATTAAAAAACAAGAGTTAAATAAAAAAAAAGAGGGGGGGGGGGGGAAGACTTAATTAGCCAAACCCATTTAATCCTAAACTAAATGAATAAACAAACGAACAAACTTTAGATTTATCAACATACACCATCGTTTGAAACTCTTCTCCTCTTCATCTTCCTTCGTGACAAGATTGTTTCATCTTCTCTTTTTTCTCTTTCATCTTCTCTTCTTCATCTTTCATCTTCTCTCGTTTCATCTTCTCTTCATCTCGTTTCATCCGTTTCTTTCTCAATCTTAAGAAAAATCCTAATTGTTTATCATGATCGATCGGTGAATGATATTGGTAGTGTATTCGACTAAGCATCCTTTGGGCATTCTTTTTTGGAGTTTTCATCTATTTGTATAGGGTTAATCAAGTAAATAATCTCTTCTCTTCGTCTCGTTTCATCTTCTTACTTTTCAATCCTAAGAAGAATCCTAATTGTTCATCATGATCTATCAATGAAGGATAACATTGGTAGTGCATTCGATTGAGCATCCTTTTACGGTAGCCTCATCTATTTGAACGAGATTATTGAGGTAAACAACTACGAAATTTAGTAAAATTTTAAGTTGTCAATTTTGAAAAACTATCTCGTCTATCATTTTGATTGCATTTTAAATGGATTTTTATGAATATTGTTGTTTATTGAATGTGTTTTGTATTCCTTATCGAAGATTTGTTTATTGAATGGGTTTGGATTTTGTTTTGAATTGAATAGCTTATGAAAAACACTACCTTATCTTGGTTTTATCTATTTTGGGTTTTGGGTTTTGAATTTAATGGCTTATAAAAATCACTCGCCTTATCTTGGTTTTGTTAGTTATGGAATTTAGGTTTTGAATTGAATGGTTTATGCAAAATACTACCTTACCTTGTTTTTGTCGGTTATGAGTTTTGTCTATATTGTTGTTTATTGAATTGAATAGCTTTTGTGTATTTGTTTATGTTTTGTCTATCTTGATACTTTTTAATTTTTGCTTTATTTTTTGTTTGTTTGCCTTTGTATCTCTTAATTAATAGTATCGTGTGAAATGTCTAAATTACGACTTCATTTAGGGGTTGAATTACAAAAAAGGCTTAGTTTGTTTGTTAAAGCAGGAGAGGCTATTGAGATAAAATATATATATATATATATATAGAGCCCGACTTAATGCGAGTTTAAAGGATTGTTAGATATGGATGAGGAACATAGATATGAGAAGTATAAGATAGTGTTTTATAGGGATATTGATTCTAAATTAACCTTTGAACGAGTCTTAAGGAAGTGAATGATGATATTAGTCATTTACATGTAATAAAAATGTTGTGTGATGAAATTATTGTTGACTTATATTATAAGAAAAGTGAGTCAATAAACCCCTTGCTTGGTCATGATAACCCAAAACTCGTATGTAGTAGGCTTGGAATCAATGAACATGGGTAGTAGGTTAGTAAGCCTAGCTATGAGCGGGAAGATGATGTAATTAAAGAAATAAATATGTCTAGTATTGTGGATGATACTATCCATATAGATTAGGGTTCCGTTGTCATGGAACAAGATGAGGATAGTAAAGTTCATATAGATAGGCATGGTGTTGTGAATACCGATAAAGGTAGTAATGTCCAATTAAGTGGGGTTAATTAGAATGTTAATAAAGATATAGGTGTGGAGCTATATAATGATGTTGAAGACGCTAAATATTGGGTGGATGTAGAGTGTGTATTTAATAATGAGGAATCAAAAAAAGTTAAAGAAAGGTTAAAAAGATAAAAACAATCTCGGGTAAAATTAATAAAACTATAGAGGAAAATTTGGAGGGAAATATGAAGGGAAATGTAGAGGGAAATGTGAAGGGAACTACAAGGGCGAGTTAGGTGAAAATAGAGAGAATAAAAAGAAGAAAATTAAGAGTAGAGTTGGCAAAACTAAAAGCTGAATTGAATGAGTATTACAATTTAAAATAAATAAAGGGAATATATATATCTAATAGTGATGAAGAACTTAGGATTAGGAAGAGAATCAAATTAGTTAATATGACCCAACAACCGAGTTTTCTCATTTTTAGCTTTGCATGATTTTTAAAAACAAAAAAGAGGTTAAAGTCTGCTTTGACTAAGTATGTCATCCATAGTAAGAGAGATTTGAAACTTCGGAAGAATGACATTATAGATATGGGATAATTTACAACGATAAAAGTTGTCTTTGGAAGTCGTTGATTTCTATTGATGGGAAAGTAAAAAATGGATGGTGAAGACCTATTATGAAGAGCACATTTGTGATTGGTCTTTCATAAATTCTAAGGTTAGTTACAAAGTGCTTGTAGAGCATTTTATGAAAAAGATTATATAAGACACTATGGCAAATCTGAAAGTACAAATTATAATTTTACAAGCCAAACATGCCGGGAACTTAATGAATCCGATGTATGTTGGAGATATGCGGAATGAGTTTCGAAGGCTTGAAGATTATGTAGCTGAATTAAGGAGATGTAATGTAAATAATAATGTCATTCTTAAGAGAGAGAGAATGAGGAAGGTTTGAACGGGTTCAAAAGAATGTATATGTATTTTCATACTATCAAAAAAGGCTTCAAAGCTAGATGTAGGCCAATTATAGGGTTGGATGGTGCTTTTTTGAAAGGTCCTTTGAAAGGAGAAATTTTGTCAACTCGTTGATAGGGATGCAAACAAAGGTTGGGCTGTTGTGAAGTGGGAAAATAAGAAAAACTTGATGTGGTTTATCGGTTATTTAATGAAAATGTTGAACTTCCATAAGGTAATGGATATGGAAGGACATTCACAACATATAGGCAAAAGGTAACTAAATAGGATCCATTAATTTTATGAATTTTAAAGTGAGTTTATTTTTTGTAATACATTATTTATTTTGGCGGGGATTATGTGCTACTCTACATGATTTAGTTCCTAGAGCAAAACATAGATGTTGTGTCGGATACATATTTGCAAAATAGAGGAATGCACATACTAGAGAAGATGTTACGAAACAATTTTAGATACCTATCAAATCAAGCACGATCCTAGACTTGAAAGAGAATCTTGAGTAGCTAGGGAAGTACAACAAGACAATATTGGAAGCCTTCATGAAAGAGTGTCCCCGAAAATGGTGTAAGGCATACTATGAAACTCATGTTAAATCTAATGTAGTTGACAATAATATATTTGAAATTTGGAATAGTTTTATTTTAAAAGGAAGACATAAGAGTACTTGTCACACTATTAGAGGATATTAGCCTGACTTGTAGTAAAAAAAACAATTATTAGGAAAATATTTGTTGTTAGGTTTAAAGGGAACTTTGGATCTAGGATTTGAAAAAAGATAAAAAGAATACAAAGAACTTAGCTTAAAATTTAGGATGTTGCATAATGGTGACGATGGGTATGAGGATATTAATATATACAATTACAATGATAAATATATAATATACATGGCAAAAAGGCAATGCATATGTAGGTTGTTTTAGATGAATGGTTTACCGTATCCATATGCGATAGCATGTTTGTGTTGCTAGGAAGTAGCGATTGGAGAGGTATGTTCTCCTTTGGTATTCAAAATATATGTTTGTCAATGCATATAAGAATTCTATTGAACCTACCAATGGTGGAAAGTATTGGCCTAGGATAGATAAACTAAAGGTTATGGCTCCAAACATTGTCAAACTGTCTAGGAGGAAAAAAAAATTCTTAGGATCACGGGAATCATCGAATGAATTTAACATGTTCGGAAGAGGAAGGATGATGACTTATAAAATATGCTTGAAGAAAAGACACAACAAATTGACATGTCCCGATAATCATAAAAAGAAAAAGGTAAATATCTTATATTTTAATAATGTTTTTAAGTTTTATCCATCTCATATATTTTAGTAGAGTTCATTAAATCTTGTTCATAAGATGTTGATGGTGCTTTTGGTTCTAGATTAGCACCCCTTGGACCGACTGATGTTATGGTTGAACATGGTCTTATTGAAAATGCTTCCAACTTTGGTTCCGTTATGGTTGAGCTAGTTTCAACTTATCATGTAAAAATTCTTGGATAGTTTAAATTATTTAATTTATTATTGTGTTTATTTATATTTATAATCTTATGTGAAATCTTTTTTGTATTCGGGAGAAAGAAAAGCTGAAAGTTAGAGTTGCATCTTCTTGTCAAAGAAAAAGAAATGATGTTGTTGTCAATATGAATAAAGAAAAAGTTGATGATGGTGGTGGTCGAACTTTGAGGAGTAGTGAGGACAAGGAGAAGGCTAATGATGTTGCAACAAAGCGAAGGCTACCGAGATAAAGAAACAAGAGAAAAAACCTCTAACTAGAGTTGGATATTTTGTAAATGAATTTGGTTGCTCTAGATATGGCATTAGTGTCTCAAAGACAATAATGAATGTTCCAAAAAGAAGAAACCAAAATCGGATGTTGATGTCTGTCGAAGTTAAGAGATTTACAAGATCGAAATTACAAAATAAAATGGTGCTACTAGTGGTTCGAAAACAAATAGAAGTGGTTAAAAAAAAATTTTATGTTTTGAGAAATTTTTTTAAAACTTGATTAATTCTCTCGTAAGGAATACTTTCAAAGGATAATTGATGTTTTGAGAAATTTTGTTACAATTATTGATCCAATCTTGTTATTGAGGTATCTTAAATAGTTATTCATTTGAATTTTAAAAACAAACATGCTGTAAAATTAGCTTTACTTGAGAGAAAAATGAATATTTCTATTACAATGGGATATGGCTATAAGAATTAACTTGCTAATAGATACTAGCGTTTAGCAACCAAGATGTGGCTATGAGAATTAACTTATCGACAAATATTGACATTTAGCAACCCACAAATGCATTTGCGAGTTAACTTCATTCTAGAAAAAATATTATCTCATATATTCCGTAGTTAAATGCTAAGTGTTTGGTGGCCTTCAAATCCATTATTATGTTCCCTCTTAATGCCTTTTATTCTAGAAAATGCCTAACAACTTATCGGTATCATCTAATCTCCTTTCTCTTATTTCGTAAAAGCCGGTCCCACTAGGCTATTGCCATTCAAAAGTTGAGCAATGTGGGTGAACCACAATTATGGAGGTGAACCAATTATAACTAGTAAAATACTAGAACCAAAAAGGGTAAATGTGTGTTAATCTACATTCACTATAACAAAAGACATTTCTATCATAATAACTTGAATCATATTAGTTATGGTATCAATAATAAATTTCACACTAACAATGTGCCAAGCCTCGAGCAACTATCTAACAAAATCGGAGACTAGGTCATAAATAAGCAATTCACACTCATTCATTTACACATATAAGAATACCTTGAATCATACCAATTGTCAAACTCTTTTCAAACCCATAGCATAATGATCACAATGACAAACATCATACAAATAAATTTAAGAAAAAAACATATTATACTCTTAAATAATATTAAGTCACTACAAATCAACTTTTAGTCTACAATTTTCGAGTAGTAGCAACTTTTTCTCCTCTTGTTTTTTCCGATTGTAAGCATTATTTTCAACTCGACGGTCTCCATTTCAATTATCAATTTCTCATTCTCATTCTTGATGTATAAATTCTCACTTTTAAACTTAGAAATCACCTCATTCAATCTCAAATTCTCCGAAACCAACCAACGAACTCAATGCGTGTATTTGTTTTTGCAACATTCGTAAGCCCAAAACAATCTTTTTGACTCTACAATCTAAATCATCCTCAAACCGCACTTTAAAACTAGAACCAACATCTTCTCTTCCAAGACAATACCTTCACTATTTTCATCCCACATAAAACATAATCGATGATTCTTTAGACGATAAAGATGATGTGGATGAAGTGGTCATATCTTTTTGGATTGCAAGGAGACACTACGGAAGATGAATGCAAGTTTCAATTTAGGGATTTCAAAAATTGAGGATTTAGGATTTAGAGATTTAAGAATTCAATAAAAGCATAATTTGTGTTGGGTTAGGGATTTAGAGATTGCTAGAACAATGGAAAAGAAGAAAAGAATTAGAATTTAGGGATTTTAAAACAAATAAAATGACATAATCGAGGCGGATTGCCGGAGCAATGGAGAAGAAAAGAAAAGTTGGAATTTAAGGATTTTGAAACAAATAAAATGAGAGGAGACAATTGGGATTGCCGGAACAACGAAGAAGAAAAGAAGAGTAATTTACAAAGAAAATTAGAGAATTGGAACAGATTTTGCCGGATAAATGCAAAAGAAGAGAAGGTTAGGAGTTTAGGGATTTTGATACGACGTAAAAATGAAAAAGATAACAATTGAGAGTAAAATAATATGTTAAGGGTATTTTTGTCCCTTTATTTTTATTTTTATAAAATAACAATTTCTTAATTTAAATTTTTTTCCAAATTTATAAGTTTTTTCTTCGAATTATAATCTCATAACCGAATCCACATTTTTACGTGTCGGTTCTCGATTAATTATTTTAAAGCGTCAAGTAGGATTTACAATTGATGAAAAATCTCAATCGATAAATTTATAAAAGTAGAAGGTTGCAATTAAACTGAAAAATATTAAAAGGTCTTAATCAAAAAAATTAAAACTGTATAGAAACTAATTATGAGTTAAACCCATAAGGGAACAAGCAAACTAGCCACCAGTCATTTTCTGATCCAAATTTGCCCAGCCAAATCCTCTACCTGGCAAAATCCTTATGATGCTTACTAGCAAAGAAAGCTTTGGGTCAAATCCAACTCTTCAAGCATTTGTAGGGGACCCAAACAAATTCCGTAAGGAGAACGTTTTCACTTCGTATTCTCATCCACAACTCCAACATAATCCTGTTTTAAGCAAAAAAACAGGTGTACTCATTGCATTTTTTTTTCTTCTTAGGTTACTATTTCCGTTGTGCATACAAATGGCCAGAGAAGTACAAACCATAAAGGTATCAAAACAACAAAAATACGCTCAATTGTTTCCTCTATAACAAGTAATAATGCACATTCAAGGATTACTGTAACAAGTACATAGAAATCTTATCTAAAAAAGTACATAGAAATACCACGAGCAAAAATGATAAACAAGAACTGAAGAGAGAGAAGGTCATCTATTGCAATCCCAAAGTGGAGTTTGCTTTGTATAAATATGCTCCTGTAGTAATTCTTGATGCAGATTTAGGGAGCGCTAGATTGGTCATTACAACAATAACAGATGATTCCACCCACCTTAGAGCATCGGAATTGAGATTTGCATTATTCTGTCTTATCTTCTTCCAAATCCCCATCAGATGCTCCATTGCTGGCTTGCACTGGTCTAGGTTCCGGTGAACTTCGAACATCCTTAGAAGGTATTGCAGATGGTTTAATGAGAGTTAAAGTACCATCATCCCTGTCAAACTCATCGGTCGAGTCATCTGAGTAAGCGTATCTGTCAAGAAATCAAGAAACGATCAACAAGATGACAGTAACAAAATTAATAAAGGTAAAGTTGATGCCCAACCTAAGAAGATGACCTTCCATTCTCTGGGAATGTTCCATAATAAGAGCACAGGTTTTCTTGAAAAAACAATGATATGCTAATTCATTCCATACAACGTACAAAGTATGGGTGTTTATATGGAAATCACCATATATCATAGCAAAGCAAGAATGCTTAGTAACTGAAAGACAGCACAAGATGAATGCAAGTGGACATGCATGTTAGGTGACCATGGTTGTCAGTTCCATAACTCTTTACGCGAATCTAAATGGTATTAGAGTATCACAGCCAACGGTTTTTTATGCCTTATAAAGTACATATTTTTAATATCAATCCAAGCAAACTGTATTTCTATCATTAAGTTTACTGTTATCCCAAAAATGCTGACAGTTGATGAGGCTGATTGAAAGCACTTCTCATACCCAGTAGTAGCTGGACCACTCACCACATCTTATTTTATACACCCGGTTCATATGTGAGCAAAGCACCAAGCTCTTATAGACTATTACTGGGGCCTATTAAGCATTGACCTTTTTTGGAGGTTGAAAGAGACTTTAACAATGACATTAGAGTAAATAATAAATTAGTCCCTCTAGTTTTTCAAAAAGAATTAAATAGTTATTCTAGTTTCAATAACTAATTAATTCGTCCCTATATTTTTAAAAATCTATTTGTAACTTACTCATTTTCATTAAATTTCAATTTATTTTGTTCTTTTGTTTTTACAATAGAAAAATGAAAAAAAAAAATAAGCAAAAAATATGGAAAGATTGACAAGAAAAGAGGAAATTTTTTAGAATAAAAATAATATTAAATTAATCATGATCAATGCTAGTCAAGAGACCAAACAATGAGCTTTTGAAACAAGATGAATTATTTAATTCATTTTGCAAAACCAGGAGAACCAATTTATAATTTACTCGTGACATTATGGTATAAAAAGGGGAAGGTTATGGTATAAAAAGGGGAAGGTCTAGCAAAAGAACTATGTCTTACCGCATTGTGTTCTGAGAGGGAGCCCAAAGAGCACAGATGACACATAGGAGAGAGAAAGAGAGGACTTGCCAGAAAGCTGGGATGACCCACGCATTCTGCCAGTGCTCATTGTAAACATCATTTGCCTTGAAATACAACTGCAAGTAGAAAACTACAGAATTAAGCAACAACGGAATTCCATGAATGAAGTTGCTCAAACAGTTCTCTTTTCGTTGGTTTTGATTAAAATAAAATAAAAAGCTGCAAAGTCATACTGGCACAATGCACTTATTTGAAACTGTCGTGTCTTGTACACAATTTAAGCCATCCATCCTAGATTTTTGTCTGTTATAACCTGTTGCAGACCTCAAATGGCTTGCAAAATCATTCAATTCAGAATGCAACAAAAATAGTTTGATATTTCCATAAGAAATTGCTAATGGTTATATATCTATATATATATATATATATATATATGATGGAATTTTCTTTTCTTTCCCTTCCAAAATCTGCATGCTAGCAGCTAAGCATTTAGCTTGCAGTAAAACATTGCAAGTTGTGAGAAAATGGTCTATGGATTCTTTATGTTTTTACTGTAAATTTTTGTAAAATCATTGTCCAACGACAAAGAAACTTAATGCTAATATGGTCAGAAACTAATGTATATTACCTCATAGCATAACCAACCCACTGACACAATAACTGCTACTGCCAGAGCATTAGTGAATTTCCGATAAATATCCAGCTTGACCATCATCCTTCTAGCCTGTAACATCAAATGAGGAAGGAAATGTTTTTATTCAAGCTCACTTCTACTGCATTTGAACACACAAATGTAGCATCAGAAACTCTGATGTTTAAATGCATGTTATGTGGTGGTTGATAGTCCAGATGCTCTGCTTCTGAATGATTTTATAGATATCAAATCATCTGATACAGAGGCTATCAAAAGTAGTTTGAATCAACATGTAAAATAACCACTGAATACCATACGAAGTCCATATATTAAAAGAATGAGATTCTATGTTGTCCTGCATCTAAAAGTAGCTATAATAGTCCCGCATAATGTAGCAATCCATCTTATCCAGTATCCATTACGTAGCTAAGAAAAATGAGAGTATCGCTGTAAATAAATGTCACTCAGAATGGCAAGCCCGTTACCTGAAGCTTATTTAAAGTGGCAGAAAGAGACTTAAATATCCAAATAATGATGAAGGCATCCAAGATTGATACAGGAAGAACCAAAAAAAGCCTGGCCTTCCCAGAAAGGTCACTGACAGCACCAACATTTTCTACCAATTCAAGCACTTCAGATGCCACAAAAAAGGTCACTCCAACCAATATCACCTTTGATGTAAGACCACCTAAGGTAGGCCTCACAACACCATAGCCCATTGAAACCATCAAAATGACAAGACGTGCTACCGTACGTTTAATAGTTCCAAAAGTAACTGCCCATACAGTGATTCCAGTGGGCCTAATTCCAGTCTCGTTGAATTCAACATAGTCAAAATACCAGAAAGCCATCTCAAACATGCCTAGTGTAATCACCAATGTTATGCAATTTTGCAGTGGAAAAACTTCTCGCCAGAATCTTGCATACTGAGAGAACCAGAATAATCCAATTATAACAAATCCAAGTGACATGAATCCATAAAATTTCATTAGTGGCGCCATTCTACCAGGTAAATAGCCACTGGGATTTTTCCATATGGTTTCACCCTCTACAACCACTTCTTTTAGATTAGGATCACAATGCATGAAATACAAATTATACATCCCAGTACTGGATATTTGTATTGATTTTGATGGCAATGTTGCAACTAGCTCGTCTGCATTGAATGAGACGCCAAAGACTTGAGGCCAGCTAGGATCTTTTGTTGAAGGACGATGAATGATTTCTCCTTCTGAACACACACCCAACTTTGCAAGATCAGCTGTGCAGCAGACAGCTCTTTGACCACCGTAGGCTGAACCCCCAATTGACTCTCTATCTTCGACCTCAAAAACAATAGCTTGTACCAACCCCGAACTAAAATTGGAAAATTCCTGGGTCCTCCGGAATGTAATCTTTTCAAAACTGGTGCAAGTGACCGTATAAAATTAGTCATTGGGAATAAATGAAACTGATAGTACAAAGCATGATGCTGTATGTGATACAATATAATAACCCAGACTATGCATTTCATGTTGTATGATAATGAGATGAATTCTGAAATTAACATAGAAATACAAGGTCCTAAACAGGCCCTAATTGAACCAAGTACCAGACGCGCAGGTTAGAAAGTTGAACTACTGAGCTCAAAAGTATCAAACCCATCTTATACCTCTGCAATTCCGTGAGTATAGAATCTCAATATATAGCTTTGGAATAGAATTTTCTATGCTGTGTTAAAGATTGATAAAGTTTATATAATCTGTTCCTCACTATATGCTCACATGATCGAAGACCACATTGAACCCAAATTCATCTTGAAAATCAATTAGTTCTAATCAAGTGCATTATCCACTCCAATTCTGAAACTTGACCCACAATGGAATACCATTATTAGATTACTGAAACCAAAAATATAATTTGACACGACCCGTGACCTGTTTATTTCAACAAAAACCAATCTTGGTTCTCATTTCTACATCACATGTGTAAAGCATAATTATTTGTAACTCCAAGAAGCAAGAGATCTTATCATAATTACACTAACACGCACTTAAAGATATAAGGTAAATATGCAAATTGTTGAGAAATGGATTGGAATTACCGTATATAAGAGTCCCCATTAGCAGGAAGGACACTTGTCTCATTGAGATTTCCAGAGGCAGAAGAGTAAATCCCTTCACTGCCGCCATGAACAACAAAGGCATTTCCTTTGCCCACAAATCTCTCTCCTCTATACTCGTGAACTGAACCTTCAACAATCAAGCTCATAAACAACCACACACAAAACAATATTGATCTATGGACCCTAAACATTCTTACACAGAGAAAGAAAATGGGTTTGTGAGTGTGTGCGTGTCTTGGTGTTTCTGGATCTGCAAGTTGAGATCTTGCTGTTTAGTTGCTAAAAAAGACTCAATGTGTCGATGTAGTAAAATGAAGTGAGGACTTTAACAGTGAGAGATGAGCTGCTCGCTTTGATTACTAACTTTTGGGTTTGGAGAAGTGATACTATATAAGGCATGTACCAGCTTCTTTGACCTTTTTGGTATTTGCTAGTAAATAATGGAAGTTTTGGAGTCATTCGATGTTTAGACTTTTGGGCTTTGAACTGATGGGAGATTATATGTATGGTTGAGATTTTAGTTTGCACCATACATTCTGTGCATAAGACTGTATGGAAAAGAGACAATGAGGTCGGTTTCTGGCTTTTTCATACCGTGTCTTTTCCTTGAGGAAAATGAATAAAAACGATTGTAATCTTTTTCTGACAAATGGTTTGAGGCAAACATATGTTTCCTGACGTTAGATTGTGTATCTTGGTAAACTGACAGACACCATTCACTCATGTTAAGAAATCTCTCAAGCCATTGTAGTGCTTGTAATCTGAAAGATTCGGTGAATTCCCTTGAAAGTAAATCTTGCATCTAAAGTTGTTACTACTACCCGACTTTTGGTTCTAACTAAGTCAGCGAAAAAGGCTTTTTCTGTTTTTAATCTTCATGTTGTTTAAAATTTCAATTTTACGTCTCGTTGTTGTAAAAAATTTCACTAGATTTAGTGCGTGTGTGTGTTTGCTAATGTAATATAGGTGATTTTGTAAACATATTTTTTCAATTAAAAATAAATCAAATTAATGCGTTTTGACGTGTGTTTTATTAGTTTTGACATCTTTCATTTCAGAAACATTTAAAATTACTTATAAAAAATAAAATTTTGATGCTTTTGTTCCTTAATGGAGTAACAGGAATTATTTTGCTCAATTTCTTGAATATCCTGAACTGCACTAAGGGAATTTGCATATAATACCTCCTGCAAAGGTCCATACAGTCCACCCAACCAAGAAAAAACCAAAGAACGAAAGTGAGAAACTGACTTCAAAGATCCATTTTGGGGGTGCTATTATAATTCTTCAGTGGTTATTACCACTGGAAAACCCCCCACGCAATTTGGTAGGCAATGGAATCAGTGAACTACTAACCTAACTCCACCCATACTTGAACATAAAATCCAGATAACAAACACTGAATAAATCTGTCGCATACATTCTTTGCAAAATGTTACAGAAACTTCGAGAAAACAACATCCAACCTAATCATATCCCCTACACCTCTGCCCGCTAAAATATGTGCGGATCACATAGCCTGGATGTAAGAGATGCACTAATCCAAATCAAGGAACTCCATTCTTTTCCTCATTGTACCTTTTAGATCACTTGCCTCCCTTTCTGCTTTCTGCGCCTGCAAAAATTAGAAGTTCAAAATCAATACAATAAGTGATATGGAAGATCACAAGTATACAAAGATGAAGTCAGCTGAACGAAGAGACTACTGAGAAAAATTTCACTGAAAGAAGTTTTGACATCTCTTTGTTAGTTTGGCAACAGCAGCAGGTTCTTTGACAGAAAAATAGTAGTTACCTTCCTAAGTAATTGCTTGTGTGCTTATATTGTAATTTACCCTAAAAAGCAATACGATTACATTTCGAAGGAAAAGGTATGTTTACTTGATGCAGCAGCAAAAGTTCTAACTCCTTACAGTAAGATCAAATTAAGTTCAATTGGCAAGGTGTAATAATAATTGGAGAATGAACAGCAGAGCTAGAATTTGAGTTCAATTCAGTTTGGAGTGTGTGGGGGTTGTTCGAGGGGGAATTGCTACACACATTTCATGTCATACTTCATTTCTCAGGAACTTGACAAAAATGGTGGTGGCAGAAAAAATTCACAAGTTCAGTCAATGATTAAAAATAACACCATAAAGCCATTTAAATGACAAAATGCTTATTATTAGCTTATTCAAGGTCAAAACCACATGTGTGAACACATCCATGGACATACAAAGTCATCTTCCTATGTCCACCACTTCAATGAAATGTTGTGTCCAAAACCCTTGCCCAAAATGTCACAATTCACACCACAAAACTGGCTTCAAGATCTACCGATTATATGATGAGCAATGTTTTGTAGATTCAATGCTAAAAAACATAGGAAGCAGGAGAGTTATTTGGGCCTCAAGTGATCTGTCGGTCTTTGATAGCAATTAACATCTCAGAAAAAAAAAAAAAAAAAAAAAAACACACACACACATAACTGAGGAACACTTACCCTTCTAATTTCTGCATCTGAAACACGAGTCATATGTGATGGAAGTTCCTCCCTCTCCAAATCCTAGTAAAGCAAAACGCAAATGTTAGAAGAATACAACAAAGTATGTTATAAATAATATATCGTCAGCAATCAAAGACACCAATCACATCATACCAGCTCCCCAATTAAGACAACATTCTCGCCACGAATCACATATAGACCCAAGTGGATGTCACAATAAAGGTCACCAACAATAACTCTTTCGCAGGCACCTTCTAGAACGGCATTGGCTGCACGCGATAAAAATTTATGTTTTCAGCTATCAGAAAACATATAGTAGCAAGTAAAACTGAACAATGAGACAGAAGAAAATTTACCAAATTGATCAAAAGAACGTAGTGTTCCCATGAGCTTTCGTCCATCTCGTAGAAGCACAAGAAGCTTCTCTGAAGCATGAACAAAAGCGTAAGTCCCCAATCAAATAATAACAAAGAAAAAGTACTCCGCAATCTAAAAAACATCTATTAATCCATTTGTATATGAATTCCATTCAGAATTTCAGCATTAAATATTTTAGATTTATATGTCTCCATGTCATTCATATACATAACATGACTCTACAAAAAAAATATATGGGTAATCAAGACCATGAACCCCTTTAAGTTAATTGGCATACATCTTGCACATAACCCAGTATTATTATTATTATTATTTAAGATAACCCATAACCCATTATTTTAAAACATTATTCTGAAATCAAATTCAATTGAATGAAAAAAAAAAAAAAAATCCTTATATTCCAAAGTTGGGTTTTATAAACATCAATCTTTTGGATTGCAAAGCCTATAACAAACATGGATGTATGTGGATTCAGCAATATATAGCAGGAAAGTTCAACACTTGCCAAAGAAAAAAGCTTATATTTAAGACCACGAACCCCTTTAAGTTAATTGGCATACATCTTGCCCATAACCCAGTATTATTATTATTATTATTTAAGATAACCCATAACCCATTATTTTAAAACTTATTCTGAAATCAAATTCAATTGAATGAAAAAAAAATCCTTATATTCCAAAGTTGGGTTTTATAAACAGCAACCTTTTGGATTGAAAAGCCTATAACAAGCATGGATGTATGTGGATTCAGCAATATATAGCAGGAAAGTTCAACACTTGCCAAAGCAAAAAGCTCCCTCCTTTTATTCAGAGCAAAAGGAGTTTAGCCCATTCATCAACAGTTAAATCCAAAATCTTGAGCAAGGAGGAGATGGAAGCACAAGAGGGAAATAGAACCAGAACATTAGGAAATGGCTAACAGTGACACTAGCCAACACACCAAGGCCATGCTGAGATATGTCCATCAAATTTCAATTCGGAAAAAAATGGCCCTAATCATTTTCCCTAACTGCATGTTAAAAGATAGTACAAATCCAAAAACTAAAATAGCTCTCACGATACCAAAAGCATCCTCAAAAAACAACTGCACTAAAGAAAAAAAAATCACACTATAAGCAATAATCAAGATTGTTGAAAATACATTTTTACAGCTCTGCTCAACTGAACCAAAGACTATAAGCCAATTAAACTATTAAAAGCAGTCAGCTATAAATTTCAATATGGAATCAAAACAACCCCAAAATAGAGCGATCTTACTCTGATAGACAGCGTAATTAGAAGAAATCCAGACAATTCCAAGAACAAAATACCAAAACTGCAAGAGCCCATTATCGCAAACAATAGAAACAACTACTTTTCCAATCTATTGACTTGCATACACACCAAAAAGAAGTCTTATTCTTTAGGCAATTATTCCAACTTTAAAAACAGGAACAATCAAAAGAACAGTGCAAGAGGAAGAGAGGGAAAGAGAAAGAGCTTACTATCAAGATAGCTAGCAAGAGAAGTAGAGAGGTAGACATCTTCCGGGCCTGCCCAAGACATTGATTGATAATACTTTCGAGGTAATTACTCTAAGTTGTAAACTTTTCGGTGCTCCAAAAATAACCGAAAAATTCTTCAGATACCAATCCACAAAATATGGCATTGGCTGCCTCCAAAATCCTCCTTTTCACCTTTACCCACACACAGACTCAAAAAAGCTCTCTCTCTCTCTCTCCCCTCCAATCCAAAACAAGAAGAATTAGAATCAAACACCACCAACAAAAAGAAAAACCCTAACTGATTCAATGACCAAGAACCCCTTAATCTTTCAAGAATTCAGATTCCAAATTCTAACTGTACTGTTTAAAAAAGAAAAAGAAAAAGAAAGACAATCCTTCAATTGAATATTGTTGTATGGATCCAAGAAAATAAAAAACTAAAGAGAAAGAGAAGTTTCAGAGAGTTAATTTTCTCTTTCGGATTGAAAGAGAGGCGCTCAGATCCAGTCCCGCCGAAAGAGATTAAGTGACAAAGAGGAAATTTTAAAAAGGATAGTGAGAGAAAAATAAATGTGGGAAATTGTTTATCGAAGGGGATGCTTATGTTCTTATTTTGCTTAGGGTTTGGTGGCGTTGTTTTTGCATGGTGGAAGTGAGATTTTTTTGAAGATATATGAGGAGGTCTTGTTATTGTTTGTGTTTTTGGTTCTTGCGCTTCCATTTCTCTATTTTGATTGATTGAGAAAAGGCGCAATTTTTATTATTATTTTTACTTCAAGACAAATAGGCAAGAACCATCTGTGATTATTATTATCTTTATTTCGTCACTAATTATGTAGCAGAAAATATATTATGGTCAGTAATACTAAATATTAAGAATTTTTTTTTTAATAATACACACAAGGCATTGGATTAGTGGAACCAACTGTTGAGTCTTACATTAAAATCATAATCTAATATTCATAATTTTTTGTAAATTTTTCCTTAGAGTATGGTTATAATTTTAATCTAATATCATGAATTTTTCCACTAATTTAATACCTCATGTGTTTTAATTAGATTTTTTTGAATATTTTTTCTTACTCAACAAAACATATCCTGACTATTATATTTGTAAGTAAAACATATCAGTTTATAAGTTAACGCAATAGTTGTTAGGTGACTAATTAAAAAACATGATAACAAGTTAGTTGATTAATTAACATGTCAATCGCATATTTTATGTTCAATTTGTAATTTATATGATAAAAAATTATTTGGAATTTTTATTTATTTTTTATATATTAATATAAAAATTATATACAACCCAGTACAAAAACTGAGAAGCTAAAAAATTCTCACCTTTTACATTTTTTTTATATTTAAAAAAAAAAAAAAAAAAATTGCTTATCAAATGCACCTCCCATCCTTAGCCCCAAACAGCCATTGTCAGCACAAGTTTTTACTTAATCAATTGTAAGAATAAAATCTTACGTTTTTAACATTCATATTTTATTTCATTTATTCCATAAAAATTGTCATCTCTTTGGTATATATTTTTGGATGTTATTCTATGACATCAAAAGAAAGAAAGGAAAAAACGAAAAGAGAGATCTCAATTTTTTTTTAAAAAAAAAAAAGAGAGAGAAAAGAATAAATTTGTAGAAAAAAAAAAGGAAGTGGAAATTATCTCTGCAGGTCAAACAAGTTGAATTTCTGCTGCGTACATGCCTATCTTTCGAGCGTATATATACACCAATCCAAATACTAACTCATGCGACATCTGTTTTGCGTGTATTTATATGTAAAATATACTATTTTTATTTATAATAAATTTTGTAATTTTTGGTAAATAATGATATGAAAAATATGGTAAAAGTGAAGCAATGATATGTGTTGAGGTGATAATTGTTATAGTAAAAGAGATGTGAATGATGATGGTTGGAATAATAATGATAATAAAAGTAATAGAGCAATGAGTGATGATAATAGTTGTAGTCATGATAATAGTAAAGATGTGATATTATTAGTGACAAAGTAGTGACGACAATAACGAAATAAGGATGATGACAATAGTAAAGATGAGAGAGATAATGGTGGTGATTGAGCATTGTTGATAGCGAGATAATGATGATAACAAAATTATAAAATTAAAATAATTAGATGATATTATGATTTAATTATTATTTATAAAATTATTTTACAAAACTTAAAATGTTAAACATATTTTTTAACAAATGAATAAATTTGTTTTAAAGATAGATTGTAGTAAGATATTTTATATTGATCAATTTTCTAGCAGAATATCTTAGGCAAAACAAAAGCATATTTATTTATGTTATTATTGGTTTTCTTTCTGTAATCGTGCTTTGGAATTTGCTGCAATAGGGTGGGCCGCTCATGGATGGGTAGTCCGACCCGAGATATAAAAATAAGGCTTGATGGAAGGAAATAATTCAACGGGGCAGTTACAAATTTCCTGCCCCTCATCCATAAAGAGCTGTATCGCTTAGAACAAAAGTAATGTCAAATGTGGGTTTGGCAAAACTGTGTATGGAACAAAGTCTTCCAATCCCTCCGAAATCTGTGATGGCTTTTGGTTAGTAGAAAGTGGGTGTTTTCAAATTACACAATTGCACGTTTGGACATGGAAGAAGAGATTGTAGGAACATGACTCAGCCCGCAAATGCCAGTAATTTTCCACCGCACTTCACAAATGTATGTTTCAAGTGTAGTATCAATCTACATGAATTCCTACAAAAATAAAATCGAATTTTCAAAATACAAGTCCTGTTTTAAATGGTACAAGTGTTACTGGCACTTTTTTTTAAGCTTGTTTTAGGTTGTTTGATATGGTTTTCATTATTTGTTTTTAAATTTTTCAAAACAAAATATGAAAGCATATTTGTTTTCCAAAAAAAATAAAAAATTAACAATAAGTTTTGAAAACAAAATCATAAGTTTTCAAAACTGAATTTTTACACTATCACCATATGTTTTAAAAATCAAATCAAGTTCGAGAATTTGAAAAAAAAAACTTCAATATTGGGATATTTAAAGTTTAAGCTCATACCATATTCAAAATGTTTAAATGTCAAGACTCAATTTTATTAAATGAGTTGGGACACGAATCGAGAATAGACTTGAGGTCGGGACCTAGTCCGGATCGCTTAGAGTTAAGGTCACAGCATCGATTTTAAGATATGAAAACTGTGTTCGTTTCATAAGTATGATGTTATGATAAGTTTTGAGACGTCTAGAGTTCCAATTGAGACCAAATGTAAAGCGTTCATAGTGTGGATTCCGGCATGATTTAAGACGTATAGAGTTGGTTTTGAGAATCAAGTTAGAAACATCGAGAGAATCGAGTTGAGATCGAATACAAAGATTTAAGATGTCGGATCAACATTAAATCTATAATATTCTAATATCGAGTAAAAAGAACTTAAGTTTTAGAGTCTAAATAACATAAAAATCAATCTCAATAACTCAAGTATCCAATTAAAACTAAATGCATTTAGTGAATAAAAAACAAAAGAAAAGACTAGCCAACCGAACAAGTTTTCAATTTCTTAAAAAAAAAAAAAATTAAAACCAAAAATAGAAATGGTACGAAACGGTCCCTAAACTAATGACTTCTTGTTTTTCAAAACCCTTGAACCAAAAAAATTCCCTTACTTTGCAAGGACCGCTGGGCCAGTCCAACAGTCCTCGCAACATCCAAACGTAAAAACTTCTAACAACTTTATAAACAAATCAAAACCCATTAATCCAAACCCAGAACCTTCAATTAAAAAGTTAAAAAAATGCACACACGTAATATGCACTCCATTTTTTTTATCTACTTAGATTTTTTTTTAATTAAAAAAAGCCCCCTAAAACACATAAAATAGAACCACAATGATATAAATTTTAAACCTTAAACTTCTTTTAATAACTTTACAAATCAACTTCAACCTTAAACTTGTTGGGATTTAAAATTAAGGGATGTAGTGCAGTTGTAAATGATTTTTTAAAAATTTAGTTGAAAACCATCAAATTGATATTTTTTTCTTCATAATTTGATACGAGGATATGGACAAAATAAAAACTATCAAAGAAGCATAAAAACAAACAATTATAGTTGTATTACCAAACACACCATGACAGTGGAAAAGAAAGTTTGTTTGTTTTTTAATGTTTTTGAAAACTAATTTTGGCTTAATAATTGATGGGCAGAATGACACAGTAAAGAGCTAAAAAGGCTTTACGCGGAATTCAAACGCGGGCCTCTCGTCCTCGGTTTTGGTCTCTCTGATCTGCTTTGCTTGTTAAACCTCCAGACCGTTGTCGGGTCATCGAGTCTAATTACATTTTGATCAGGATATTACTTCCTTCAGGATCATTTTCAGTGAATCTGGAGTACATAAATTCTTCCTAGTGCCATTAGCTCTTTCTATGGCACTGAAACAAAGCATATCAATAAGTGCTAACTTCGAAGCAAAGAAAGACAAAACAAGACTACACAAAGACAAAACTGAAACAGAATAGTTGATAACAGGGTTCTTTTCAAAGAAAAAGCTGCAAAAGTGTGGGATGGCAGAGACATTAGGAGGATATCATGCCAATTATTATTTGAAACAAGAAAAAAAGATATAATATTCTCTGTCTGTCTGTTTAATATTATTCACCTCAAAATTATATATATATTACCAAGAGCAAACATAGCTAAGAAAAAAGGGTGTGGTAAAATAGGACTGAAAAATGTAGAGAATGTCTAGCTCTATCTTGCTTTTCCGGTACATACAGGCTACAGAAATCCTTGGACAATAATCCTGTTAACATGTATTGCCCTGAATCCACAGATGCAAACATGAAAAAAAAAAAAAAAAGGCATGGGAAGCACCGTGAACAAAATATAGCCAGTGACCTTCTTGATCAAAAAATGCTTTTCTTGTCCTCGTGAATCCACCCTCGATATAGCTGCGATATTATTGATGGTCTTGAAATTTCATCTCTATAGTACATAATTCCAAGTATCTCACTTGCTTCAATCCACGTTTGAATCTGCAGTTAATAGTTATTTAGCATTTAATAAGACAGAAATCAAATTGCCTTGATAACTGAATACGCATAAAGATAAAACTGTAAAGTACATTTCTATATTTATCTCTGGAAAAGCTTTGTACGCAGAGACTATCTATATATGTGATGCGTAAACAGTACAATATTTGGTCAATTTGCTATTTGAAGTTTTGATTTGATTTGATGCCAGTTCTCTAGTACTAGTACTAAGCAAAGCTGAGAAAGGAAAAAAGAGAGAGAGAGAATAGAGAAAAGGGTAATCATACCTTGTAATATCAATGCTTAAATGGCTGGAAGATTTAAATCTCTAGAACAATATCTGCAATAATAAAAAAAAAGACCACATACGTTAATATAGGAATTGGATCTTAATTATACATCTCAGATGGCTTTATATCTGTTTTGACATGAAAAACGAGCTTACATTCTGAATCTGTCTTGTCCCATTTAGATCCATCACTGGTCTTATTTCGCTTTCCATCATCTTCTTTGTCCTTCTTTGGGATCTTTTTGTCCTCGATATATTTCTTCATTGATGATGCTCGGGAAGTACTTTGTGGGTTAATCTTCTTGTGAAGCAATGTTCTCAGAAGCTGTTTGCAGATATACCAACAAACTTCAGAGTCCAATAAATTAACTTTTGGCAGTGAGGCACTCTTCTAGTGAGCCTTGTAGCCCAAACATGCATTTTTTTAATGGGCCAAACTTTGGTACGCTGGTGAAATTGACTGAAAACTAAGTCAAATATGTTTATGGTCATGACAAAATGCAAAATGTTTCTTAGACATGCATTCAAGTACATGAACAGAGTAAGCTTGCATACCTTCTCCATTCTTGATTCTTGAAGTGTATCTCTCAAACTTGGTTGTGGAGCAAACCCACTTCTACAAATAAAAATCTTCTTGAAAAGGAAAGAGATTGATTTCTTCCCAATAGCTTTCTTCTTATTGTTTTCACAAATGTCTTTGCATCTGCCAAGTATAACACTAATTGTCCTCTCAATGTCATCCTCTTTGTCGTCCACATCACTAATTAATGTATTACTGATTCTTCTATCAACCTCCAAACTTGATGGACAGTTAAGAAATCTATCCAATGGAAGATTTGCAATTTCCTTTTCCTTATCTTGAGAAGTTGGCTTTCTTGTTAAAAGCTTAGTCAACTCTTTTTGCAATTTTCCAATTTCTTCAGGAGTGAAATCTTGTAAATCGTCGGATGAAGAAGGGTCCTCCTCCTCAACAAGTTGGTCCTCCGGAACACATTGGATTTCAGTATTTTCCTCAAGTTCTTTGTTGCCAAATGTTCCAATTGCTAGCAGCCCATGAGGCCAATCGCTAAATTCCTCACGAGACTCTTGTTTCATATGCTCTGTCCAATACACAAATGAAAAACAATTGAGTGAGAGGTTCACAACGATGCACATACTTTACCGTATGGATATAGACATCTTGATGTTTGATAATTGGATTTTGATTCGGTTTGTTGACTCATATACATTTGGATCGATCCAATCTGTTGACTATATATAATTTAATTATAGTTATTTTAACATAATGTACAAATTTTATTATTGCATTTGATTTTAAAAAATTATTATATTTATGAATTTAATTTAAATAGACTAAATCATCACATTTTTTTCTTTCGCATGGGACTAAATTGATGATGTTGCTTTCATATCAATGAAATTATAGGGAGTTTCAGTTCCTTCAAAAAATTCGAGTCTCTATTTTGTAATAAAAAAATAACAATAAACTTATTCTTATGGTGAATTTGACATGTGATCTCTTTTATACGTATATTTTTTAAATTATTCTCAGTACTCTGCATTCAATCAATGGTTTATTTTTCTTTATTTTTCTCAAATTCACCCAAAATGCTGAAGTAAACATAAAAATGATTTTAAGAAAAAGAAGGAGAGGAAGAAATCTAGAAAAAGAACATTTCCATTGTATATATATACACACACATACATATAGAAGAGTTGGAAGAATGCTTACGAGTAGCTGAAAGCACTGTATTTGGTTTTCTGTTGTTCCCTTGTTTGCCATTAAGCTTATTTTGCATCCAACTGAATAGCTGCCAACAACCAAAATAAAACCTCTCATCAAAACACCGTATTTGTACACACACACACGTGTATATATATATATATATATATATATGGTCTGAGAAATCTAAATTTGACGAATTTTAATCTTGGATTTGAACCGAAGAAGGCCTTTCTATGATCTCTTAATTAACAAATAACTCACCTTCATTTTGAGCTAGCTATAGAAATGGCAGCTTTAAGTTTGCTTGCGGGTTGTGAATTGGGAGCTTTTCGAGCGACAACGCAAAGGTGGTGTGGGGGGAGTTGGGACTTGGAAAATGATGTTTGAAAGAAACTGAAGCCTTCGAAAGCTAAACCTTAACCTCAATGCAAATTCAACTTTAAAAGCATCAAAGCAAAGATGGTATTTTGATGAATTTCATGGCCGAAGCTTGAGCGGATTTTTCTTGGTTCGAGTTCCCAAAAGCAGCCTTTTCGCAACTCTAGTTATATCCCCCACTTTCAATTCCCACCTTTATATATCTTTGTATATCCAGTCGTCGTTTTCTCTCTAATAGCTAGCAATCAGTTCATCACCTTTCTCTCTTATAATACAACTAATATACCCCATACCCCACAAGCATATGAATGACATTATCTCTTTTTTATTTCTTTAATCCTAGCTAGTATTAAACTTTGCCCTTTTTTTATATATATATATATATATATGACATGCGTGAGGACGTTCCTCTTGAAAGAACCTTTGAAATTGGCTTCGTGGCATGAGTTTTGTCCACGGGATTAGCATGCAAATCCAAAAACTAAGCATCAAAGTACAAAAGTTAGGTTCAATCTCCATACACATTTTGAAATGATAATCCAACGATGAAATGAGTGACACGGAGTATTAATTAATGGAGATATTGTTGTGAAAGTACATTTAACAGTCCTTTCCTCATCTTAATTATTTGATATTTTGCATGTAGCAACACAAAGGTAGATGTGATTTTTCTTTCTTATTCTTAGAACTTATACGGATTCTTAGTCACCATTTGTTTAGCGGGATTGGACCTTCCTCCAAAATTTGTGAAATTAATTCGTACCCCATTAGCCATTTATTACTCCAATTATATAATTACTATTCTTATTTTATAGTATAGGGAGAAAATAATTAATAATAAGCAAACGACCAAAGAGATTAAAGTACGCACACTTTGCTAGCTAGCATACATGATTTTGTGACTGCTAAAACATACAATGTATACATATATATTGATCTCGATCCTTTTTTTTTTTTTCAAGGTAACACCTACTTCAACAAAATATGACAAGATTTGCAAGAGACAAACGAAGTAAGTTATCAAGAACCGAAAGCATGGGCACTGTGAAGGCAAAAGTATAATAAGAAGGTGAGTAAGGGAAGCAATTTGAGAGAAGAAAACACTAGCAGCCTCATGGCAATGTCTCCCCTCACCGACCAAATCGGTACTTGAATCTTACCTGCCCCCAGTTGTACAGCACCAAAAATCCCATTTAGACCACGCATGCTTGGATCTCATAGCTAGACCTCGGTGGAAAATATTAAGGGCAATTTGTTATGGAATTAAGAGTTGTACTATTTAAAAATTATGCAGATCTGATTAAAATTTCAAACACAATAAACGATAATTTTTTTTCCAAGTAAAATCACATAAAATAAGTTTTAGATAATTTATTTTTTTCTTGACTTTCTACGCTGAAACTAGAGAAATCTAGCTCCTCGTTCAGATGTTAAACAAACCATGTACGCCTAAAATGACTCATTGCAAATTTTGTGCAATTGAACACATATACTTTGGTTATCTTAAAAAAGCTAGCTAGTGTCTTGTTGCTAACTTAAACTGAGAAAACTGATTACGAAATCTAATTACCATCTCTAATTTCTAATTTTAATCACGAGGATTTACATGCACCACAATTTTTCTAATACATGGATTAGTTAAGCTTCCTGTGATACTTTGCTGTTTGAGCCGTTTTGTCTATTAATGATCAACAGAAATTAATTTAGTGGGTGGTCGGACCTTTGATTAGACTAAACTTTCCCTGTGGAAGATTGTCCCCCCTACGGATCGCAGAAGGCGAATTGCTTATAGCATAGGACACCACCCTCTCACGTGATTGGCCTAATGAAGTGGGTCCTTACCACATCAGACTATATATTATTACAAGAATGGGTTAGGTTACGACAGTTGGCTACGTGTCACGACAAAGTACATTCCATGATCTCTTGTCGGACCAACACGTGTACCAAAGGGGTCGGGTTGACTTTTCTCCCTCAAAGAATCCATTTCCAATTTGAGAAAAAAGCTCCCCGTTGATCTATTATTAAAAAAGAGAGACCAGGAAATCTGCTAAGAACCCATCACTCTATTTCGTTCCAAAATTCTGAGTGCCATCCTTTTTAAATTGAATTTCCATCCTTGATAGCACATGCTTCGAAATTATAGTATACTAGTAACTATTATGATCAATATCTTAACCATAACCCTGATTCAATTAGTTAATGCGGACAATAGTGTGATATTAGAAAAACAGAACAAAAGACGCAGACTAAAAGTATGGTTTAAAGTGGGGTTTACTTAATCTGAGCTCTGTAACTGGTTGACACGAATTGTACTTGGACCCCTTAACACCTACCATTGAGTCAGTGCAGCCCAGACTTGACTAATAGCCAAGGAAAGTTTGGTCTCAGTATACTGTGCATGTGGTTCGTATAATTTTTATGTATGTGGTTCGCGTGACTTTACGTCGATTATGCGAGGATTAAGAAAAGTTTAAGAACACAACGAGCTATGTGTAGGATGTTGTTTGGCTTATATTGTATAAAAAGTTAGAGCTTTGCTTTAAACCCAAAAGTTATGATTTACTAATTAAGTTTATTATTAACTCCTCGAGATGCAAGTAACCAAGAAAGCAAATGAAAAGGGTGAACGAAGGGTCACATCAACCAAGATATCATAAAGAAATAAAAGCCATGTGGGTTATCGCATCTACTAGATGTCTAGGGTTTAGCAAACAAACTAAATCCTGCAAGACATACTAATTCTGGAAGGTTACACACTTCGGCTAACATAAAATAAGACCTTGTATGATGTGGAACCTCAATCATCCAGGAAGGTGCATGGTGGCCATCATAGAGTTTGACTAGCTCGGCTTTCATTGGATCTTCTGCTAATTAATAAACAAAAGTGCCTTGCATTAAGATTAAGCAAATGTTTCGTCTTGCTCGAAGCTCACTGAAAACCTCATGAATCAAAATATATTATCCTATAATCATGAAAGTTAAAAAACTTTGCAGCCTGTCTCTCAAAGACAATGAGTGCACCCTTCATTCCTGGCCGCTAAACAGGACCTTGTTGGTAGCACTACATTACACATAATCTTCCATGTTGTGATAGCCCTAGCTACAGGTTTAAAACTAGCATGGCTATAATGCAAAAACAAGAAAAGCAGTGAAATGGATATATGCTAGGATGAATTTCCGACTATGAACCATAACTTCATGAAACTTTATTTGACAAGGAAAAGATAAGGAAAGGAAATAAATCAAGCACAAAATAGTTATGAACATTCAAGCTTTCCAACTTCGTCATGGAAGTGACAAACTAAATAAAGAACCATGTTATGCCTAACCTAGCATTGAGCACAAAAGTTTATACAGATATAGTCGATCTTCCAACTCTCAGTTATGCCTAAGCTAGCAATCAAACAACTGAACTTAATGATAATTAATTTTTATGGTCATAGCATGTTAATCAGCCCAGTAGTTAGTCGAATTGATAACTCAGGTGTATCTCTCTCTGCAAATGGGGCTTCTCATCGTAAGAGAATCAATGGGTGTGAGGTGGGGGTGGGGAGGCCAGGTAAACCAATTCACATGCCATCCAAAGAATATGATTAACATATCTTGGTACAAGAGTTGAAGTTGACACTTGTACTGTAGGGTGATACATGCGATGCTCTAGCTGTCCTAACTATGAAGCTTGTAAAAGCTAATAAACAAACAGAAAGTATAAGGAATTTAAGATTAAACACTCAGCAATCATTCTCCCACAATTATTACAAATCTTTCTTGTACAGAATGCAATCTTAATTTAATAAGACTGACACTCTTTGCAAGTTGCCAAATATTGATTTGAAATGTAAGCTAGATCATGGTGATGCAAAAGCTCAACAGCAGAATTTGTTGCAAATTATTTCATTCTAATGCTACTACAGCATTGTGCCAAATTGGCTTGGTCATTCATGCGACAAATAGTTGCCATTTGGCTAGTTGGAAGGAATGCAAGTTCATGGTTATGCATTTGTATCTCCATTTGTGCATGCATATGTTCATGTATCTAGCTATCAATTAGCACATGGCATATGCATGCTGATGGTTTTTGCAACTTGCATGCAGCTTTCTATGCTGCTGCCTAAAACAAAATTTAGTTGGTCACATGCAATCCCTGTGACTCACAAGATTGACTCTTTATCCACCGACTATTCAAATTATGTTCTAAAAACATGATCCTGATAATAAATTTAAATAATTTTGGTTGCTGACCATCATCCTCCATTGAGCTCAAATATCATTCCCTTGTGTTTAACTCAACACTTCAAAAAGTTCTTTGCACCATCCTTTTGATCACAACAAATGAAAAGTAAATCTGTGTTGTCCTCTAGATTTATGTGAACTGCCTGTAAATGAATATGAAGTTTTAGACGACCCATTTAATCCATTTCTATTGATTTCTGCTGAGCCAAAACTTAAAAACTATTAGCCTAAAAGATTTACATCTTGCTTATTAGTTAGAGAATGAACAGAATAGCCATCTGTATGAGTGTCTGGCATGGCTAGCTTAAATCAACTATATAATATTATCACAAACCACCAAACAAAGCCCAACTGTTCCAGCAATCAGTTAGCCTTCTTATTACAAGACCACATTGGCCTAAACCTGAAAGATAACACAAGCCCCATCACTTACATAGAGAATCACTCACTAATATAATGTTTCAAATAATGCAAATGCAATAAGTGTATTTTTTCAGTGCATGCCTCCTATGTTCTACATCAACCCATCCAATGCCGATATCAAGAGAAGCAACAAAGTTCTTTTCTCATTGAGAAAGTGGAGTGTCGGAAGAACACAAAATATTTGGCATCTATATCTATGAAATGACAGAAATGACAACTAATTCTAGCTCTTTCATTCATTGACTTCTGCAAGTAGAGTCACGAATCAGCCTTTTTTAAGAGAGTACTCAAAATAAAAGAAAAAGAAAAAAAAAACAGAGAAAAAGGACATTCAATGAAAGTGTAAAACTGAAACAGAGTCTATTTTAACAGCAGATGGCTTACTTGCCATAAAATGTTTGCCGTTGCAGCTGTCTGTAGCATGTGTGGGATCAAGAGAGTAAAGGAAGTGGAAAAACATGTATCCTCTTTGCGTGCTTACCAGCTGCTAGAGCTCTTCATGTGTTGTAAGTGTTTCATCTACCAAAAATATAAACAAGAACCAAATTATTAGTTGAAAAAATCACACTCTTTCATATTTGACAGCAATAGCCAAACCAAACAAAACCATGATTTATTTTTTTTGAAAAAATCATACTCTTCTATATTAGTGTTGATACATAGCTAGAAAAATAGTTATTCACCAATATTAAATAAGGTTACATCTAGATTTATTTGATGACATTGATGTTCAATCTTCATGAAATAATCGATAAACTCGTAGCATAGTTGTTCTCATTCGTAAAATTTATCTAATAGCATAGAACAGAAGATTACCAAGAAAAAAGGAAAACCAAATTTATCATCATAATTTGTTGTAACCATGGCCTCAGCAGATGGTATATGATTATGTATATATAATTTCACTTTATTGGATGAAAATGGCAAAAACCAATGTCACACACCAAAGGTTAAGGCACGTTCAGGGAGAGAAGTGACCTTAGGCTCAATATATCAATGATCCAGAGAAAAGAAATCAAAAATAAAATAAATGGGAACCATTTCAAATAAGGAAATAAAATAAAATGAGATAAATATAACCTGAAGATATCTCTTCAAAGAAAAATGAGATTTCCCTTTGAGCTGATTGAAGAGAGTCTGAACCATGAACACAGTTCTTTTCTGAATCCACCCCACACATTGCTCTGATACTGAAAAAACAAAAGAAGCTATCAGTAGAAAATTGAGTGAAAATATGTATAATGAAGTAAGCCATCATAATAAGTAAGAGTCTAATTGTGAAGCTTTGAAGGATAAAGACTAACAAAGGGTCTAGAGAACATAATCTTACAAAGCATTGAATGAGAGAGATTTGTGGAGACAGAAGCTTATATACAAATAACCTGTTAGGATGAGTAACCTTAGCTCTACTCGAATCAGTTGGTCCAATCAGAGTGCGCCAATCAGCAATTGCATTTTCCTTCTCCAAAACCATGACCAAAACTGGACCACTGACAAAAGCTACGAGTCAACATAAAAAGCACAAGAAGATTCTCCTTCATTTAAACAATACCAACAAGATAGTAGAAGACGTCAGTATCCAGAACCGCAATTCATCAATAAAATGAGTTATAACTATTCAAAGTGCAAGGTAAATTCATACATTGCCCAAATGCCTGAAATACACTAATACAGGGAATGATCTTCTTTGTCTAATGCATCTGAAATATTCTCTGGAGAATCTAATTCTGTAATTTAGAACATGCAAAGATTGGGCAACTACAGCAATAAAGTTCATGAAGCTCATCATACGTTGATCAACTAAATTAGTTCCAACTAATAATAAGAAAGATGAAGTAAAGATACCTCGTCATGTATTTGATTAGACTTGGAAAGAAACTTTTTGAAGAGTGTTCAGTGTAAAAGCTTGAAGCGCGGTCTTGGTCAAGTTGAGTGGTGGTTTCCTTTAAGATGCTAAACTCATACTCCAAAATAACCAGCTTAATCCTTTCAGTGTAATTACCTAGCAATCCATCTGGCTTGATCATTGCTAACGTCTTTTCCTTTTCTTTACTCCCATTGCTTGAAAACACCAACATTTCATAAAGCATTCAAGATAACAAAACCAGTACGCTAAATAAAAATATATTGTACGATTGCATCAACAAGGATAAGCAAGATTAACTCGATTTGATCCTCTACAAGGCTCCAACTCTATTACAAAAGTTTTAAGTTTTACCCTAAATCTTTCACCAATTGAACTGCTCTAAATTACAAATCTTGTAACACCAAACCAACAAATATATATATTTTTAAGATTAGGTTCATAAATAGTTGATACAAGCAAGCAAGAACCTTTAGCATATAATCAATCTGTCATTCTTCCAGTTTATTTATTTTGTTTTGATTTTGTTAAAATTCGCACAAAGAAAAAAAAACTATATTAACTACCTAAAAAGAGGGGAAAAACCCTAATTTTGAGTAGTTCTTACCTGACAGGGAAAGGAGCAGAGACCAAAAGGAAGAAGACGGGAAAAAAAGGCGAGGAATCATTTGAAATGATTTGCAACTGCAATAAAATAAAATATATAAATCATCACAACCAATTAACACTCTAAAAGTTTTATGAATAAAAAAGAAATGCAATTACGATAGATATAAGGAATGAATCATTTTTTTTATATAGCGTAAGTATTAAAAGAATATTCAATAATGAAGAAGTTTGGTTAACGTAATCCTGCTTATTTGTTCTTCATCAATTTTCAAGGATTTTAAAAATTTTATTTTCTCGGGAAACAAACAGAAACGTACCTGGAATTAGGCAGAAAGGCGGGAAAGAAGAAGGGATGTCTTAGGTGAAAGATTTTGGTCTCCTATCTTTTTGCGGACTGTCTTATTGAGCACAGCAATTCTGCCTCTTCCACGGTAAGAAGTCACAAAAGAGAGTAAATTATAAATTAATCCTTCTAGTTTAAGAGCTCGTTTGTTTGGCGAAATACAATTTCGAATAGGAAGAATAATCCAAAAAAAGCTATTTAGAAATTTATTTTTTTAAAAAATATTTTTTTTACTTTTGACAATTATATAAAAAACTACTTAAAAGTTGAAATACAAAAAAATGTTATAATTGTTACGCTAACGAGTTTTGAGAAAACTTTAACATTACATATTCGTAATCTCACAATATACAAATTGTTAAAAGATTTCACATTCACAATAGTCCATATACAAAAGGCTACCAAAACAGAGAATATAAGTTATTGATATGTTGGTGTACCAAAATAGAAAATTTTAATTATAATCAAGAATATATCATTTGGTGCCCAACCTTTCAATTTTTTATGTTTTAGTGTCCAACCGTTGATTTCTCATGATTAACTACTCAAGCTTTGATTTTTTGTTTGTTTTGGTGCCCGAATTCAATTGAATTGTGATTTTGCTAACGTGTCTAGTGAGATATGCCATGTGATAGTCAACCCTATCACGTCAGCACATCATACTCTTAGGTAGTATAGACACTCAAATAGAAAAAAAATATTAACGAGTTAGGCATTGAAATAGAAAAAGATTATAGATTGAGCACCTAAATATATATATATATATATATATATCAATGGTTGGATGCTAAAAATATAGTTTTTTCAATAAATTTATTATAGTTTTTCACACCAAATGCTTACCTCCATTTTATATTATGATATATCTCTTCTTTATTATAAATAGATTTCACACATTTCTTGTGCTTCCGTAATATATATATCTCAAAACTTTCTTTTTTATATTAAAAATTCATATAATTTTAAATTCTAAAAACATCAACAATTACATGCATGCATCTTTTCTTGTTATAACGTTAATTGCATAAGCAATTTTTGCAATGCATTTATTTCACGGTTTACTTATTATATCTATTATGATCGTCATCATTAAAAAAAATATTGTATTTTAAACGCTTAAATAAAAAAAACTTGATCATTAAACTTATTTATATCGATTTTATCCCATCTCGACTTATTATAAAAAGTTCAATGAGTTATTGGCTATAGTATGTTTATGTCCCCCATGATATGTTGGTCAATTTTCTTCCCAGTACGGAGGAAGCAATTTTTATTTTTTGTAACTTTTTCCATTGACCAATTATTTATTTCGCAAATTGCAATCATAATTGGATCCTATATGTCTTTTATTTTTTAAAATTTAATCTTAATTGGACCATACATATATCCGGATTAAATGACATAATTTTAAATTTGTCTAGAAAGTTAAAGAATTTAAAATTTTTAAAAAGTAATTTTTAACTAATACAAAGTATTAAAAATTACAGTTGATAAGTAAAAAAAATGCCACGACTACGATATGAAAAATATTTATTAGAAATTATTAGACTAACTTTGCAATCTCGAGACAATAAATTTCTTAAAAAAAGCGCCTATTTGGTACCCGATCTTTAAGTTTTTTTATCCGTCTTAATGCTTAACCTTTGATTTATTTATTTATTTTTTTCATTTGAATGCCCATAATTACATAAGAATATGAGGTGCCGACGAGGCAAGATTGACTTTCACATAATAGGGTTGACAACCACATGGTATATCTCGCCGGATACGTTAACAAAATCGGGATTCGGGTGAACTTAGGTACAAAAAAAAAAAAAAATTAAAACTTCTGTAGTCAACCATGAGAAACCAACAATTGGGCACCAAAACAGAAAAAAGTTGAAAAGTTGAGTACCAAAAAAGCCTTTTTCTATATGATATGTTTTTAGATTTTAGAATAAACATATACACCGGATTACATTACTTTTTTTATTTAAAATTGATCTCTTAGATCTGTCATTTTTTATTCTTTTTTATGTAATTTTATTTGTTAATAAATATAATTTATTTTTCTCTATGTATGAATTTTTGAATAATTTTTTTAAATAAATCATTGATTAAAAAATAAAATTCATGTTTTTTATTTGCTTATTTTTTATATAATCAAAATCTATAAGAGTCAATTTTATAATTGTTTTTATTCCAATCTATTAATTTCAATATATTCCTTACAATTTATTTTTTTAAGTATTTTTTTCTATTTACGTTGTACACTTTGATTCACTGAAAATAGTCATGGTGTATACAAAAAAAAAAAAAAAAAGGATCATTGGTTTTATTAAAAAATAAATATGCATTTACACACATAATACCAACAATTTGCTATTATTTTTTTAATATTCTAAAATTATTTTATTTCAAAAAAAATATTTAAAATAATTTTTAGAAGAACCACTAAACAATTCAAATATATTTTTTATACAAATATTTTTTATTTTTTAAAATAAATATATATAAATCAAATATACATATTTTTCAAAAAGTTAATCTTCTAGTCAACATAATTTTTAAACAAATTTTGATATTAATTATTTTTTATTTCTTCAATGCAATCTTATAAAAAAGTATCAAAGTTTTTTTTAAAACTTTTGTATTAATTTTTTATTTAGATTATTATAGGTTTTTTTTTTAAAAAATGAATGCATAAGGAAGAACGAATCGTGTTTTTTTACCTATAAAATTTATTAAAAACATAAAAAAAAATTAAATACAAAACGTTGATTAAAATTTTAGAATATTAAAAATATTAATAATAAATGGTTTGTGTTATATGTGTTGATGTATAGTTAATTTTCAATAAAACCAATGATCTCAATTTTTTTTTTTTAAATATCATGACCATATTTAGTGAGTCGAGTATGCAACATAAGTAAATAAATAAATAAAATATTTTTTAGAACAAAATTAAATTGTAATGAATATATTGAAGTTAAGAGATTGCAATAAAAAAAATTACAAAATTGATTTCGATATATTTTGATAAAATACATAATTTTTAATTTTTAATTGATTATTTATTAAAAAAACTTATTCAAAAATCCTTACATAGAGAAAATAAATCATATTTTTAACAAATAAAATTACATAAAAAAGAAGAATAAGAAATTATTTGATGAGAATTTTTTTAAAAAATGATAAATTGAAGATATCAATTTTAAACAATTAGTGTTGCATTTTTTTAACTACAACATTTATGACAAACAGAAGAAGAATAAATTAAATACAATATTTTGATTAAAAATTATGAAAAAATTTTTCTTTAATTTTATATATATTATAGTTGAATAACAGTATAGTACTTGTTATTATATTGCAATATACATATTTTGTTCTACCAACATCGAAGAGTCGATGCCGACTAGTTTTCGTTCTAAAATGGTTTGTTTTGCAATTTTTTTTTATGCTGTTATAAATTGATATCTTTTTTTTTTTTTTAAAGCGCAATGACTTATTCAAGTCTAACCATATCCATAATATACACTATGGATTCAAGTCAAGCCATATCCATAGCATATCTACATTCTAGATTTGGATATTGAGATGGTTGCTTTCAAACACAACTCATTGAAACTTAAATCTAACCATTAATTTTGAATTCAGAGATTAAGTGAGAAAAATAAAATAATAAGAATTAAATTATTATCATTTTCGTCATATACTAAACCATGCTTGTTCAATTTAAATTCAATGATTTAGATTTAACAAGCATGAGATGATCTCAATTCCTAAATTGCTTAATTGAAGGTTTTTTTCACCAAATCTGGCATAAATGTTTTGTTTAAAGGCTTAGATTTAGCAGACAAGGACCTCTTCAGAGGTGTGCAGAATTCAAGATGTATCAAGTCCTTAAAACAAGAATCCAAAACGTTTAAAATCGAGCAAAAAATGACAACAGAAAACAAGCTAAATAAGAAATCTGTGCAGTTGATGACAAAAGCACCAAGTCAAATTCAGATTACCAGCAAAAGGGTCTAATTGCTACTCATGAGTTATATTGCACGGCTGAATCCAGCTTTGGTTAAAATTTTCTTTTCCGTTTTTTTTTTTTTTTTTTGGAACTGTCAGACAAATGATGAAAAAAAACAGTATGAAATTAACAATATACAAAGCAAGTGGCAGCAGTATAATAAACACGCAACACTGCATTATTGTATCTGTCTGCAGTGTTCAGTGACTATTTACAACATATTTACCCGCATTCGCAGAGCTCAATACAACAGTTTATGCACTCAAAGCAAGCAAGGGCAGCGCAGATCTGGGAGAAGACAATAGTGCATTGATTATTCATATATGAACAAGTTTGGATGAAGCACATGCAACAGCAGCGATCGACCACCCTGCCACAGCAGTTGGAAGCAGCCCTAACCAACATTTCAGTAGCATCAGATGACTTTGTCTCCTCAGTCCCTGGAGGAATGTTTTCAGCTGTTGCAGTTAAGTTGCCAAAGCCAACGCATAGGTTCCCCAACATGATCGTCGTCTGTAAGTCCATTTTCTTAAGAGGGTTGATCTTGTTGAACACCTGTTATCATAGATGTGAAGGAAATTAAACAAATGAGCTTCAGGATTTGCAAAAGCTCTTCCAAGTAACATTTTAGGTTAAATTGAAAAAAAGAAAAAAAATCATATGCCCGCTTTCATTCAAGAGAGGCCGTATCGATAATTAGAAACTGCACGACAAAAGCGAGGGTGCTGCTTGATATAAAAAAGCTGGATGATAGATGTCACATTTGTTATTCAAATCGTGATACCTGTTTGCTTCTAGTGTATTTGGAACTTAGGAGAGAGAAAATAAAGAAATTCTTCCAATCATTTAAGAAGCATAAATTTTAGGAGTTAGAGGCAAATGCATACATCCTGTATCAGAATTGTTTCTGGGGCTTTGTCTTCTCTAAGAGTGTGATGCAAAACCATGAGGGAGTATTCAGATGGAACCCCAGTCTGTATGCTCATTCTTGCAACCTACAACGAAGAAGATCGAGCAAATTAGATTTGCAAGAAGAAACAATGATACACACATGACCAAAACCACACTATCCATGCCAACCTAGCCAGTAGAACTTTGCCCTAAAAATGTTTCTTCCTATCCCAACATAATCACCCTGTCCTTGACAATATTAATTTCCTTTGATTTTTTTTTTTTTTTTTGGCTTATTGTATTTTACTATGCTGACTTCTATTCAAAATAAGCATTTAAAAAAGATATGACATAATTTAGCTTTGCTTAATGGTATTGATGAATCAGAATCTAAGTGAATTCAACAGCAAACCTTCCGTTCCAGTTCTTTACTTCCTGACAACCATGCCTTAGCAGTGAGTAAATCAATTTGTCTCCTCGCAACTACCTGCAGATTTAGTAAATAATAGTTAGAGAAGAATGCACCAGAAACAATTTTCTTATTGTGCTTTGATGGTGGTTTTCTACAGTGAATTGATATGAGCACTCTAGAAGGTTTGAATTACTGAATTGTGTGGGATGGATGCAGTCTCATGCTTGATAACTGAAAACATTTACTTTCGATGAACCTCTAAACAGCCAAAGTGGATAATCAAAAGAAAAATATTCTGGTTTGAGCATTGCAATGGCAATTAACAAGTATAAGTGTACAGGAATGCAAAAAAGGCAACTGATTTTGTATTATTATTCAACATTGGGGTGAAGTCAGATCCTTCAACGAACATAATTCAAAGAGAGAACTTCATACATAATGTAAAGGTCATTGTGGCAAAAGAATGTAAGCGTTCCAACTCCAAGGCATCTCAATAGAAGAAAGCATTTTCAGATACTTCTGTTAAATATTCAATAAATCATCTTCATCCAAGAAGCCAAAAATTCAGAAAAGGCATCTTGCTTTATAAGACTAATAATGAGAGAAACCGCAAACTGCAGTCCTTTGGGTAAGATGGTTCGCAATAGTGATCATTCTTAAACAAAATGATTGCTATCTTCTATAATCTAGCTTGCAACTACTAGGTGATGTTAAGTGCATATTCATTAAATAATGTTATGTCCAGAAGAAACGTTACCCTATTAAATGGCAGATCCTTTGCCTTTTTTGCTTTCATGTCTGTTGTGAACTTGCTCATATCTGCCAAGGTGCCACTTATTTTGACAGTCTCTGGAAAGTTTCCACTATATCTTCCTGACACAACCAGTGGGCTTCCACACGAGAGGTCTGGAATACAAAATGGAAGCAACTGCAAGGAACTCGGAGAAGACAGCATGTCAGAAACAGCCAGAAAAATTGAATGCGATGAAAATATCAAAAGCTCCAGTGTTAAAACAAAATTATTTGAGTAAGAAATTTTCAAGCCAGGATTAGCATAAAACAATATTCGCTATCTTAAATTGAGCACCTCAAGCGAGTCCAGATGTTCCAAACCATCAATGGTAATATTGGCTAGAATGATTGATGATGTAGTTGTAAATAATCTCTGCATTCGAAAATCAACCGAATCTGGCCGAATAAAAGAGCAATATAGAAATTAACCGTATAAGAATCTTTTCTTACTATATAGTATATTGAGACACAGGGCCTGTTGCACCATGAATCCCATTCTAAAAAGCAACTGAAATATAACTAACCTGCATCATAAGCAGTATCAAAGTGACCCCTCCCAATTTGTGCTAGCATTCGCAAGAAATAGTGGTTACAATATGTACCTGGAAAATTTTTTTCATGCTATTAGTTTCTTTAACAAATTGTATAAAAACATAAGAAGCGGTGTAAGTATGCAGTATATGATTTAGTTTAACATTCTGAGATTTGTTGATAAGAATGAGAAAAACATATATGAAGTCAGAGACGATGTTAATAGGACACAAGCCTAATGCTCCCTCATTGATGTGCTTTCTTTCATTATGCTAATCAGCAGGTAAGGATTATGCAAAAATTCCCCCTATAAAGCAACTATTAGTTGGAGAGGCTGACCAGTTTTTTTCAGAGAGAATTGCCCAACTCTAGTAATTTATAGAGCAGCTCATTTCAGCTTGTCCAACACAAAGCTGGTAAGCTTGAGCGCAAGGCAAGTTGGGCTCCAGTAAGCCCATGATATGTTGAAATGAGAAGATCCAGTTTGATAACAAGACGAATCGAAAAGTACTGCAAACTGAATTATGACTATCAAACACTAGGTTCTCGTGTGCAAATGTGTGTTCTGACATGAAGTGTATATTATAAGCAACTCCAGATATGACAGATCAAAGAGATCAAGACAAAAGGAGTCGAAAACTGAAGGTAAAACCGAAACACCAAAAATCTCACCTATGCCAAATGTACTTATGCGAAGAGAAATTGATCCCCTGCTTGTGAGAGAACCTTGGACAAAATTGCAAATATCTCTTTCATCTTCAACAGCCCCATCAGTGATGAGGAAAATGAGAGGAATTGAATTGGTAGTTTCAGCCAACAGCTTTATAGCCTAAAACATAACACATTAAAAAATAAAACCTGTAAAATTCTTGGAACAACTATCTTGTTTAGAGAAGCAAAAGAGGAAAATGCAGCACCTAAAATATGTTCAGAGTAGAGGGGCAAAAAGCCAAATGGGATGGGGCAGGAAGGACCCTAGGTAGTGATTTTCATGTTCTACATGGCATATGGTTCCTTATGGAGATGGAGGCAGACAGATTGACAGAGTACGAGCCATGGTTAGCTAACTTTTGAGGAAAAAAAAAACTGAGAACTGGATTACGAAGATGCCAAAAGGACATTAGTGACACATTAGAAATACCTGTTTGAGGGGGCTAAAATGTTGGTGCCACCATCTGCAGTTAATTTATCATTAAGCCATTGAGTAGCTTTTAATATTCCTTCTTCAGTTGCCTGCTCCATCAATGATGAAAATAAGTAGGTCTCCCCATTGAAAGCTATAATGTTGAAAGAATCTTCAGGGTTGAGCTTAAGGAGAGATGACAATAGTCCATTCTTTGCACTCTCGAAAGGATCCCCCTTCATGCTTCCACTGATATCAATTAAAAATATTACTTCCTTCCTGAAAGCCTGCCAGATTCACAAAGATGAAGTAGGAACTGTTATGTAAATTTGAAAATTTGGTTCAGACTTCAGAGACAAGACTTTTTGGTCCTTTGAGTTCCTATGGCAACAAAATGAAACTACAACTAACGTAGGCAAGTATTCCTCTAACAAGAACATTTTCTATTCCATTAGCACTTTTTTGTGCCTGAATTAGTTTACTTCTAGTTTAATTTGTTTTCTTCACATTAGTTTTTGGTGGCCATATTCTCATCCTTTTGGTGCGCCATTGTTCCAGTGAGAAGAAGATTTCTATCCTCCATAATTTGCGCAATAAAACTTCTGGCATGACCGGTTTTTTGTCTTTTTTTTAGAAATAGATTATCCATGGTGACCACTTATCTTTTATTGGAACGAAATGGGTTAGAAAAGAAATGATCATGCAGCAGATTTATGGTAACAAACCTTCATGCTCTGGTTGTTTCCAGGGAAAAGATAGAAGAAAAACATCTGTCTGTCATCATAATCTCGTAAGGATGGGGACTGCAAAAGCACACCACCAAATAAATCCATGGAGTAGACCTGTGAAAACAGCAGTCAACCACAGTAAGTGTTGGCATGGCTCCCTGCATATTTGGTATGTTCATTGTATGACTATTAAATCCATGCCAATACTATAGAGATAAATATACGTGGGACAAAAAAAAAAAAAACAGCCAAGGGTGCAGGGTCTTACATTGTAGGAAAAATTGAAGTCAGCACTTGACCAAGTCAGTACTTCAGCGTCATATAAGAAACCCATTTTACCAACTTCACGCCTTAGCTCCTGTCAAACCAAAATCATCATCTCACTTCCTTTGTGTAGCTACCAGAAGCTGACTGAAACATTAAAGCCTACAAAGAATGGTTTACCTTTAGAGCATGGCTAGCACTCTTGCATAAAATTTCTTTACGTACACCAGAGTTCACATTTAACAGTATCTTTTCCCTCTTAGAAACCTTCTTGCCGAGGGGGTTGACAAATGCTGGAAAACTAAATGGTACATTGAGACAGTATTGACCCTCATGATATAGTAACTTTTGAGACCAAGTCACTTTGATAGAGAAAGTTGACCCTCCTTCAACCTAAACAGCAAATAAGTATCCAGACAAATATCTTAGCAAGAGCAATGTGAAACAATTCGTAATCCATAATCACAATTTTTGAAGTATCAAATGCACTAGGTAATCACCTGTGGAATTTTAAAAGTATATATGCTGCCTTTTATCAAACGCCCATTCCATCCTTTGCTTACTTTTTCTCCATCATTAGCATCTGCTGCTTCGATCAGCTTACTATGATAAGATCTTCCAGTAACATCAACCTCGACACCTAGAAGTGAACCCTGTTAGCCACATCATGTTTTACTTGAGAACTTAAAAAGAAGTCAATTTGAAACATTTAGGAAAAGCAAGTAACAATAGAAACTAGCATGTTCTACAGAAGCAAATAAAGCAAAAACGTTAAAATCTGTTGTTCGAGGAAATAATAATTCAGAAAGGGTACATTTTCCATTGTGCAATGGTACAGCAACGAGTCGTGTTATTCATGTCAAGTAAATCAGCGCGTAGTTACACACTGTTCACTGATTTGGATACGGAGTTGATATGTAATAGGACATGTATGAGACAAGTTAGGTGTTGTGTCTTGTCCAAAATATGCGCACCCATACCATTCATAGATAAGGTTATTTAGCATGCATCATATCCTCAAGGCTTTTTTATTAAATTTTTGTTATCATCAAATCACCTTCTTTCTAAGCTCAATCATTTATCTAAAACCCACCATTCCCCCGATTAATCAAACACAAAAATACCATCATAACTAACTCTACTGGGAAACATACTATCAAAATTTAAACCAAATAAATCCATGGCTGAGTATCAAATTATTAGGAACCGACACACCCATGTCACCGTTCTTATTAGAAGGTATTGGCTTTGAACTTCACATTTGTAATAAAATAAAAATAAAACAATTTTAAACTATAGATTCTCCTAATTAAAAAAAAAAAAAAAAGATATGTAAGTGCACTTTCAATAACAATTACATGAAATTGATAACACTAATCAAGTTAATAAAAAAAAAATCAACATATATTACCTGCTCTCCCATGGGAACAGCAATGCGGACATCACACTTCCTACTCGCTTTAATGCAATGCACGCGCCACGCGCCGCTAAAGCAAACGTTTGCATGATCAAAAAAGCAATCAATCTCCATAGCAACCAGTCCATGCATCCGCAACGGTATCAACGCCGGTGGCTCACACCGCCCGTGAACGTAAGGCTGGTAACTCGGTACGTCCGGATTGTCCACCAGCTCCGGCTCCGGTACCACCGCATAAGCCATCACCGCCGTCGGCAAGTAACTTTCCGCCAACTCTGATGACTTACTTGACATCGATCGCGTCATCGCTTCCGCTGCCGCCGGAGTCAATTCCTTTCCGTAGTAAATTCTCTTGGAAAGGCTCAATCCGTACTCCACACATGTTGCAAACTCTCTGGACATGTTGCCGAATAATGTTACCGGTGAAGAAGATCGGCGGAGCTGTTGGTGATGTTATGTATGTGAAGGTGAGGTTTCTTTTTGAAATGCAGTTAGTAAATGAGAGGGAAGGTGAAGAGGAACTGAAGAAGAGGATGAAGAGGTGGCTTCGATAGGCTCTTTTGGAAATTAATATTTTAACAGTGTTAGACCAGTGATTGTTTGCCACGTGGAGATCGAAGGTGTGGTCTTTTATGAAGATTTATTAAGGTGGGCGAAAAAAATGTAAAATTTTCAAGGTTCTAAATTGGCAATGACCATAAAGTAGAATTCAAAAGGTTAGAATAAAAAATCACTGATAAATTTTTAAACAATATGGATAAGTCTACTTCAAGAGGAAATAAAAAGAAAAGAGATAATTGGTATTGAAGTAAGAGTATTAGGATTTTTTCAGGCAGAGTTGACAATTAATGACGCATTTCAGGAACAGACAAGCTAACCCATGATCAACGCAATGGTAGCTTAGGTGTCTGGTTATCAGATCTGTAAGGCAAGATTGTCAAAGATAATGAATACGTGGTATTGTTTTAATTTTTATTTTTTAATAAATTACACTAAAAAAGAAAACGTCCACCCTTCATGAAAGCCTTTAATTAAAGTAGCAACTATTATTAACCTTATTATTAAGTGCACTAACTGATTGACTGTCTGCCACTCTTTCGGTTCCAAGCTATAATTGGTAGTCGTCAAAGGAAAAGTGAAAAGAAGTGAAAAGAAGTCTACAATCAGACTAGGGAGAGTATTATTGCTTATCCTCTATGCACAGATCATCCTTGCTCACGCTTTATTAACTTTAAAACTTGATTTTTTTGGAGTTACTTTGGGGTAAATTATAAATTACTCCCTCTATTTTTTTCAAAAAAATAAATAATCCCTCTAGTTTTAATAACTAATTCATTAGTCTTTTTTGTTTAAAAAAATTCATTTGTAACTTAATTTTCTCAATTTTATTTTGTTTTAATAAATAAAAAAGGAAAAAAATTCAAAATATGAAAAATATTGATAGAGAAAATAAGATATTTTTTAATAAAATAATATTAAATTAAACATGAACAGTAATGGTAAATGAACTAATTACTTAGTTTATTTTTTAAAAAATTATTTAATTCTAGGGAGATTAATTTGTAATTTACTCTAGTTACATGAGGTTATAAAAATAAAAAAAAACGCACACAAATTACTAGTATGCCTTGGTTTTTGCACGAGAGCATGCGGCATGGTGTAGAAAATTTTTATTTTTCCTTCGATATAAAGTTACACTCTCTTCGTTTTGAAATGTTAATTAAATAATTAAAACATACGTTTTTATATGAATAATTGCTCCTTTCTTTGAAGAGAATAATTTAAATCCATAAAAGTTTTCTCAGTGCCCCCTACGGTGATTCGCTTTGTTTATTTATTTTCAAAAAAAATAAAACAAATTATTTACATACATTAATTCTATCGGCATGTAATCAAAATACTTTCGAATATAATAATAGTTTAATAGTATATTTATGAAATTCAATTATAATCCAAAATATTCCTGCTTAACATTTTGATCACTAAGTTTAGTTGTTTAAAAAAATAACACTTTTTTTTTTTAAAAAAAAAAAACCATTTGAGGAAAAAAACAAGTTTCAGAGAAGTATTGCAGAAATCGGGATGATAACATTATTTGTTTGCATGGAGGCATGTCTTCAATTGCCTAAACGTAAGTGGATATAGAGGGACTTGTGCCCGTGAAGGTGGGGATGGATGAAAATATTCAAAAGATTCTGGTTTAGAGATGGATAGGATATTCATTGACTCTGTACACTTCATTCCCAAAATTTATATATGTAAATAATTGACATTTTATTTTATTTTGAATGAATTATGTAATTTACTTGATAGAAAAAGGATGGTGCAGAAAGCATACGAACTTCTATTGTAACGGATTTTAGGGACAGATATAATGGATTGAAAATTAGATTAATAGTTCATGGTGTTTTTTTATTGTTCCATTTGTTTTAATTGTATCTTCTTATTAAATTTTTTTTATTACTTTCGACTCTTTATTATTATTTTGTATCTTAATTTTTTTCTCTTTATTCAAATTTTTAGATAATAACGTCAATTTTTAACGATAGACGCTTAAGATATAGACAAGCGATAAATTTTTTTTCAAGAAAAAAAAATCTCAAAATACTTCTCTTCTTCCCTGTTTTTTGCTCATGTTCCTTTTTATGGGATTTTTAATTTTTTTCAGAAATTTATGTATTTTTTTAAAAAAATATTGCAATCTGTCAACATCTTATGCATTTATTGTTGGAATTTGACACCGTTATTTGAAAATTTAGACAAATAGATAAAATTAATATGCAAAATAACAACGGAGTGGTGGAATTAATAAAAAAATTAATAATAAAAAAAAACACGATTAAAACAAACAAAAACAATAGAAAGACATGCCGAAATATTAACCCATTAAATTATTTCCAAGTATTTGAAAACAGTTACGAAAGATAGGAAGGTTCTATAGAGTAAAAAACGCAATATGTGCATCTTCCACCTCTATGGATATCAGGATATCCACGGCCATCTTCATGTCAGATCAATTCATTGTTACAGCAGAAAATGCCAAGGGTCGTCGCAACTCCCGCAATCTGCAGCTGTACGCGCACGTCAAATTTCAAGGGTTTCGTTTGCCAACTATAATTGATTTCCCTTCACATCGATTCTACTCTAGAGTTGTCCATGGTCCATCTGCCAATTTTATTTTCGGTCTACACTTCGACTTACGTACTTGCCATGATCTCCACCACTGGATCATTATCCCTTGAATTCATGGAAGTGGTGACTCAAGAGGCTAGGAAATGTGAACCACAATACAGTACAATTATGATTGGCCGGTGACATTTTTTGGATTATATTGACGACTTATTGTGGTCCTCTTTTTGACAAAATGTACGTGATTAGTGGGGGCACATTTTCTATAATCAAGTGATGAGATAGAATCACAGTTCTCAACTTCACAACTGATAAAAGTTCCCCGATATTTAAGAGGTAAGAAGGGCACATAGATTAACCCTAATATGGTTTAAGCATAACACAGGAATGAAGTAATTGTATTATTAACTTAAAAAAAGTTTCAGCTTCATTGATCCCTCGCTTGTAATGGTGTTACTGGTCTTGTTTTTTATATTTCTTTGTGTATATATATATATATATATATATATATTTGCTGTTAGCTCTCATCTGTGCTGAAAGAACAAGGTATATCGTGAGAAGGAAGAAAGTGATTTCAGCTACCAGGCATGATGCTTGCCTCGTTAGTTACTAGTTGCTTATCCCTTTAATTCGGACTAATCTAATTCCTTACTTTGATTCTTGACAATCATTGATGAGAACAGATTGGAAACAAATAGTATAATAAAAAATATCATTTGAGAAAAGAATCTATTTTTTTTTATAAAAAACAAATGCTTGTTTTAATCATAGCCTGTAGCCGTCAACGACTACACGTTTTTTATTTTATTTTTAAACTGTTCTTTGAAAGTGACCACAAATAACGCATGTGGATTGATGAAGGTGTACAAGTTTTTAATTGAGGTAGTTGAGCAATGAGCAGTCACATTGGCTGTAAAGATTAAAGTGGCCAGGGTTCACATTTTGCACTGATTGCAGGTGAGAGAATGATTCACAGGAAAATATATATTTAGATTTTATAGCAATTTTTTTATTGACACTTTTCCTGTGACTTTTTTATGCTTTTTTTTTTTTTCCTCTACGACATATTTTTGAATAAATTTATACATTAATTAAAACTAAATCTTTTCTTAAACCTATTTTTATTTTTATATTTAAACTAAAAAATTTCACCTACAATTCACCTCCAAATATCCAAAAAAAAAAAAATCGATATTTTACCTACAGACAATATCCTATTTTCGCTACTGATCACTGTCAAGGATTATTGAAATGGGAACAGACGACTCTGCTAGACTGCAATTAAAGGAGCCGCTCCTTTGTCACCAGCCCTTGGACCCTTGACCTTTTGGATCCCGAGTGTTAAACACGTGTGAGCGGCCTCTTTTTGGCTCTTTGAATCAACTATGCAGATCTTCCATGAAAGACCGAGAGATAAAGGAAGAGAGCCCAATCTAAACGTATGGGCTTTGAACCAGAGCAATTAGTTCGAAACAATGGGCTTCTGTTAATGGGTTTTATATGTGATCGGGTATGTTGGGTCACGTCTTGGGTGGGTTGGGGCAGTTATTTTAGGATATACTTTTAGTTTTTTAACACTTTCATTTAAAACTCATACGAATTGGTCATAAGAATTATATCAATGTCTAAAAAAATATTAAATAATAATATTTTAAAATTATATTAAAAAATTTATGTATAGAAAAAAATAAATCATATTTATTAATAAATAAAATTATATAAAAAATATAAAATTAATTTCGTGAGAATTCTATTAGAAAATACAAATTAAAAAATTAATTTTAAACAATAAAAGTAATATAATTTGATATATATATATATATATATATATATATATATATATATATATATATATATATATATATATATATGGTTTTCTCTTTTATCATTTTGCTCTTAGAGTCGAATTGCAACATAAATAAACTTGAAGACCAAAATAAAATTTTTAAAAATATGATACGAAAATACAGTATTGAAAAAAATCCAGATATAAAAATGTCAATACAATTTAAAAATTATAAAAATACATTGCATAGTGTACATAAGTCTAAATGAACAGTAAATAAATAGTATTTTGTGAACATATAAATACTATAGTGAATACTAAATAATCCAAATATTAAATTTTTTTTTTTTTGGCAATATTAAAGTACCTAGGCTGAAAAATAACTTATACAAGATTGTTACGAATTTTGTTTGCTTTGGTCGTCAAACTAAGGCTCAGTCTCATGGATGTTAGCTGAGACATCGATTTAGAGAAAAATGATAATGGAAGGAGTGAAAAAATGGCAAAGAGAGGTCACATATAACTTTGTTTTTTTTTTTTTTTTCTGTTTTTTGTTTTTATTTTTTTGTACGATGGGAAACAAAGCAAAGATAAGGTCTCATAAAAGAAACCCCAAAAACATCACCAAAAAGATGCGTCATCAATCTAAAATAGTCAAGATTCCAAGAAAGAAGGAGGCCATGAAATAAGGCTTGGATGGAAGTAGTATTAATGAATTCAAACTATATTAGCTATTGAACCGAATTTAGTTTCTAGTTACCATAAACGACACAAAATGATTTTTATAGTTGAGTCCAATTAATTTACTTGATTTTGTTGGCAATCTTTGTATTATTAATGGAAGATTAAGTATATGAAATTATTTGATAATAAATTACATAGTCTATTGTGAATAAAATCGCTTCATTCTTTGATAATCTGTGTAGTGTTGTTTGAACTAAAATTATTATTAAGAACACAACTTTTTATTAAAAAATTGAAATAAATTACTTGAAAATATGGAAATATTTCTATCATTCAAATCAAAAGGCATTAGTAGTATATATTTGGGGAAAAAAAGAGAGAACAAAAATCAAAATATCTTATATTATTTTTTAAAACATTATTGTAAAAACTATATATTAAGATAATAAGTAAGGTTTGTATTTTTTTGATTTAAGATTTTTTAATGTTATTTTTTTCTTTTTGTCTTTTTATACCAAAAAGCATCGATTTCTATGCTTTTTGAAATAAAAGTTAATATCTTCTTAAAATTATTTTTATAAAAATCACTTTCTATTTTCAAGGTTAAACAAAAAAACTCAACAAACACCTTTTTTTTTTTTGTTATTTTTAATTATTTTGTTTTAAAACAAATAAGGTAAAACTAGAAAAATAAAGAGCCAACCAGGCTCGATACGTTGTCGTTATTGTTTTGGTCATGTATACTGAAGCTCATCTTTGAATGGTTAGTTGAGGGAATTGCGTGGATTTATGGCTCCTTTAGGAAATTAGATGCGTCTTAAGAACTTTTAAAAATTTCCCAAGAGGAAAAAAACACCATATAATTAACAAATTTTGATATGATTTTTCATTTTATTTTAATTTACTTCGACTGCTGCTTTTATAGGAGTGACCGAGAACAAAAGAGCACCGAAAATCTCTCTGGCAATCCAATCATTAATTTAGATTTTAAATTTTAAAAATCAATGAATAGATAAATCAAGTAAGGTCGGTTTCAAAAACCTTTCTGGATTTTGCCTCAATAGCAGCAGCCCAATCTTCAACAAGCACGAGTCTTAACATTTTTTTTCCTTAAAAAGAAAAAAAGAAAAAGACAGACCAGAGCAGAGAGGTTTTGCCTGTTGGTGTTAGGTTGTCCAAAGTAACAGAAAGAGAAGAGAAGGAAGAGAGGGTGGATCAGTTTCCTTGCTATTAGCTTCAGATTATATGAGACATCCTTGGTCAACAAGTCGTATAATTAGCACTCCAACAATAGTTTCAATCAATCAGGTTTGTTTCTTTCTATTCCCTCCATCCCCTCCGATCCCCCCTTCCCCCTCCACCATCATGTTCAGGTTCTCGATTCCTTCCTTCTTCTTTTATTTCAAATCGTTTTCTTTTGTTTTTATTTTTTAGTGATTTGAGACAAAAACGGACTTATTAAAATTCAATGTTATTTTCTTGCAAAATGGGAATTGGGTCATCTTCAAATTGCTTGGATTAGCTTTTGTGTGTGTGAAGATTGAAACTTTCTTCTTCTTCTTTTTTCAGAATGATTTTTGTTTGTAAAGAACAGTAGTGTAATTGCATCAAAGAATTATGGGTTTTTCCCTTTTTTTGTTTGAATAATATGCGATTTTATCTGATAAAATATTGAATTGTCCTTTTGAATACAACTTGTGGGTTTGGTTTTCATCTATTAAGTAGTATTGAATTTAATAATTTACAGGTTGCTAATCATAGTGAATTTGGTTTGTGTTGAGTTAGGAGTAAATTCATGGCAACTGCAACTATGGCTACAGCAGCCGGTGCAGCTGCCCTTTTGTATTATACATTGAACAGTAAGTTACGGTCTGGTACGTCTCACGATGATGATGATGATGATGATGAGAATGAGAATGACAGTGGTGGCACACCTAGTCATGTGCATTTAGGTCTTGAACGCGTATCAAATAGGTTAATTCAAGCTCCTGGAACGTGGTTCGAAACAATCTCAACTTTGTCGGAGACTCTAAGGTTTACTTACTCTGAAACTCTGGGAAAGTGGCCCATTGGGGACTTGGCATTTGGGATCAACTTTCTATTGAAGAGGCAGGTGAGCCCTTCTTTTGTTTCCTGTCAAATTCATCGTGTTTGTTGTTCTTTTTCCCTGGTGGGCGAGATGTAATTATATGATTTCATGAATGTGTTGGTTTGTACAACAATGTTATTGTCCTCAATTATTTGCTTTTTTGTGTCATCTGGTTTTGTTTATATAGCATTTATGGAGACATATTTATGTATTTGAAATTGGCTCACTTCCTGTACTAGATGATCTCATGGAATTTTTTATTATATTTGCCAAATTTGACAAAAAAATAAAATAATAAAATAATAATAATAATAAAAGAAGAAGAAGAAGAAGAAGAAGAAGAAGAAGAAGAAGATAAGATACTATAATATGTGGGTGTCAACATTTGAATCCTAGACAACTTGATTGATTAGGTCTTAGTTTAAGTTTACAGTTATTGAAATTTGATGGCCGTTTTCTGCTTACAAATTTTGTGAGATGTTAGTTATTGGATAGCTGATTGAATCTTAGAATAATGCCTTCACCATGGTGGTCATGTTGGAAGGACTCCAGGAACATGTCTTATAGAAGCTTTGGAGTCATTATTGGATGATAGAATATTCTTGCAGCCACACCTTTTCCATGTCGGTCATGTCAGAATAAACTCCAGCTATGCACCATATAGAAAATCTGAATCTTGAGATGTATTAAGTTGCTATATTGAGGGATTTTAGATTGCTAAAGGCAGAAGAGTAGTTAGTCACTGTAAGCAACTCCTTTATTTCGAGGCTAGAGTTCTGCTATTGCTCGAAGAAACCTCAAATCGAATTTCTTGGTCATTGGAGAAAATAAATATGCCTTCATGCTTTAAAAAGAATTGGGGACCTGTAGCATCTGTGGGTTGCATTAATGGTGGTATCTGGCCACTCAACACATCATTTTTTTAACCAAATGCTGATTTTGTGTTTTACAGAATACCAGTAACTCTATTTTCCAGCTTTTTCTGCATCTTCTGCTCTTGACATTACCAAATAATTTGTCATCTTTATAGGAAACTGCGAGTTCCTCATGATACAGAGGTCTTCTGAATCATTTTCTTTTTTGGGTGTTCCTTTGTTGGGCCGATAATCTGACTTATAACCTTATTTGCAGGGTACCTTACATGTTGGCAGTGTATTTGGTGGTGAAGATAGTGTACAGCTTAAAGGATTAGAAATAGCGGCTGAACTTAGATACCTCTTAAACTTGTTGACCTTGTGTTGGCATTTCTCCAAAAAACCTTTTCCTTTGTTTTTGGAGGAGACAGGATATACTGAAGAAAGCGTTCTTCTTCAAGAACCCAAAGCAGGAGTAAGTTTTCTTTATTGCTGTTACTGTCGAATACCTCACTTTGAAATCTATAAAGGTCCTGGTGCACCTTCTGTTTGCTTTTGCAGTATTGTTTTGACAAGAGGTTCTGAGCATGATATTTGCAGTATCCATGCTTGTTCTGAATGCATCTGGTCATCTATATAATGCAGATATTGAAGCCAGCTTTTACAATTTTAGTTGATCACAAGACAAAATATTTTTTCTTACTGATTCGTGGAACACATAGCATCAAAGATACTTTGACAGCTGCAACTGGAGCTGTTGTGCCCTTTCATCACACTGTTGTGCATGAAGGGGGAGTTAGCGATTTAGTTTTAGGTTATGCACATTGTGGGATGGTTGCAGCTGCCCGGTGGATTTCAAAACTTGCAACACCTTGTCTTAAACAGGCTCTTGAGCAATTCCCTGATTATAAAGTTAAGGTAAATGCAATTTGGAAGGTGTTTTTGTTCCTTACTGTGTGTTCAAGTCGTTATGTGGCCATGTCTTAAAACTAGAATCAATTCTGATTCTATCGCGAGAAAAAGAAAAAATCACTGATAGGAACAATATAGAATCAGAACTTGAGTTAGCATCCCATACTCCTAAGTTTGAGCTCAGAGTGAAGGTTATTGCTATGTTTTGGTTGTTTTTTTTTAATGTTAAGTTTTATAGTACAACTAATATTAGCTCTGAAAATTCTACTCAGGTTTACACTGTCTTCTGGAGCCTATTTGCTGCAACAAATGTTTAACTATAAATTAGTTATTGCTTACCCCAGACTTTCTCCACATCCTTTTCTTTTGTGAAGCCAAGAAAAATTTGGACAAGAAAAAGAAAGTACATAGCCCTAAGTTCATGCTACCTTTCATCACCCAAGTACCTAGCTCGTCTTACCCTCTTGCTGCTTGAATCTGTTCCTACTGAATGTTCTGGATCATTTTTCCTATGAACATTCCATGCCCTTCATATGCTTTGCATTTTGTGTAGCTGGTATGTCAAAGAAATTACCTGCAAGGTTCCATAAATTGCATGTTGCTTTGGTTTTACTCTTGGTTTATACTAGCAAACCATATTTATGTTTCACGTTAATAAATATTTTCATGAAAAATGTGCTCTTTGAATCTCCTTTTTTTTATATATATATATAAAAAAATTGAATAAAAGTGTATAGAACATTGTTTTCTTTTAGATGTTTCAGTAAGATTACTTCTCTTGAATCCAAAGATTGTAGGTCACTCTTTGGGTGGAGGCACTGCTGCCCTTTTAACATATGTATTACGAGAACAGAAGGAATTATCGACGACTACGTGTGTTACATTTGCTCCAGGTTTCTATCCAAAACATATCAACTCCTCTGGGTTAAGCATGAAAATTTGATGCTTTTTATCTTGATCTCTCTTTCTGTGGCATGTGGGTTTGCATTCATATATTGTAATGGAGTGTACGGTAGAGTGTGTGTGCTTTCTATGTTCCCTGACTCAAGGTTCCACATGCAGCTGCTTGTATGACATGGGAATTGGCTGAATCGGGCAATGATTTCATTACTTCTGTTATAAATGGAGCTGACTTAGTACCTACATTCTCAGCTGCTTCAGTTGATGATTTGCGTGCAGAGGTTACTTCCTCAAAACTGTCATCAAGGATTTCAATTTACTTTACTTTTTTCTTTCCCTCAAATATATTACCATTGGAGGATTTTTTGGTTAATATCTTTTATGCATGTATCCTATATGTGCAGAGTTTATGACTTGTGCTTGCTGAAATTTTTTTCTGATGTTTTACCATTGCAATTTGTCTGGATGAGGGTTGGTATAACTATGGAACATCTTTGTTTATATTGTTCTCATGTGCACTGCAAAGTAGTTGCATCGCTGTTTTTGGTGGATTTTTCAATTGAAGCGTTTAGTCTCCCAAAAGCTTTCACCCTTCTATTTTTTGCTCTTTTATTTGCTGTTTGAAGTTCAATTAATTTGAGAAAACAACTGGCAGTTTTTCAAGTCCTCATAAGTGCCAACTTGACTCTCCCTTTCTTGTTAACTTAAACAATAACAATGTGCAACTTCAATTTCTCACTCTCTCAGTTGCGCTTCTCATATTTTTGGCAACATTTTTTCCTGTTTCAGGTGACAGCATCTGCATGGCTGAATGATTTGAGGAATCAGATTGAGCATACAAGAATTCTTAGTACTGTTTATCGTTCTGCATCAGCGCTGGGTTCCCGCCTTCCATCCATCGCCAGCGCTAGAGCAAAAGTTGCTGGAGCTGGGGCAATTCTGCGCCCAGTCTCCAGTGGCACGCAGGTGATTTCTTTATGCAATGGGATTGCAAAGTACTCTCTTTAAAATTCCATAAAGCATCCTCAGACTTCTCGATCGACTGAAGTGGACTTGCTGTGGTCCTTTCTTTCCTTGTCTACTGGTGCATTTTAACTAGCAATAACAAATTAATATTTGAAACTGATTGAATCCTATCCTATCGCTTGTAATAATGGGGAAGGCATAATAATGAACTATTATTAGAAACTGTGGTCGAACCCTGGCACTTTTATTCTTAGCAAAGTTTAAATTGCTCTAGTGAGTTGTTGGAGATCATAAGAGTTCCTTTACACTTGGTTATGCTTAAATCCAACCAGTTTGGTTTTCAATGCCTTCAGGTTGTGATGAGGAGAGCACAGAGCATGGCCCAGACAGCATGGACGACACGCCCTTCCCTTCGGTTGTCTTCGTGGTCATGCATTGGACCTCGCCATCGAGCCACAGCTACAAGTTTGAACTCAGGAGAGGGAAGCTCCTTGGGATCTGGCTTAAAAGCTGAAACTTCTGAGCCTCTTCTTACTTCTCCTGACAGTAAAATAGCCACAGCTTCTGCTGGAACTATTGAACTTCCTGCTTCTTCTGGAGGAGCAGAATGGACTTCAGAAATTGAATATTCTTGCACCGATGAAATGGCTCCACATACTGATCTTGATGATGGGGAGGACATCAGGAGTGATTCACATGAAGACCGAATGAATGAAGTTGAGTTGTGGCAACAACTTGAGCATGAGCTGTATGATAGATCAGATGGTGACGATGCTGATGTGGCAAAGGAAATAAGGGAAGAAGAAGCAGCAGCCATTGCAGAGGTAGGTGAGGACCAGCCTGGAAGTACTGCTCCAGGAACAAAGGAAGTGCGCAGGTTCTTCCCTCCAGGAAAGATCATGCATATCGTTACCATGCATTTTGATAGTGCAGAGAGTGAAGGTGACACCCCCACCTCGAGTGGTTCAGACAACAGCCAGCCACCAGTGGAGGCTAAAGTACGGATTTTCCTTACTCCCAGATCGCTTTATGGGAAGCTGAGGCTTTCTCAGACCATGGTTAGTGATCACTTCATGCCTGTTTATAGAAGACAGATTGAAAAGCTAATTAAAGAACTTGAGAAGGAAGAAGCTGCTGGTAATCACAATGACAACGAAGAGGTTGTGTTATAGGGAAAGTACTATTCGCTTGCTAGTAAATCAGCTCCATACGGAAACAGATTTTGACATTTTTTTTTCATACTTGAAAAGGGAACGGATTCGGGGTTTTTGGATTTCACTTTATTGGATGTATATGGCTGCAGATGTCCTTAACTGCAATGGAAAATGCATTTCGGTTGAAGCCACTGGGTTTTAGATCCATGCCAGGCAGCACATTAGAGATAGTAATTAGTTGTAGTCGTCCATAGTTTCCCCCGGAAGTGGTTTTCTCAAACCCTGCCAGGGATTATGGATCCACTCCTGGCACATCAAAGGTTATTCATTGATTGTTCTCATCCATAACTTTTCTTCGAAGTGAGTTTGTCAAACCCTGACCATTTGTATGTTACAGGATGTCTCGAGGGTTTTGTTCTAAAGCACAATCCAAGAGTGTTTGGTGAAGTGCTAAAACCTAAAAGTTTGTGGTCTTTTAAAGATTTTTGAAACCATTTCACCCCTTACATAGGTCTTTTTCAGCTTAATAAATTGAAAGAGCTTTTAAGTGCCATTTTTAACGTTCACAGGTCACAGCATTCGTATGTATGTATGTATGTGTGCATACGGAGACACTCCTAAAAACATCTTAGCTGCCACATTATAGCTAACATTTATAATGACTGAAAACAAACAGATATTCCAAATAGAGCTGTTCTAGCCCAATGTAGGTTTCTTCTCTACTTTCGATGTTGCCTTCCCCCCCCCCCCCCCTTCTTCTGAATATCATGGTAAGGTTCGATGTTGAAAGAAAGGAAATTCATTTAATGCGTTACGTCAACTATGTTCAATGAATGTTGACGAATATTATGGAATTGATAAATGAAGATCTGTCAATTTAGGAATTCCAAGGTCTCATTTGACGACTGGGGTACAAGGAAGAGAGTGACACAAGACACTTAAATATCATCAAGCCTCTTTAATTCGCCAATTTATAGATTTTTTGGGCTCCTTTATTAACCTATCTATAGACTATACACACATCAAATCAAAAGGTAATATGTATGCATGAAATTGAAGACCACCATATGGTCCACCGGCCAAATTTATTACTAGAATAGAGTCCGCTAACGACTCATTGATGGGTCACAACATGAATGTAGAACATAGACCCAACATTATAATTTCTTCTCAATTAATTAAACTTGAAATTTATTAGCCTATGTATAGACTATACACACATCAAATCAAAAGATAATATATATGAATGAAATTGAAGACAACCATATGGTCCGCCGGCCAAATTTATTACTGGAATAGAGTCCGCTAACGACTCATTGATGGGTCACAACATGAATGTAGAACATCGACCCAACATTATATTTTCTTCTCGATTAATTAAACTTGCAACATTTAGTTGCCCCCAGTGGCGTTGCTCATCTTGCAAGGAGGACTCATCACTTGAGTTTTGTCATTGGTTCTGTGAAAAGAAAGTATATATGTTGCCCAATTAGTTTTATTACAGAAATATCCTAAATTTTGACTCTCAACATAGACATAATAACAATTCTTTTAGAGATGAGTGAATATGAAAAACCCATTCACTTTTGCTTCATCTTTACTTTTTTAAATATATTTCATTTTTTAAAATAATTTAGCTTAACAAAATATCTATATAGCTGCTGCACACAATAAAATGTTTGCATCACTCACTATTAGAATTTGTTAAATAACGACGGACGAGATATTTATCTTTAAATAAAAAACAAACAGCAAAAGAATAACAATTCTTTGAATGAGCGACGAAATAGAAATGGAATATTGATAGTTTATTAGCGATAAATAATAATCCGTCGTTAAATTTGACAATAAAATCTTATTAATAGTTTTAGAAACGGTTTAATGTCGGATTATTAGGAAAAGTAACGATGTAATAGCAAATACATCGCTATTTTCGATGTCCCGATTTAGTTATGGAAATTCAATAATTTAGTAATGGATATTTCGCTGTTGATTAGTATCAAAAAAATAATGATCACTATATTAACAACGGAATACATATTATCTTTAATCCGTCACTAACTATATAGAGCGATGAATTTTTGACAAATAACGACAAAAAAATATGTCGTTATTTAATGAAATTTTGGTAGGGACTTTAACATCACAAAAATATACGTTTCTTTTGTTAATTAATTGTTTTGGTCTAGTTGGTGAGTTAACAGGTCTGCTTCCAACCAAAAATTGGGATACAATACAATGAATCAAAGGATTCATTGCTTAATCAAGTTATTAATTGTGATAAATCCTGATTTCGACTTTGCTGACTACAACTTCCAACAACTTGCTATATGTTTTTAATATGCACCAATTACTGAGACCTACTCTCCACTTAATATATGATAATGCAAGCTACAATTACATTATTAGACAGCATTTTCATTTTCGTTTCCGCTTGATTAGTACATTAATAAATTCGTGATAGGTCACATCCCGGGATAGCTAAGCACATCAAAGTATGATTTGGAGACCTAGCTAATTAATTAATTAAGATATTTTCTCCTGCTAATCATGATGGGCTTTGCCAGTTCATCGGGATAACCTTGTATTTATTTATTTGTAAGGAGATTTTATTGGAAAGAAAACAGAAATTCATTGATATAATTAATTAATATGCGCCTATGAACCCCTTTTTAAGAGCTTGCTAGGGCGATACCGACATACAAATAGAACAATTTTTCAAATTTCATTAGTTTCTTTTCAATGAACTATCCATACGTTGCCACTTTCGCACTAATAGTTATGCAGAAACTAATTATCTAAATGTATATTTTCTTTTATTTCATATATATATATATGTGTGTGTGTTAAAAATACTGAATTTTAAATTTAAGTAACAAATAATTAGTATCATGTTATCATTTAATCTCAAAAGTTATACTCGGTGGTTAAAAAAGTTTGCTTCATGTCACGACTCTAAGAGTGAGCCATGACCTCCACAAGAATCGAGGGAATCATGAGGCTCACCTCGACTCAAACAAGCCTCGAATACCAAAACTATGATCTTCAAGCTTATATTACATCAAACATCATTTCATATTCGTAGTATCATGACCTAACGAGTTAATACTCTACTCTAACACAATTGATAATTATATACTATTCTTGTATTTCTCAAATCTATATTCACAATTAATTTCTAATACAACTCTTAGGAGTTATGACTACGGAGTTTCTAAGAATTACAACAAAATCAAACACAACTTGATCAATGTGACTACTTTAAAACAATAGCTTTGTAGGAGCAAAAAGGACAATCTCTCAAATTCTATAAAATTGAAAATAATGGAGGGCGAGCAAATCAATAATTCGGTGAATAAATACTATATAACATATCAAAGGAAGGAAAACGGACTAAAGATGATAGCTTAAAACTTGACTTAAGAAGCAATGTTTATTTCTTCAAACCAAATACATATCATAAATATCAAATCTTAAATGGATCAAACCCAACCATTATCAAATCATCGAAAAATATATATATATATATATATATATATATATATATATATATATATATATATATTATTAAGAAAATAACGATTACTTTATTAACTACGAAAATCGTATTAACTCTAATTCGTTGTTAATTATATATAATGATGGATTTTTGACATACAGTCGAGTATCCGTTGCTATATATCCCATTTTTTTGGTAGTGACACACAATCTGTGAACTAGGTTAAGATATTGGATGTTGTATGTAAGCAAAGCAAAGCTTGTTCAGAACATTCTGGTTGTGGTCCAAAATACTTTACAGACAACGGCCTGAAGCAAAGCTTCTCATGGTTATTGATATTGACACTGATTGGATATGCTGGATTACATTTAAAAAACAAAAAAACATTCCTTTCAATTTTCGGTACAATGATGCAAAAAAATATACTGCTATTGCATTTGTTTCTCTCTCTCACAAATCACATTGATGCTTTAATAACGCTTCATTCTTATGAATGAAAATGATGGAAGAAAATTTTTAATTTGTTTATTTATCATGATCATTTTATTTGTAAAATTAGTCTGAATTGATTCGAAAATTAATATTGTTGTCATTTAAAAAAAATACCCTTTTAAAATAGAAAACAAAAAACTAACAACTGGGGACATCAAAAGAAATTAATAAAGAACATGATTTTTTTTATATATAAAAAGTAAAACCGAGAACAATAACAAGCATAATTTAGTCGAGTGTGTGTGTGGTTTTTTTTTTACTAAACTTAAAAGAGCGCGGTGTTTCTGTCTTTTTCTTTTTTTCCATTTCTGATTGTAAAAACAAAGTAACATTTCATCCACTTTTTTCTTTAATCATAGTGAATAAATTTATCATTTAGAAGACGTTTGTTTTTATGTGAAATATTTTCTGGTTTTTTTTTCGTGTTGTTTTGAAAAAATATTTTATAAAAAAATTAGTCAACATAAAATATTTTACCGTTACCTTAAAAATTAATTTCTTTACTAAAAAAATCTTTAATCTATGAGATGTCATAAAATATTTTATAAATAGTGATCAATTCATAATATGATTTAACGATTTCAATCATCATCACTGCTGTCTTACTGTCGCCACCTCAACACCCTTATCCCTACCACCCCTGGCCACCACCAGCACTTTTTCACCATGTAACATCACCATCCCACCACCACGACCATCGACGATGGAGTTAGGAATGGAAGTTGAGGGGACCTAAGAATAGATTGAGACATGGAGATCTCTTCCATACACAAATAATGTATGCACAAGCTATAAATTATGGATTGAAGTGTAACTTTTTTTTTTACTTCTTTTATTATATATATGAAATAATTCCTAAATTTCATGCAACATTTTAAACTTTGAAGGTCACTACATCCTCCTCTGTGCACTGTCACCCTCTATTTCCTTCCTTGATTGTTATTATCATCAACCTGAAATTATTATTTTACTATAACCTAAGTACCATCATCATCTACTATTATTATTACCGTCACCACAATGTTTTTTTTATATATAACATTTATCAAATATATTAAAATATTTTTCAGAAAAGCATTTTATATGTAAAATATTTTTTATTGGTAAATTGTTTTTTAAACCTAAACAAACAACCCGTTAAACCAATAGATATATGAACAAGGCATATGCCAAATAATGAGAGAATAAGTACTTTACGGCTAGATCAACAAAGAACATGGTCAGGGCTTGACACGTGAGCGGTGACTAGAATGCCATGTCACATTTCGTTTCAATAATCAGCAGGTCACTTGCATTTATGCTGTCCTGTTGCTATCGTTTTCAACATACGTGGATGCTAGTCGGCTTTTTTTTACCTTAAATAAAGCAGCAAGTCCATGCATTTCCAAACATTAATGGAAATATAACATTTAATTGCACATTCATTCATTTCCTTTCTCAGCCATTTTAGAATCACCATAAGAGCAGTTAACTCTTTTTTTTTTTTCCCCCTCTTTAATGAATAGTAGTGAACTATTCTTCCATCGAGAAAGGCTTGAATCACATATTGATCGGTAAAAAAAATAAAAAATAAAAAACTCCCACCCTCTATAAATGTGCGTTCCATCTTGTATGTCAAACCTTTACCATATATAGATTGCCTGGTGATGTCACATGCATGAACGGGATTTATTGGATTTTTGCAATGCGGGAGGACACATGTCTACACTTCTAACCAAGGCACATACACCCCTTATTTTTGTGATGGCAAAATTTCATGGGAAAGATGGGAACAGAGAAATTAATGGAGTGGGTTATCGTTTATCTATACTTCTTTCCAAGTCTAAGTCTCTATCGCAATTGATGCCAATAATAATTTCATATCATCAACCCTTTCTTTATTAGCTTCGGCAAAGCTTGGTCCACATAGATGGCAAACAAATACCAATTGACTATGACATGGTTGATCCACAATTCGGATCGCTAAGCCTTGTGGAATCGCCAGCTCGTGCTTGCAAAAATAATGATGGAGTGGGGCTTCATTGGGTTGCTTGAGTTACACTTCTCATGGAACTCAATAATTAGAAGATTGCATGAGAACACCATTAGGCTTCTGCCTAACACATGATTCGTGGGTTAATTAAATTTTAATATTATAAGGTTGCCAAAAAGATATTAAAAGTTTGTGTCTATATCTGGCCCTCCATAGCCTGAAAAAACGCCTATGGTAGCTAGGCTAACTATGGTATGAACTCACAAGAGCTTCTAATAGACCTTTAGATGTGAAAACAGCACTCAATTAATTCAACGAGAAAGTTGTGTGTAATGCTTCGTCGAAGTTTTATGCCCAATGATGACATATATAGTTTACGGAAATCGAAGGCAATTAATTAAGTCGTGTATTTACATTAATTGCCCCGTATACACGTGGAGTCAAAAGTTATGCTATAAAGTCGTACGCGTTTTGATGAAGTTTTATTTGCTTTGAGGAGTGCTATATTTCCAAATCACAAATCATACTAAGTTTTTTTCAAGGTTTAGATTTATGATTTATTTACTCTAAATGCTAAATAATGTTCTATATTTCTATTCATTTTTTTCCCTCTATTTTGAAAATTATTTTTTCAAATAATTACACGATAAAATTTTTAAGTCTGAAGTTAATTTTGTAAAAAATCTTATAAAAAAATTTATAATTAATACGTTCTTGGTAGAATAATTATACTTTTTTTTAATTTATATAAACTTGATTCAATCTAATTTTTTCTCCATTTAAAGTTTGTTGTTTTAAAAACACTAGACTTTTCTTTTGTGCCAATCAAGTTGTGCTTGAAATAAATATTTTTATTAGTTTTCTTCAACTTTATCACACTAGCTCGCCAAATTTAAATTAATTTTAACCTTCAATATAAATTTTTATGAGCATTATTTGATTTTGTTCTTTTTAATGGTGGGACATTTTGATTTTTTTTAAATTGATGTATTAATTATTATCATAACATTTTTTTTATACATCTAAAGTTTAAAATTCATTTATATCAAAACGTAATTTTGAATATTGCCAACATTTTTTTCTTCAACAAAAAATTGAATAGTAGATCCTATAGATAACTATATTAGATCGGGAGAAATTTTATAATACTCAAAGAATAACTAATGACATATACAATAATTACTTCATGACCTCACTTAGAGGAAAGAAATAGATACAAAAAAAAAAGATAGAGAAAATTAAAAAAAAAAATGAGCGAACGTGAAAATCGTTTTATCACTTTTGATGGATCCGGATGTAATTTTATGTGTCTATCTCTCTTCTTCAAATAGATTCGTATAAGTAAGCTATTATACATATCACTAATTGCTTCATTGAGTAGTATAAAATTTTTCGTCAGATCTAAATCTATTAGGAAGCAAATCGAAATCAATAATTGTAAAATGCGAATCTAAATTTTTAAAATACATCAGATATAATCCGATTCGAATTCAACTCATCAACGGCCGTAGTCATTTATATATATATATATATATATATATATATATATATATAGAGAGAGAGAGAGAGAGAGAGAGAGAGAGAGAGAGAGAGCTGCGGATTTTGGTAAAACAATAAGAAAATTGGATTTGGAACCACAAGAACAAACAGGTACAGAAAAGTCCAGCAACGGAAACAATATATGCCTGAAAATCACAAAAGACAGGAAACAGTGACCCTGTAATAATAAGTAGAGAAAATTAATTAGTTGCTTACACCCAAAATTAGTAATTAAAATGAATCAGCATTAAGTGACTGCACAAAACTGCAAAGCCCCATTATGGTTATTGACACACAAATTAACAACTTACAATGGCAACTTGGGTGTAAGGAAATCTCAAACGCAACCCGGTACCTTACACGTTTCTGTACTACACGTGGCTTCTAATAATTGGGTCGAGAGATGCCAGAATGAGGAGGCAAAAACCTCCAAAACAGCACACAATTGGCTAAGAATAGTCGTCTCTTCCAAAATATGGTAAATGCTTAGCTGGCAATCAACAAATCAACGGTCAGAATTCACTGCAGCAGCTACTGTCGACGTGGGATTGTTACTCTTTAAAGCTTCAATCATTGGGGTTTTTTTAAGGGGAAAAAAACACATTTACTTCTTCTTCTTCTCTCTCTTATATAAGTGGAATTTCATTTTTTGTGGAGGAGAAACAAAAAGTAATCTCTTGAGTTTTTGTTCTTTTAATGATTTGGTTTGTGTTCTTTCTTTGAAAGTTATCAAAAAAGCAAAGAGAAGGGGTTGTTGATTGATACAAGTTTAAGATTTACATAGAATTCTTTTTAGAGAAAGAAAGAAGCAAAGAAGGTTTCTTTTGAAATGAATTTGATGTATGAAGTTTTCTTTGCTGAAGAAGAGAAGGTTGAAGGAGAGTGGGAAAAAGAGAGATAGTATATATTTACCAAAGCCAAGGTAGCTAGCAGAAGTAGAGAGACAGAGATATCTATAAACAACATACAAAAGAAAAATTCATCAACGAGTTTTAGGTTGATCTGCTTCTGCTGGTAATAATTATTCTTTATCAGATTTTTGTTATTTGTTTGTCATATATTGTTGTCATTTCATTGCCTATATATTTCGCTTTTTCATGCAAAGCAAATTGTCTTGTTTTTGTTAGCTTTTTGTTCATGATTTTATTTAGTTAGGAAAAATGTTTTTGTTTTTGAAAACATATATTTATATTTATATGATGATTGATGATTGTGTTGCTGCTCTGTTTTTCTTGAGCAGAGAATCAAAGAAAAACCAAACATAAAGGCAGGACTAGCATAAGCCTTTTTTTTTTTCAACGTTTCAAGACTCCGAGCTGTTTCTCACGACTTGTCTTTTTGATGTCCAGCTAGTTTCCTAATGCATTCTAACGCGTAACGCGTAATAACCGTGCCTATTTCTTTTATTTCTTCATGTTTTAGAAACTAAGAAATCAAATTTTGAAAACAGAACAAATCACATCTTTCTCTTTTATTACATCAATTATCTAGCAAGTAGCTGGCAACCAGATTGAAATGAAAAACCAAGGAAAAAAAAACAAAAACTTATGTTAGTCCTTTATTCATGGTTTAATGTTGTTCGATCAATTTATAGGGTAATTGGCAATGTCTGCTACTATTATCAGTGACCCTATGGTGGTCTCGGCACCAGAAACACAAGCTACAGCCGCAGCAACGACAGCAACAAAACTCATTGCACAAATTGAGGTTGAGTCTGCCAAATGTGATTGCTGTGGCCTAACCGAAGAGTGCACGCCGGCATACATTGAAAGAGTACGCGAAAGATATCATGGAAAATGGATTTGTGGGTTATGTGCAGAGGCTATAAAAGATGAAATTGTAAGGACTGAGAGGCTTATTAGTACTGAAGAAGCAATGGCAAAGCACATGAACTTCTGCCAGAAGTTTGTTTCCTCAGGGCCACCTCCTGATCCAACAATTCATTTGATAGCTGCCATGAGACAAATTCTTAGAAGAAGCTTGGATTCACCGAGAGGTTTAAGGTCAACTCCAAGTAGTCCTACCAAAACGAAGGGAGCAATTCGTGCTGCTGCACTTACTAGGTCCGAAAGTTGCTTCCCTACTTTGACTGGTTGATATATATAGATGAGGGTCTGATCAAAATGGGGTGATCAATAAAATGGAAGCGAAGATATTGGAAAAAAGAAAGTTACATTTCATTTTGATGCAAATAAGAAAGATCACAAGGGCGGAAAATTGCAGTTAGATGCCTAAGGTAGTTGCTTATATAGTTGTTAAATACAGTTCTTGTCAGAAAATTATGAAACTTCCTTTTTTCCTGAAACTTATTGTGTTTCAGTTGTAAGCACTTATATAATCTATCTCTTTTGAAACTTTGCTTCCTCTTTACCAAATTATATTTTTCAATTTTGATATGGCTTGGTGTGATTGGAATAAATTGTAATAGCCTTATTTTCATGGTTACAAACTCTTGATGACCATTGGGTTGATGTGTAGCCATTTCACATCATAATTGAAACATAATAATCTGGTCCCCCGCATGATATTTGTCATAATTCAACATTTGGTTGGAAGTTGGTGAGACATTATTAAAGAAAGTAAGAAAATTGAACATAGAAATTGAGTTTGTGAATAGATCCAGAGAAGGCTTTGGTTAGCATGGAATTTTCTAATGGTGGGAGACCGACTTTTTGGTTCTCTCAGTGCTCGAGGTTCCACTAATGGCATTTCTTTATTTGATACTTTAGAAAAAGGAAGATAGTATCGTGGGTGAACTATTCCTGTGTTATATATGACAAATATGATTTGAGTTGTCCGATTGAGTAGAACAGATTGCCCTTGGCTTTGCATGAATCTTTTCATATCTTCCCAGCTTTAAAGATCTTTGCTCCTTTGACAATGAAAAAGATAGCAAGGTTGCGACCAAGATGCAATCCTCTTCCCCCCCCCCTCTCTCTATAATGAATTCCATGTTCTGTTTTGAAGTACAACGAAGATAGATAATATGCTTCGGTGATTTTTAAGATTTAATCATGTACTTCCTTTCTATCATCAAGGAATCTGTGACTGTGAATGTTCTATTCTGTCTTTCTTGTCCTAGAAACACAAAGAATAAAAATCTCATAAAATTCTCCCACTTACATCAAGTTCATGGATATCAAAAGATTTCATTCTAAGAACTCCACACAAATACAATTGTAATCCTACTTTTAAATTGGGCTGATTTTAGTTTTCTGGCCACTGAAAAAGGAGGACGATCTTACAAGGAAGTAGCTCGTACTTGGCTGGAATTATATCAATGACTCGCAAAAGTAGATATATAGGATGGTTTTTACTACAAAGTAAAATGGTAGCAAATAATGCTGCTTTTTAAAGATAAAACCTATTCTTAAAAAAACTGACATTATTTTGTAGAGTGCCAACGCGTATAAAGAAAGAGATGAAAGTTGATGAGATAATTTCTGTCGAGCTTTGGTGAAAGTTAGATATGCATGGATCCTAATCGCATTGTATACCCATTAATCATTGTATTAAAGCCTCACAGATAGTGTATAATAAACGATGCGACTCAACCTATATTCTAATAAAAGCCATGGGTGGCTAGACATGCATGATGCCTAGAGCCCCATGAGGTCCACGGTTACGGCTATTCCAAACAAATCTCTTGCATAAATTATGGCAAAAGCACCTGCTAGAATGTGCATAGAGATAGATAGAGCTTATAGGAGAGTTAATCTACGCTGACTAATACATGAAGTATGGGAAAAAGCAAGTCTAGATTACCAGAAATGGTACAAAATTAAAGGTGCAAAGTCAGTTTATGTGTCAATTAGTATGGAATCTAGACAGACATAAGAATAGCCATAAAAAGATGAAAAGTGCACAATTGTAAGTAGATCTGGATTACCAGAAAAGGTTAAAAGGCCAAAAAAAAAAGGTTGAAATGTCACAAGCATGAGATATAGACGCTGTCGTACTTGGATATAGATGTTCAGTTGCTGATGAGCGCACAAAAGTGAGTGACAACTAAGACAGCTACATTAGCCACACACACCTCTGCTGCTCTGTGAATTTGCCAGACAGGAGATTCTGGAGATGGGCAACTGTGCACGGTTGGTAAGATGGAGTATCATGTCTACATATAGCATGTGGGTCTTGGCCTCTGCTTGGATTGGACCCACCCGTACCCTATTACATATTTATGCCTTCTTTTTTCTCTTATTGATTGATTTCGTATATGTATTTTTTCCTGGGCTTCAACGGCGAACCAGTGTGATTTGGCATAAAGTTGTTTGGCTGTGATCAAAAAGACGAACTCGTCAAAATGGCCAGAATATTGCCAAGAATAGTTTTTTAGTGTCCAAGCTGTCTTAAACATTCCTTTTTTTTATTTGTAACCTCTAATATTGAAAGCCAGAGAAGTTTCTGTTGAAAATCATTCAACTACGTAAGTTTTCGCTGCTACAGGTTTTTCTTGTATTAATTTTCTCTGCTCATTAAAAAAGATACGTTAACGTCTAGAAAGGATACTTAAGGTGGCAATGCCTTTAAGATGCTGAGTCAAGGATTAAGTCAATTTGTTTCTTATTTAATTATTTTGGATTAAAATTTTACGAATGCTGGAAAAAAAAATACATCTATGACTACATATAAAAATAACATTTTATCAACAAATTATTGATACAATAGCAAGTGAGTTAGTTTTCAAATGAATTTTCTATTAATTTGCAATGTTCAAATTTTAAAGTTAAATTTATTAAGAAAAGTTAATTTTTATTTATTTATTGAAAATAATTAAATTTTATCGCTTTGCTCAGAATATGATTTTTTTAAAAAAAATTTTTATATAGATTAGTATGCTTTTGACACCATATTAACATTATAATTTATCCTGATACTATTATGTAATCTTACTCTAATTTCTAAATAAAAAAGATGCCAACATAATACAATTTTTAAAGTATAATTTCAAAAACAAAAAAACCAGAGAACTTTCATTTTTTTCATTATAGATATAAACACTATTTAAAATCGTAAATAATACGTAATAAACTTCTTACAAAATAATTACAAACCAATGTAATATTTTATTAGCATTTTATTTGGAATATCAATACTCTAAAATATTTGAAATATCAAAAATTTAATTCAATTTAATAAAACATTTGAATTTTTTATTAACATATACAATTGAATAATACGCATATGAACCAAATGAAAAAAAAATATATTTTTTATAAATTAATGCACTAATTATTACCAATCTAACTAATATCTAACCAAGAAAAAAACTTAGTTTTTGTATATAAAATCTACTTAAAAATACTTAAATCATTAAAATTACCAAAAAAAAGTCTTGGACCCAAGTGTCTAGATCTGCAAAGTAAAGACATCTATTTATGATGCTAAATTTTACTTGAATAAGACGGACCAAATTGCCAAGAAAATCTTCAAGACTCGTCATTTGCTAAATTCCACCCATAATCTCACTCTTTTTCTAACGCTGCCGTGAGTCACAATCGATAGTTCTTCTCCATCCTCAATAAATTTCATCCCAAATTTTCTAAGTTTTGAAGCTGCGAATTTCAAATGAAAATCTTAAATGTTAATGGTTGCACTTTTTGTGTTGGCACTACCTGGTACTTTTCTTTTTTTTTTTTTGAACCACAAGATTATAATATCATTGATTGAGAAAATTAAATATATAAAAATTACAAAGTAAAGTAGAAAAGGCAAATTTATAATCTAGATGTTCTGGCTATCCAATTTATAAATACAATATATCTATTGCAAAAACACAAAACAAAAATGCAAGATTTTATTAAAAAATATTATAAATTATATTTTAAAATTTCACCTAATAATTTAAGTTATTATATTAAAATATTTTTTTTTATATAATACCAGAGCAAATCAGAACAAGTTGATCAGATTTGATTTTTATCGAATTTCATCGTTTGTGTCTTACCATCGGATGACACGTCAACTCGTACTCAATTGTTCAAGATAGTTTGAATACTCTTACTTTTATTGTTATGAAAACCATGGTTGCGCTTTTTGTGGCAGTTCTTTAGTATTTGGTATATCTACTCCTTGTTTGTTGTTACATCCAAATAGCAAATCATTAAATTTTGGCTTTGCATTCGATTTAACGTACATGGTTATTTTCCCATGATTTTTTATGTTTGTAAGCATATAATAAGCTCAACCTAAAATTTATCTATTCACCAATTAAGATCGTTTATTAATTGTGGTTACTTTGATAAGCACTGCAATGACAATAGAAGTGGTGTAAATATACATGTCAAACTCATGAAAATTAAAATTATCATGAGCTTGAGTGGGCATGTTAAGAAAATAATCAAGGTAAATATTCTTGATCATTTCCTAATCAATATATTAAAAAAAATCAAGGAATTAAACAATTCAAGACAATCAAAAAATTAATTCAATCATCTAATCAAAGAAGATGATCAAGCATTTAAGATAATTTATTTTATTGTATTTTCTTATTTTTCTCTTTGTATGATCATATAATTCTACATGAGTTGATTGTAATTCATTCTTATATTTTAAAATTTTACAGGACTATCGAGTTTAATGATTGAAGAGTCACGAGACTGAATCTTAATATCTCTATTTTTTAATTAAAATTATATAATTAAAAACAAAATAATGATAAGCATGTGAAAGTTTCAAATTAAAAAAAATATATATATACTTGAAAAAGTGTTAAAAAAATTTTAAATCATATCTTAAAAGAAATTAAGTTGTTAGATTGAGATAATTGTTTGATAAATTTAATTGGGAATATTAATTATAAAAGTGGACAGAGAGAGGCTATATATATATATATATATGAAACGCACTAACTAATAAGAATGTTGACTAGGGAAGTGGACATTTTCAGCAGCTAGGCAGAAGATACCGAAAGAAGAGAAATTAAAATCTGCCTTTGAAAAAAGGCCGTAATAATTGGCAGCACTTCCTAAGAAATCAAAGCGTCAAAACCAACCCCTACAACTACAAGCATCTATACCAGTTAGTAGTATATAATTTTTGTTTTATCAAATTAAGATCCTTAATGATACGTGGAGTAGTTTACCTAATTTGTT